CGGTGTGATGGAGAGGCAGGCCCGGAAAGTGGAGAAGCTGTCTCTTTTCTTGGTAGCAGATTGGCCTTGGCATCTCTGGAATGCCTCTTCCCGGCCCCCAGCCCCTGCCCCAGATACAGCCTCCCCACTCAACCTGTGTTTTTCATAGTGTAGCCCCTGCACCTGGCATTTTTCTTCATTTTTTTCAAGCAGGATGATCATGGCCATTATGTCTTATGCACAAAACACTGCATATTTTTTAAGTTTGCAGCCATTAGTTCGAATTAGAAGGTACCTCATTGGCACGAGAAAACTCCAGGCCAAAGGAGTGAGGTCACACTGCTAATTCATGCTGGCTCTCATGCTGAAAGCCTGGTCCTGCCAAGTCCTCTCTGCTGATGACACTGCTGCCAGGGCCACCTTGTATGTCCAGTGGATAAGTGACCACTACTTGGTGACCTCATAGCTTAAGGGTTCTCCAGCCCCCACCACAAAATCTCCTGCCTGGGTTTTCCCTTTTTCTTGGGTAGAATTTGAGAGGTTTGTTCGGGTCGGAATTTATACCCATTTGTCCTTGAGAAATGGAAGCCTTTTGATATCCCTAAAGGAAGGAAAGATGAATGAGAAAACTGATTGCCTATGCTTGTTTCCCTTTATAATATTCTCCACCTGGTAAGTTCTTCTTGCCATCTAACCTAAAATGAAAATATATAGTACCATGCAGTTTAGTGGTTGAAGGTGGAAAAGAAGAACCCTAGACTGCCAGAGAGGCAGTCTGGTGTTGATTTAACCCTGAGGATTTCAGAGCTCTCTGTGAGCAGGGGAAGCTGTTGAGCCTCCGTTCTTCCTATTCCCTGGTGCTGTCTGCTCTGGGCATAAGAGAAGTAATTTAACTTGCAACTTAAGCAAAGGCTGTGGGAGGCCCCTGAGCTCAGCTTGAAGAGAAGGGGGATATTTTTGCTTCCTAGAGGAAGAAAACTCATTTTCCCACTGCACCCTGCCCACTCCTCCTCCCACTCAGATGAGCTTAGTTGTCTTCCCCTCCTAATGAAGATGGATCAAAGCCAAGCTATGTATTCCGGGGGGAGCCAGGCAGGGAAGCCGAGTGAGGGGCAGGGGGCAGAAACAGGGCTTGGCTCATGGAGAGGAAGTAATTAATTTTAAGAGAGAGCTAAGATAGGAAAGCTCTTGATAATAGAATATCAAAGTCCAGATGCAGGTGGCTAAAAATTAAATCAGACCATGGAGAATTTCTTTTATTCATGCATTCGCCCATCCAACAAATATTTATTGAGCACCTACTGTACATAAGCAGGGACCTCATCAGGAGGACCCGCAGTCCATAACCACAGTAGGGCACTAAAGACAAGAAGAGTGCAATCCGAAAACTGAGGCTTCCTATCACCACAATAAATCATTTGCAAGAGTCCTACTAAATGGCTGAATATATTGACCTTTTGGATTTAGGATTAGCTGTTTAAATATCAGCAGCTGTTGGCCCCAGTTATTGCCTACCAGCTTGTCCCTTAGTGGGTTAAATAATATTGTCCATTTGCTTTTCTGTTCACTGATTGCATCGTTCCCTGACCAAGTTCCGCCCTTGATTCAGAAAATTAGATTAGCCTCTCCCTTTCAGTGTCTGTTGTGATATCACAGAAGTACCATGGCAACAGTCTATGATGTCAACAGCTTGCCTGATGCTGCTAAAAAGAACCACATTGGTCAGAAAGGGATCTGTCATGTGCAGACAAAATGTAATAATATAGAACCAGAGGAACTGAAATTTGATATTAAAAAAAACCATCTTGGCAGTGTAAGATAACAGTGGGCCACCGAGGCATTTCTGAGGGCTGATGAGAGAGCAGGCTTTGGCCAGAAAGGGGGCAACGGACAGGTGACCTTCAGAAGGCCTTGCAGTTCAAGGACCCTAAGATGTGGAGGACACTGAGGAGCGGAGAGATTTGACTGGCTTTGGACCCTGGAGAACTTAGGGGAATTAACATCAATGCAGACTCCTTGCTCCTGAGCAGACCTGACAGTTACCAGCTGGAATTTATCATCTTGCATCTGGAAGATTTGCAGCAATAAACACACAGTGACCCCCTCTCAAGCCCCGTTTGCTCCCCTCTGCTTTCCTTCCATTTCATCCGAGCAAAAGAGCTTGGTCTTCGCCATCAGCTCTGATGCTACAAGATCCACGCCCATCCAGACTCTGCCTTGGCGGCATCCGGCTCTCTACCAGTGGGACCACTGCACTCAAAGGGCAAGCGAGCTGCTGCCCGGTCTGTGGGGAGGGTGGCAGGGGGCTGATCGCCAAGATACTTCATGCATTACGCTCCTGTCTATACAGAAGGCTGGTCAGGCTGAGAGACGAGAAAGGAGACTTCTTTAATCTCATCTCAGCGGCAGCCGCAATAATAGCACATGAACTCGGAGCTTCCTTTAACTCTTGTGCCCACAGGCTCTGAAGAGTCTCTGGAAAGCAAGTTCCAGAGCCTGTGTCTGGGGTTGGCAGCCAGGGAGGCAGGAGCACCGTCTCTCTGCAGGTCGGGCTGGCATGAGTTCCTGCCGTGCAGATGGGAATGCAGCCCTGTACTCCTCCACCCACCCAGCTACTCCGTGTCCTTAGCTCAGTGAGGTCGGTCGTACTACCTGGAAGTGGCACACCTGCTCCGTGCATGCCTGTCTCTCCTTTTCTGCATTTTCTCCTTGGGAGTCTGAACCAGAAGGCTGCTTTCCCCTCCTTGCTTATTCCGCCTCCAGCCTTCTGACCGGGTAGCATTCTGGCTGAAAGCTAGGAAGTTACAGGCCCAGTAGGGCACCCGGGTGACCCCCACTAGCACACAGCAAGAGCCCCCTCCCTGTTCTCCAGTGCCAGAGCCAGGAAGAGGAGGCAGCCAGCAGTGTCCTTTCTACCACTCGCCTGCATCTCTGCCACAGCATGTAGGGTTGGACCGGAGGACTTACTTCTCCGAGGGATGGTAGCAGCCGGGTGGCTGGTGGGTCCGCTGAGACTGCCGAACTGGGGACCGAGCTGCCAAAAAGATGTTGAAGTTTCGGGCTGATCGCCGGGTCAGGTAGGGATTCCTTGCATAGACTGGAAATCAGAGCAGGCTGAGCTGGCCCTCATCCTCTTGGGATCTGGGGGCTTTTCGGTGAGGGGTCTGCAGGACTGACCTGGGAGGCGGGCATAGTTAGGTCAATGGCTGCTGCATTGCAGTGCCTGGGAAGGGAAAGCTGTTTTGAAATTGGTAGCGCCGGGAGAGAGGGAGGACGTCATTTGTAGGGGTTGCTGGGTAGGAGGCTCTAGGGCAGGGAGTAGACTCGAGATGGCTGACGGCAGAGTATGCATGGCTCTCTGTGTGTCTGTGCGTATCGGTGTCTGCAGGGGGCTCCTAGCAGTGCAGAGGGGTCTGGAGGGGCAGAGCAGGGTGGGAGGGGATGGGTGTTCCAAGCCAGCAAGCAAAGGAAAGAGCACGGCACCTCAAAGACTTTAGTTGTCACAAACTACCCGCCCCCCAGACCTCTGGGGGAGCAGAGCCAGAGACAAGGGTAACCGGAAACAAATACCCTTCCTTGATCCTCTGATTAAATGAAGAAGGGCATCCTTATTGGGAGGGTGTGGGACTATAATTTGGGAAGGGGGAGTGATTATCAGTATGCTAGAGTTAACTCAGGCCCTCGGACACAGGTCAGATTTCGGGTCCTGGGTGTCAAGCCCAGGCGGTAGTCACTGCCTGCTGTGTTTCTGTCCCCTATGTCTTTGGATTAGATCTGAACAGGACTGGTTTGGAAGCAGGAAAAAAAAAAACCCTTTGATATTATCTTTAGCTTCAACAGACAGCTTGAGGGCTGAGATGTGGCCTGGGCTATTGAAAGAAAATGTCCAAAAGGTTAATTTCACCTCTCCCCTGTGGTGAAAGGGACCAAGCTAAGATCTTCCTCTGGCGGGCCTGAGGCGGGTCGAGCAGACAGCTGGTCTTTGCTGTGGGTGCTTCGGTGGCCCCCTCTCAGCAGTCCCTGTCCCCCTGGTTGCTCCTAGGGTCAGCTGGAGCCTGCTCTGGGCTTTCCCAGTTTTTCTAAGAAGGGTGGGAGACAAGGACCTTGGAACTCATCCAGCCCCCCGTAGACTGGACACTTGAGCCTCCTACGTTCTTGCCAGGCGGTCCTGTCACACGGCTGTGACTTGTGCCTTAGACCCACGGCACCAGCCGCCCTCCCATGTCCCCTGGGAGGCCACAGGGAACTAGCCTGACATTCAGCAGCCAGAAGAGCCTCAGCACCCTCCCCAAAGGAGCCTCCATGTCCCACTCTCTGTCTGCCTCTGTGTCCCCCACCCCTGGTTCCTGCTTCTCCTGCTTCCAGGCAGGCTGTCCTCAGAACACCCCACCCACTGCTGGCCACAGCAAGCCTTAATTACATCCGACCATTCAGCCAGCGCTGACCTTGGTGCCTGACAGCTCCTGAGGTCTCCGTGACCTGGAGACAGAAGACCCCGGCCTAGGAGCCTAGGAGCGTGGCTGTGTCCCAGCCCAAGCTCAAGGGTAGAGTTTCATTTAAAGAAAGAGATAAAGCATAAAGCAGGAGAGACAGAGTCCAAGGTCACCAGAGAGTTCTTTCAGCAAATAATGAGGGAGCATTTTTTGTGTGGTGCTCCGGCAGGCACTGTCACACTGTCACACGCACGCTGTTGAACTTGCAGGTGGACAGCCCACCCCACCCTCCCACCTTCACCTAGGATGACCACTAACCGAGTTAGCTAGTGGCTGTTGGAGCCTGGGGTCTCTAGTAAGTGTTTACACCGACTGGTAAAAGGGGACCGAGGTCATTTCTTCTTCCCCAACCTGGGCCTGCAGCTGCTTCTGCTGCGGCCTACTTCTCCTTGTCCCCACCAGAGGACAGACGTGCTGCTTCTCACATGCTCACGTGTGCCTGTCCCGGCCCCAGGTCTGTCTTCCCTTTGGATTATGTGTCTGCCTTCTGCACCGGTACCACCATCTCTCCCTCTTTTCCCTCTCCAGCCACAATGAAAGACGGAACACATTCCGGCACCCAGTGACGGGCCAGGTCCCACAGGAAAACAAAAAATTTGACTTGAAAACGTAAGTGTGCCCTTCGCCTAGCTGTCTGGTGTTTTTGTCTATCCCCACCCCATCCCACTGCCACTGTGGAGCTGGCATGGGGCGGAATAGCGAGGGAAGGAAAGAATGGATCTAGAGTCACTGGCCTCATTCCGGGCGCACAAGCTTCTGGGTCCCATTGCTTCACACCCTCACCTACCATTTCTGGGACTGGCAGACACAGGTGGACCCTTTGCATGGTTTGAACTGTAGGAGTCAAAGCCAGGTCTGAGGTTGGCGCAGCGCCAGGGGCCTCTGCAGGCAGTGCAGAGGGAATGTGACGGAATCACAAGCGCTCATTCCTCTTACTCATCCTCTAATGTGGATCCTGCCTCACCGAATGAAAGGAGGGAGAAAAAAGGAAAAGGATAATTCATTGACTCTTGTAAGCCACTCAGACATTGTGAGCTTAAAATTAGAAGGACAAGAAATTCCCAAGTCCCAGAACATAGACTTTTTAAGTAAATTGGCAGAAAAGAAAGAGGAGGATGTCTGGAATTGCTGGCATTTAACCCCAGAAGGGATGGAAAGTTGCTATGAGGGCCTCTGGGTGGCCCCAGGGGATGGAATTCTGTGCTGATCTGGAACAGTGGGTGGCAGGGTGGGTGGGGAAGAGGGACGGGCTTTTCCTGTTGCTTCTTGGCTCTGACTCATGTCTTTCCTCCCGTCAACCTGAAAACAGATTGGCCTTGGACATGTCCAATAAAGCAGGTGGGAAGCGGCCTGCTACCACGAACAGTGACACAGCCAACCACAACATGGTGTCTGAGGTCCCTCCGGAGCGGCCCAATGTCCGGGTGAGTCCAGCCCTCAGGGCAGTGTCAGACGGGAGACAGCTTCGGTGCAGTTTAGTGGGATGCTGGGGACTCCTAGGAAATCCTCGCAGCAGAACCGTACGGAAGACTGGCATCTAGACTGGGCCTCTGGTACTCTCAGTCCTGTTAGCGTTTGGGGCTGGATAGTTCTTGGTGGTGCTGGTCTGTGTTGCCCAGTGCAGGATGTCCACCAACATCCCTGACCTCTGACCCACTAGAGGGCAATAGGACCCCCCATTCCAGTTATGACAGCCAAAGTGTCTCCAGACATTGTCAAATGTCCCCTGGGGAGAGAGTGACCCTGTTCTCATTGAGAGCCACTGATCTAGGGTTCAGTGAAAGAAGTCTCCTGGGAAGGCCATGGGGATTAAGTTGGAGGTGGGGGAGAGCTCGCGCGGAGGAAGTAACCCAGGGAGAAATGTTAGGGGGAGATCCAGCAGGATTGGGGCTGAAAGTGTCCTTTGGGTTTTGGAATAATATGGCACGTGGTAAACAAGCTGGAGAGGGTTAAAGAGGGGGAGGAGTAAAACTTCCCTTCTTAGAAATCAGGCAAAGATGGCTATAAATTCATATCATGGAGTATTCTCCAAAAATTAAAATGCCATCTTAAAAACATGATTCTGCAAGTTTCAGAATATGAAAACTGTATCACTTATGTAAAATGCGCAAACATGAAAAGCAGTGCTACCTATTTATAGACGCATCTGCAGTACAAGTGTCCGTCCAACCATGGGCAAGGAGACTAATTTTGGGTCAGTGGTTGCCTCTAGGGAAGAGAAAGGTAATGGGGTTGGAGAGAGCCTCAAAGGAGGTTTTGCCTCCCCTTGCGTTGTCTTACTAGGGAGAAAAACCAGGAAAGAGATGATTATTATTTTATTCTCTGCTTTTCTGAAATGCTTGAGGTATTTCAAGAAGGTATTTTTAAAAACTTTTTATTTTTTTCTACTTTTTTTTTTGGTACTGGGGATTGAACTTGGGTCCTTGCTCTTCTGCAGCAGGTGGTGAAACCACTGAGCTAAATCCCTGGCCCAAAAGCTTTTTATTTTTTAAATAGCATGCAGTACTTGCACATATTCATGGGGTTCAGTGTGGGGTTCAGTGTCGTAGTTCAACCTGCGCATAGAGCATGCACTGATCAAATCGGGGAAGTTGCCTTTTCCTTGTCCTTATCATTTTTTTATGTTTGGAGGCTTCGAGCTCCTCTCATCTAGGTCTTCATAAAATACATAGCAGGTTGTTGTGAGCTGAAGTCCGACTGTGAAGGAAAATGGGGAATTGGGGCCTGGAAGCTACATTTGCAAGATGGAACAGGTTTGTTGGTTAGCTGGCGGCATGAGAAGTAGCAGGTTCAGGAGCAGAGGAGGACGGCTGTCCACACTTCGTTGGGGACAGGAGCCAGATGCTGTGCTCTTAGCCTAGATTCGAAAGGGGCTCCTCTTCCTGAGGTGCATTTAAAAAAAGATATGGGGGGGGCCGGGGATTTAGCTCAGTGGTTTCACCGCCTGCTGGCAAGTGCAAGGACCCAAGTTCGATCCCCAGTACCAAAAAAATAAATAAATAAAAATAAAAAACAAAAAAAGATATGTGAAGTTGAGATGGGTATCAGAAATTGAAGACATCCCTGCCTGTGTCCCTGACTTTTGCAGGAAAGGAGCAGGTATAGGGTGGAGAGCAGGTTGGGGAAAGAGGAATGGTAGCCAGTGAGGGACATTGCCCTGTAATTTCCCAGGTGTAGTTGGGAAGCTATGGTGAGGCAACGAGGGGCCGGCAGGGGACAGAAAGGTGAGAGGAACATGATACTCTGAAAGCAGAGAGGGACTTCGTTTGGGACTTGCATACCCTTGAGGGGGTGATGGTGAATCTGTGGATTTTTACTAGTAATGTGCGGAAAACAATTCTGTTTCCTCTCTGGGCTTCTCTCTATAAGTATTTACTAAGTACTGGTTATGGCTGGACAGCTTGCTGGCTCTGTTGACCAAGTGATGAGCAAAACAAAGTCCCTCCCCGGGAGGAGCACATGGTGTAGTGAAGGAGACAGAGGTGGTAGACTGCACAGCCCCAAGCAGGGCTGACGGCTCGGGGACATCCTGGAGGTTTCCAGGGAGAGGGGAGTCTGCACTGCACTGTGAAGGATGGGCTGGGAGTTGTGGGTCGACAGAGGTAGATGCCCTGCCCAGCGAGGGGAGGCCGGCAGAGGCATGGGAGAGTGGGAGAGAAGCTGAGGGCAGGGTGCCTTCTACCTGCCCTTGTGTGCTGTGCTGGGAACTTAGACCTGTCCTCAGTGATGAAAGCTGGTAAGAAATTTTAAGCAAGAGAGAGGCATGGTTATAATGTGCATTAACAAAAGCACCTTCATTCATTGGAGATTCAGCAAGAAGAGATGAGGCCCTGCAAGAAAACCACAGAAGCAAGGACAGATCTGAGCCGTGTTCAGGAGATAAACTCCGGCTGGGGCTGTAGTGCAGTGGTAAAGCACTTCCCTAGCATGCACAAGGCTGAAGGTTCAATCCCCAGCCCCGCAAAACAAACAGGCAAACAAAGAAATGCAAAATAATAAAAGTTTGGTTGAAGTCCACCAACACTTCAGAGCAGAAGACGGGAAGACAGAAGGAGCAGCCAGCAGTGGAGGTTTTGAAAGGAAAACAGTAGCGTGAACCAGAAGAGGGTGGAAAGTTAACAGTGCTGGTGCTTCAGAGTGGCCTTAAGTCCATGCTGTGGAAAGAGCCATTTCAGAATGAAGGAGAGCAGGTTTGGCGTGGGGGGAGGAAGAGAGCCTAACCTGAAGAGGGAGGGAGGTGGTTCTGCCCACCCTTACGTGGGCAGAGGGTGGGGAAGTGTGGGAGAGACAGACGCCTGCAGACAGACCGCCTGGAGAGGGCCAGCTGGGGAGAAGCAGCCATTGGTGAAGGGCACACTGCAGACAGATGTGAAGGAGATGGTCAGGGAGGCAAAGTCTCAGAGGAGATGGCGGGCCCAACGTGCCATCCTTGGAAAGGAGGGTGGCACTTCTTCTGGCATTGAGGGAAAGAGACAGAGATAGCTGCTGAGGAATGTAATTTTCTAGGTAAAAGGGTGTGAAATTGGGGAAATGCGTGTCTGATAGCTTCAGTTTCTCTGTGGGGAAGCTGGGTCCACGTGGGGAGTGGAGAGGCTGGGGAGGTTGGAGGCTTCGAACAGGTGGTGCGGGTGGGGTGGAGCTGCTGTTTTGGCTCGGCCAGCTGGGGTCTGCAGCCATGCATCTGCAGTGACCTCATCGCTACCGCAGTGTAACTTTTTTTTCCCCCTCCAGCAGCACCGTAATCTGGCTGTTAGTACAGGGAGGGTGGATAATTTGATTCATTCGGAATATTGGATTTCAGAGACGATGAAACAGCAAGACAATGGATGGGGTTTGAGTCAGCCTTTGGAGGGTAACAACTAGAACCTGGAAGTAGCTGATGGCTCCAGAAAGAAAGGGAAAGGTGCAGGAGCGAGGGATCTCAGCGAAGTAGAAAAATGGGGAAGTTGAGTGGTGATGGAGGGAGGAAGCCCAGAGGTTAGAACAGTGATCAGAAATGGGGACTTGAGACTTGAAGGTGTTGCAAGGTGGCTTGGAGGCTAAGCTGTGGCCCCAAGAGTTGAGGACGTGGGGTTGTAGACAGTGGGGACACTGGACAGGCACCGTCACGAGCAGTGAGATTCACACAGTGATTCCAAGGTTGATGAGAATAAAGAGGCTAGCAGAACCCTTAGACTCCAAAAGAATGGTCTAGAAGCTGCTTGTGATGAGAAGGGAGGCCGGGCAAGGGAGCTTCAAGGAAGGCAGACTTTTCCCGAGTGTGGAAGAATGGCATTGTCTACGGCCCTGAGGAGCCACAGGCTGCCGAGGACGGAGCAGGGCTCAGAGAGCAGGTGACGCAGTCCGCTCACTCGCAGGTGCACGGATGCCCGAAAGTGCTGTGATGAGAGTGCACAGGGTGGAGGGTAAAGGAAACCTCGGCCAGGAGTGAAATGAGAAATCCTATTTTCTTCTTAGACATACCTGAGTTAGTAACAGATTCAAGATTCACCCCTGGGCCTCAGCGTGAGGCCTGGGGCTGGGGCTCCGGGGGACCGTGCTTGCCTAGTGTGCCCAAGGCCCTGGGATCCATCCCTAGCACAGGAGAGGGAAAGAGAGGAAGACAGAGAGGGAGAGACAGAGACAGAGAAACAGCCTCTGGGGAGCTCCCTTGCAGCTAGAGCAGGAGGAGGGGGTGAAGCACGGCCAGCTTCTCTCTGCCTCTCTAGGCAACTCGGGCATCCCGCAAAGCCATCGCCTTTGGCAAGCGCGCACACTCCATGAAGCGGAACCCCAGTGCCCCCGTCACCAAGGCAGGCTGGCTCTTCAAACAGGTGAGGCCACCTTGCCACTCCTCCCCCCGTAACCACCTCTCTGCTCATGGCTTTGTGGCTCCCCAGTGTTGACGGCACAGCGTGTACTTTTCGGAATGTCCTCCCATTGTCTCTGGGAGTGAGTGTCCTCGTCATGTAAAGCCTTCTCAGAGTCACACAGAATTATCAGGGTGTCAAATGTGGGAGTCCCAGTAGCTCCTGAGGGGCAAACGCAACAACAATGAAATGGTGCTGGGTCATTCTTGGCCCCTCTTGCTATGGTGGGGGTGGGTGTCCCCTTCAAGCCTGGGGGTCCCCCAGCTCACCCCGGGTTAACCTTGCCATGCCGCTACCTACCCTCTTCTCACCCATTTGGGCTCATTTCTTGTCCCTGAAACTCAGGGGTGATGCACCACGTGTTGGTAGCAGGGTTGCGACTGGAGGTAGGATGTGTGTTTAGTTGGGGTGGTGCTGTCCTCCCTGTACGCGCCTCCAACCCGCTGCACACCCAGCTCCCAGCCCCACATCTGTGTCTCCATGTGTCCTGCAGGCCAGCTCCGGGGTGAAGCAGTGGAACAAGCGCTGGTTCGTGCTGGTGGATCGCTGCCTCTTTTACTACAAAGGTGAGCTTTCCTGGGGCCGCCATGCCGTCCCATCCTGCCTTGGCACTGTGCCCTGCTTTGGGTGGGCATCAGCACAGAGGTCTCCCCACGGCGGTTCCTGGCACCAGTGGGGCATGGTGCTCACTCACAGTCACTCATTCACTCAGTTGCGAGTCAGCAGTGTTTACTGATGCCTACAAGGTGTCAGGCAGAGTTCTGGATCCTGGCGTGGGGAAGACAGTAGCATGAAGAGGAGGGGCCACTAGTCACTAACAGCAAGTTTGGGTGTTAATCTTCTCCTGTCCCATGGGAGTGCATGATCAGTCCCCAGAGGCGAAGTTTTTGCCAGTTTTGTTTGCTGCAGAGTTCACAGCACCCAAAGGAATGTGCAGTGCACAGTGGATGTCCAGCTGACACCAAATAAGTGAATGACCCCTGCTTCCACCTCTCCTCACCCCCACACTCACCCCTAGTCCCTCCTACCCTCAAGAGGAGGGCAAGATCGGGGAACTGGTGCAGCCTCCTCTGGGCAGTTACTGTAAAATGTACACAGTCACATGTCCAGGAGGCACGGAAGGCAGAGCAAAGGCTGCTGACAGTAACGGTGGCCTCCTGGCAGGCCCTGGAGCCGGGGGAAGAGGTGAGAGGATAAGGAGAGACTGAGGCAATGAACTAGAAGCAAGAGAAGCTCTTTGCTCCACTCCCTTGCCCCTGCCTTCCTCAGGCCTCCTCAGAGCAGTTTGGTGAATTATTAACTTTGGCAAACAGAGGTTGTACCCGGTGTTCCTGGGCCCTCAATTGCAGCCAGCTGAGCCCTAAGGTTAGACGTGAAGAAGGGGCTGAAGATGCTGGGCCAGGGTGCAGGAAAGCCCAAGCCTGGGGGAGGAGAATCTGGCCAGCCCAGGCCCAGGTGCTGAGCCTGGACTGCCCTGGAGCAGGTGGGACGGGACTGGGAAAAAGCCCTGAGCCTGCAGGCACAGGGCAAGATGTACTGCAAACAGGGTCACTGCCTGCCACTTGGTGGCCTCGGAGCAGCCCTCAGCTTGGTCCTTTTCCTGTTGCTGGGCAGCTTATCAAGGACAGAAGTTTGTTTTGGCCACGGTCCTGGAGAATGGGAAAGCCGAGGGCCCGGCGCTGGCTGCTGCTTGGGCTCCGGGGAGGCCTGGGCCACCTCACCTCTCGGCAGAAGCAGAAGGACAAGTGGGTGCATGCAGAGAAAGCAAAACCCGAGGGCAGTGTTGCCTTATAGCCACTCCCCTGGAGGAGCCCGGGCTGTGAGGAGGATCTCACCCCTCTTTAAACCCCGCCACCGCTGACCCCTGCTACTTTGGGAATCTGATTTCAGTCTGAGATTTTCATGCAAACCGTGGAACCCCCTGCACACTGGCCTGTACCCTCCAGGCAGAGCACCATTTCCTCTCGAGGACGTCAGCTCCAAAACAGGACTTTCAGAGTCCCTGGCCCAGGAACAAATGGCAATCCCAGAGGAGAAGCGAGGGCCTGGCAGTGCCGCGCGTTTGTCCCCCACCTGTTCCATAGAGCACCCTGCCCTGTCTGGCCTCCTGGTGACAGCTGGGCTGACTAGCTAATCCTTTAGGCTCCTGTGGAGAGCCAGGATGAATTATGAAACAGCCCAGTTGTTAGCTGAATCCTGGACGACAGGGCTGGAGTGCCACACAGGAGCGTACTTTCCTGAGGGAGAGCAGGGGCCTCTGAGGGTCTGCAGCAGGCTGCTGGGTAACCCAGAGGAGCCAGGGAGTGGAAGAGGGCGGGTGTCCTCACCTGTGTCCCATCTATGCCCCTGCAAAAGTGTGGCTGGAATGGTCCTGTCTAGAAGATATGATAGAGGTCAAGAAGGCTTGCTTTGCAGTCATGCTTCTTGGGTTTAAAGACCAGTTCCACTGCTGACTACTGAAGGGATCTTGGACAAATTCCTTAGCCTTTCTGTGTCTTCAGTTCCTTGCTTGTCATATGGGGGTAATAGCAGTACCTCTCCAGGGAGTAGTTGGGAGAGTTGAGTCCAGTAAGACGTTTGACTTATACCAGTGTCTGACACAAGGTGAGCACTCCCAGAATGTCAGCCCTGAGTGTGTATTTGTGCCGTAGAAGAACACAAACACCTGGAACGGGGGAGATCCTACTCCTCTCTTCATGACCTCTCTACAGTCCGGTGTCTGAAACAGCGTTCACGGGGTCCCCCACCCCCAACCCCAGGAGTATGCCTGTGGCCCCGGTGTGTAAGCAGCTGCAAGTGGCATCGGGAATCACATGTGCGCACTTCTCTGGGCCTCTTTCCCTGGCAGATGAGAAGGAGGAGAGCATCCTGGGCAGCATTCCCCTCCTGAGCTTCCGGGTCGCGGCTGTGCAGCCCTCGGACAACATCAGCCGGAAGCACACATTTAAGGTCAGTCGGGTCTCCTTTCTGGAATGCTGCCAGGGACGAACCCCATGCATGAGGGGTCAAGGGCGTCTCCCTAAGGAATCCCAAGTGGCAGTGGGGGGGAGGGCTTAGGCAGTGGCCCCTGGGCTCAGTATGGGTTACTTGAGGCCCCCTGAGGACCCCAAGGTGGGTGCTTCCCCTGAGTGGGCCAGGAGAGGTGCACCTCAATAGTGGTTTTCACACTGGGCCTCCTGCCCAGGACCTGCCCCTGAGAAGTCCCTCTAGGCAAAGGCAGGAATGTGGCTGCTGGGGTTCTGAGATCTTTTGGGGAAAGGACTTCTCCTCACCTTGGGCCCAAGGAACTGGACGCCTGATGCTCAAATTTCAGTCTTTAGAGAAAATTAGGAGTTGCATTTCATTCTGATTTGAGCAGCAAACTTTGTATAGACAACAGTTAGAGAGGACAAGGGCCCAGGAAAATGGGACTCACTGCCTACTCAGTGTCACCTCCTCAGAGGCCCCGGGGAACCACCCAGCAAAGGCCTGCCTGCAGCTGGCTCATCCTAGGCCAGTGTTTTTCCACCTTTAAAAATTCATGACCCATTAAAAACTATAAAAATCCCATGCCCTTTTTGTATTTTGTGCTGCAAAAGCCATAGGTTTCTTTTTGCTTTCCAAATATATAGCATCAACTATGCATTTTCTTAGGACAAAGCCCTCCCTCCCTCCCTCAGTTGAGAATTGCTGTCCAAGTCCCTTAAAACCAAAGCTGTGCTGTTAGATAGGTCCTGCAAGTCACAGCAGTCCAGGAGCTGGGGTCCTAGGGCTCTTGCTGCCCAGATGGGGTCAGCTGGCTACAGAAGAGAGGTGGGAGCATGCACAGGTCCTGCCGTGGGGAACTAGAAGGGGCTTATTTGCCACATAATTAGTTTCCAGCCTCCCAGGGTCTTGTGTGGCAGAGGTGTGAACAGAACGAACAATTAATAAAACTCTGACTCCGGGGAGCGGGATTCTAGCTGGGGAAATGGGAACAGGCTGTTTAACCAACAAAGGGTCCTACCTTACAAGCTACAATTACACACCCACACCCCATCAAACAGCCTGGCTCCCCCTCCCCACCAGACCCGTTAGAGACACACACCCCGGCTTGGAGCAGGGCCAGATGGCAGCGTCAGACAAACATCTCCGAATGATAACGCGGCACTGCCCCAAAGCCAGAGGTCAATTCTGTGCCTCGGAGCCCTCAGCTGCAGCGCCCACCTGTCCCTTGTCCGGGGTGGCACTGCCCCTTTAAGGCCCGGCTCTGTGGCCCACAAAGGGTTCTGACTGTGGCTATTCAGCTGCCCTTCCCCAGGGAAGGGAGGGAGCTGAGACAGACAGACTGGAGGCTTGTCTTGCTGTGACCACCAAGCAAAACTCTTGGATGGCGACCAATAAGGAGCCAGGAACTGTTCTGCCTCGGGTGCCGCTGAATGCTTTAACCTCTCCTAACCCACACCTTCTGGATTCTCTGGCCCCTTCCCTCCCACTCCCCATCAATGGCCCTGTTTCTTCCCAGGCCCTCTGCCTTCCCCTGTCACAAACACGTGCTCCTGGGCCTGTGTTGGCTCCTTGTTTCCTGTGGCATGTTTTGCCCCAGTGTGACCGTGAGCTCAAGTGCAAGAGCATGCCTGGGCCTTTCTTGTGCCCGGTGCCATGCACCAGTGAGCTATGCACACAGACTGCTTGCCGGATGTTCTGAATCAGTGGCTTTATTTGCTGCCCACTCCCCCCACCCAGGACATGCTGCCATCCTCCCGTGCCTCCTGCCCCGCTCCCCCCATCAGCCTGTGTTTTCCACCAGAGGGCTCGCCGGGTACCAAGCCTCTGTTCTTGTGCGGTTTCAAGTCCCCGTGGCCTCCTTACAGCTCTGCTGGCTGTCCATCAGCCCCTCCCTGGCCGCTCCCATACTGTCCTCAGCTCTGCCGCATGCTGGGCCCCTGGCTGGAGGGAGGGTGGGGATCAGCCAGCGGGATCCAGAGGAAGGAGGCCCATCCCTGCCCCTTGCTGGGGAAAGGGGAGGTGAGGCCCGGGTGGCTGCAATTCAGGAAGCTTCATGAAGGTTGGGCTGAGAAACATCTGAGGGTGTGGGTTTGAGCTTGCTGCTTAGCAGAGGCCGGAGCCCATCAGGGAGCCCACACCCAGACCCAGGTTTAGTTCCTGAGGAAATCAGAGGCCAGGATGAGGCTCACCTCTGGGACGTCATCACATCTGGATCCCTCCTGTTAAGTGCGATAAACCAGGCTACTGGTTTGGGGGGATCTAGAGGATCTCACCTAGAGAGCAGGTTGAGGTCCCAGAAAAAATGTAGAACTGTGGTCTCTTTTGCTTGTGGCCAAAGAAGCTTGAGTGTCACTGGCTGAGCCTCTCCCCATTGAGTTGATGCATCAGTTAAGGCCAGAGTGAAAAAGCAACTTGGCTGCAGCAGCAGGGTGGCCGGAAGCAGAGAGGGGATCAGCACTGGGGTTCCCTGCCCAGATTCCTGTAGTGCACACCGTCCATGCCCCACCCCTGGCGGGGCTGAGCAGGGCACCGTGGGTTGCTGTCTGTCCTTCCCTGCAGTGACACCGAGTAGAAGGGACAGTCTAAGCCCCCTCCCATCCTCACCGTTTCCTGCCTCTTGTCTGTCTCTCCCTCTGGTGTTGGTTGACCTGTTCTCTGGTTCTTCTCCTTCTGACCACGTGAGGACCCCTCCTCCGAAAGGAGCTCGCTTCTGGGTTCCTGCTGTGTCTGCTCCTGGCCGCCAACTAGGTAGTGTGCTCCATCTGAATGCCAGTGTACGCCCTTGCATGCCTTGGTCGGGGCTCGGCTGTCTCCCTGCAGGGAGGAGACAGGGCAGAGACTGATGTGTGCCTGGGGGCCATCTCCCCAGGACCTCGGGTGATGGCTACATGTGGAATTGGAGGGGAGAGTGGGTATGATAATTGTCCCTCCCCACTTATAATCACCTCAGGTGGGACAGGTAGGCCTGCCTGGCTTCTGGGTGGCCCGGTGGCATTCGGAGACCTAACCAAGGGAGTTCTGTGGATCCCAGCTGGAGCCCACACCTCACCTTGGTCCTGAGCTCTGGCCCAGGGAGAGCTGCGGGCTCAGGAATGGCCCGACTGACTGCCTCTCCTGTGGGTGTTGGTGTCCTCTCCCTACAGGTGACTGTGTGCTGGGTAGATGAGGCCAGGGCCAGTTCCACGCACTGCCTCTCCCCGCAGGCCGAGCATGCTGGTGTCCGAACCTACTTCTTCAGTGCCGAGAGCCCCGAGGAGCAGGAGGCCTGGATCCAGGCCATGGGGGAGGCTGCCCGGGTACAGATCCCTCCAGCCCAGAAGTCTGTGTCCCAACCTGTGCGTCACAGGTGAGTGCAGTGCACCTGGTGTGGGAGGGAGGAGAGAGCCATGGAAGAGGTGCCCATTGCAGTGCCATTGCTGAGCCCAGGGAGCTGCTGCAAACCTCTGAGGAGCCTGGGAACCAAATCCTTGCATCCAAGCAGGGGTCTGGGTAGGGGATTGCAGAGCCTGAGGTCTCTGTTGCCCTGCCGGCTCCTCCTCTTCTCTCTGAGCTGAGGGAGGCAACAGAGGGCCCGGGTTCCTTGAGGCCTGGCCAGGAGCCAAAGGTGAGGGTCCTGTGTCTTGGCCTTGTCATCAAGGACACAGCCTCGGGCGAGGATGGTCTCAGGTTTGCACCAGTGTGGCCCCTGGGCTGCAGTGTGACCTCAGTGTAAATGACTTCATCTCTCAGATCCTGAGCTTTCTTTCCTCCCAAATCAGCAATTACAGTCTTATGCCAAGGCTGCCGTGAGGACTGCACAGTGTATGTGACACACTTGACGTGTAGCAGACACTCAGCATATGGCTGCTCTCAGCACCCACCACCCCGCGGTCTCTGTGCCTGTCTCTCCTTCAGCTGGGTGTGGAGCCTTCAGTGAGGTGTTCGTGGGGATCCAGAAGAGGGGGTTCCGCAGTACAGACTCCAAGTCTCACCATGTGTCTTAGAAATGTTTATCCAGCAGTGTTTCCACACGGAGGCCTGAATCACTCAACCTCAGGAAACTATAGGGAGAAAGTTGTCAAAGATTCCAACTTGTGCACTTGCAGTTCACTTGAAGGCTGGGATGCAGCTTTGTGGCAGAACGCCTGCCTAGTGTGTACAAAGCATTCCAGCACTGCATAAATACAAACAGGACCAGAAGCTCCTTCATTCGCTGCACTATTTATCTATTTATTTATTTTATTTCTGCAGTACTGGGTATTGAACCCAGGGCCTTCGCACTAAGCTACATCCCAACACCACCACCCCACTTCCCACCCCCCTTGGAGATGGGGTCTCACTAAGCTGCTAAGTTATCCAAGCTGGGTACAAGCTTGTGATCCTTCTGCTTCAGCTTCCTAGAGGACAGGGATTGCAGGCCTGTGCCCCCATGCCCAGATTTCTATTTGACAGATATTTACTGTGGTTATAAATGTGTGCGATCCTATACCAAGTGCTAGGAATACAAGGTAGGAAAGGCTCCCGAGTTCCTGCCCTCATGGAGCCTGCCTGCTAATGGAAAGTCAGTCCTGGAGGCACCTGTTTTGGAGAAGGGAAGGGGACATGGCTATATGCCCAGGAATTTGGAGCGGCAACTTCTGCCCCTGCTGCCTGCTGTGTTTCTTCTGCTGTTCTGGAGGACAGGGGGCCGTCACACCCATTCTGCCAGGGAGGAGCCCAAAGCTTGAGGAGTTAAGCAGCTTTCTGTAGAAGAGAAGATGAGCTGTAGCAAGCCTCTGTAGCTAAGCATGGTTACTGCCTTGAAACTTCAGAATCACACAGACTGATTTGGATTGAGGAAGGGTAACAGGTGGCAGGACCAGGTGAGTTGAGTCTTGGCCATAGCGGAAGGCTGGGCTCCGCACGGGCAGCAGGGGAGTGGAGCACGACCTGAGAAGAAGACCTGCAGGGCAGGCCCATCCGGGCATGCGTGGGCAGGACTGCTATATGTAATTGCCCAGGCTGGAGCAAGGACAGGAAGCCTGGGATTTAGAAAGTGGGATCGGAAGTGGCTGCGTCTTGTCTCCATCGCTGCCTCCTTGCCCATGCCTCCCCACTTCTCTTCCCCTTCCCAATCTGCCACCCCTGCCCAACTCCATGATGGGCTGGAGTCACGTATAATGTCTCCCTTGGCACCCTGCAGCCATGAGAAGCCAGACTCCGAGAACATCCCACCCAGCAAGCACCACCACCAGCCCCTGCACAGCAGCCTCCCCAAGCCCGAGCCAGAGGCCAAGACTCAAGGGGAGCATGACGGCCGAGGCTTTGAGAAGGCCGAGCGGAGGCCCGAGAAGCCTGAGATCAAGAAGGAGCCTCTGGTGAAAGCCAACGGCGTCCCAGCTGGACCCGCACTGGGCTCGGAGCCCGGCAGCCCTTACCCCGAGAGCCCCAGGGTCCCAGGGGGTGGGGAGCAGCCAGCCCAGCCCAATGGCTGGCAGTACAGCTCCCCAAGTCGACCAGGGAGCACGGCTTTCCCGCCTCAGGACGGGGAGAATGCGGGGCACCGGGGGGGCTTCCCACCTCGCAACAACCCTGACAAAATCGCCCAGCGCAAGAGCTCCATGAACCAGCTGCAGCAGTGGGTGAACCTGCGCCGAGGGGTGCCGCCCCCCGAAGACCTTCGGAGGTGAGGCCTCCTGGGCAGGGGTGGGGCTGGGTCGGTCTTAGGCCCAGGGTTTGGGAAGGGTTTTAACCTGTGAAGTGCCCCCTGTTGGGAACCCTCTGGAAGCCAAGCTAAACTGGAAAACCAACACAATCCCCTGATTCCCAGCCTGCCCAAATCCCTTACCACATCACAGTTCCATCTTTAGGGTATGTCTGTGGTCCCTGCTTCTTGCTTTCTCTGTCTGCTTCCTTCCAAAAAGATAGGGCAACCCAGTACCTCTCCACAGGGTGTTGGGGAGCCCAGGAATCTGGCAGGTTGGGGAGGACCTCAAAGTTGTTCTGGTCTGACATTGGTCCATGCTGTGGATCCTCCATCATCTCGTCTGGTGTTGCTGCCAACACCAGACCCACTGGCTTCCAAGCCCACCCACTTTGTTTTTGAATAGTTCCGTTATTTTAAAGCCATTATTTATAGGAAATTTGTTGTTTGTTATTTGTTTGAATTTTTGAAACAGTTTCACCACGTAGTCCAGACACCAGAGCAACTCATTGGTCCTAATACTGTCCTCGATGACCAATTTACTCCTCTATCTAATGACTGGGCTTCAAATATTTGAGGACATTTATCAGGCCTGATAACATTCCTTGGAGCGAATAAGCTGGCCAGCTCCTTCCCTGGGGGGCTCTAGGGGCTCCATTACCGGCCTCATGGTGGCCCTAGGCTTGGGAGAGACCCGCCCTCTAGCGGCTGATCTGTAGCTCACTGCTGGTGACCCAAGCACCTTGGGACAAGTGGCAGGAAGCTGCTGGAGCTTCCTGACAGGTCCTGCAGCCAGGCCACTGCCCTTTCCTCCCTTCTCTGCTGCCTGGATTCCTTCTTCTCTTGCCTCCCTCGGAAAGAATCTGATAGATTGGTTCCCACTCAGATGCAGACGGCTAATAAGGCGTACAGTTCCCTTCTAGGGCGTTTCATTTTAAAGAGTCAAAGATTGAAGCTCAGCGGGGGCCGCTCCCGGCTGAAGGAGGGGCTTCCCCTCACACTGAAATAAGCTCTTCCCTGTGCTCACAAACCAGCCCGGGGCGCATTCACCTGTTCAGCACCTGCTCTGACCGAGGACATGGGGATGGGGCCCAGTGCCTGGGTAGAGACGCGCCAGTACGTCTGCTCTCCTTACGCTGCCCTCTCTCTTCAGCCCGTCCAGGTTCTATCCAGTGTCCCGCCGGGTCCCTGACTGTTATGGCCCCTATCCCTCCCAGTACCCCGACGATTACCAGTACTACCCACCGGGGGTGCGACCTGACAGCATCTGCTCCATGCCCGCCTACGATCGGATCAGCCCGCCCTGGGCCCTGGAGGACAAGCGCCACTCCCTCCGCAATGGGGGCAGCCCTGCCTACCAGCTGCGCGAGTGGAAGGAGCCTGCGGGCTACGGATGGCAGGAGGGCACCGTCTGGATCCCCAGCCCCTCCAGGCAGCCAGTCTATTATGACGAGCTGGACGCCGCCTCCGGCTCCCTGCGCCGCCTGTCCCTGCAGCCCCGTTCCCACTCTGTGCCTCGCTCACCCAGCCAGGGCTCCTACGGCCGCGCCCGCATTTACTCCCCGGTCCGCTCACCCAGTGCCCGCTTTGAGCGGCTGCCGCCTCGCAGCGAGGACATCTATGCCGACCCTGCCGCCTATGTGATGAGGCGATCCATCAGCTCCCCCAAGGTGAGCCACCTGGCGCCCTCCTTCCTCATCCCCAAGAGCACGTGGTGAGAAGAGGTGGCGATGCTGGGGCACCTGGGACGTGGGCCGCTGGCTGTGTCAGGACAGGTGATCTCCCCAGGGCGGCCCTTGGCCTATGGTTCCATCCCCCGGAGAGCTGCGTGGGGGATTGCCCTGGCCTGCGCAGGAACCTTGCTCTCTCTGTCCATCTCCAAGTTGTGCCAGGAACCGTCCTATCCACAAGAGGGCAGAGAGGGTCTGTCTTTCCCATCTTGAGGACTTGGATAGATTATTGCACGGGGGCCTACTGTCCTTATTCGTTTGAAATCTACTCTGGGACAGGATGCAGACACCCCTAACCTTGAACTGCAGCTGGTGGGGAAGTCCGTGTCCCAGCGGGACCCTCTCACCTCTGCAATCCCCTTTCTCTTCCAGTATGATTACCTGGGAGACAGGCGGCCAGTCCCTGCAGGGCTGTTCCCCTACAACTACCCAGCATCCCCCACGGTCCACGATAAGATGGTACGTCCTCTCCTCCCCAGCGCTCTGCCTCAGGACCTCTCCTGCCTCCACCACGGCAGAGCTGAACAAGGGGGGCAACCCTGTGCCCAGTGCCCAGCCTCTGTGTTTTTAAGCAGCCTCTGGATACCTCCTCTCTCCCTCCCGGCCAGGCCTCTGCCCCCAGTACAGAGTTCAGTGCCAGGGCTGAGGAGAGGGACGAGATCTGAGCTCGCGTAATATCCTGATTGTGCCAACGTCAGCACAGCTCTCCTCTCCAGCATGCCTGGGAAGGAACATGACAAAGGTCCTGGACTATGAACTGGGCCCAGAGGAGCCTAGGGCTCCTAGCAGCAGGCAAGAGCTTCTAGACTTTTCCTCCCCAAGTGTATTTGCTGCAAGTTTTCCTGTTGCCTGGAATGCCACCTTTGGGACAGAAAAGAGTGTGATTGAGGGGGAAAAGATTTTCCACATTACACTCTCCTCAGAATGTGCCTCTCCTGGGCATGTGTTCCCCTGGGAATTGTCATCTCCACCTGGACGACTGGGGGCAGACGCTCCACTGGAGCAGAATCTTTGTCCCATATACAGCACCAGGAGGCCAGGGTGGAGGAGGCCTCCAATTCCCGCACTCCATTCTCGCTTTGCCAGTGCCCAAACTCTGTAGCCTTGACCCACAGCAAACATAGCCCTCCGGAAACAGCTGATTTTTGCAGAAAACTTAGAAGCAACTGCTAAGAAGTGCTGATTAGATTGCTTCAGTGGTACTTGATGCTCCCAGACAGGGTGAGGTGCACCTAGGGGCCCAGAGTGCGTCTCTCCTCCACCCACTGCATCCTCACCACCCACTCTCCCCAGAACGCCAGGGTCAAGAGAGAGGCTTCTCCTGGTCCTTGCCCAGCTGACTCTTAACTGCTCTGCTTCTTTTTTATTGTTTTCTTTTGTGTGTTCCTGTTTGTTTGTGTTGCTGGTTGGCCCCCTTGGCCTCGGGCTCCGGGTAGGATGAACTTTTAGATCTTCAGTTGCAAAGAAACCTAGAGTATTTGGACCAGCAGGTAGGCAGAGCTGGTGCCCCTCACCATCCCACTGCCCTCCTGTCGTGTCTCCCTCCTCCTCCCCAATTCCTCATCCTCCAGCCATTTGATAACCTTTGTTGGTGCCCCCAGGACACAACAAAGTGGCTTATATTTTGTTTTGCTCTTTCTCACCCCTCCTCTTCACAGCCCTTTTAGCAGCTGGGAGTTTCCTGGGGAAAGAAGCATTAGAAATGGGCACATGAATAATTAATGCTACCCCATATTTCCCCGATGTTCAGCCCAGATGGCCCTGCCCCCAGGGGGCAGGTGCAGATCTGCATTTTTGCCAGAGAGAGAAGGGAGAAGTGAGACTGGGGGAAGCCCTGGGTTTGGGCCTCATGCTAGGGATTTGGTTCAGCCTGGATCTGGGAAATCATATATTCCACAGGTTGCTGTTAAACTCTACAATTTGAGAGCTGAGGCTTAAAGACCTGCCCTAAAATGACTTAATTCAATACATTCATTCCTCGACAAAGCTTTTTGGCATGTACAGCTTGTGATCCTGAGAACTCAGTGCCATAGACAGAGGCAGTAATATTAACCCAGTTTGATGAGTGAGCAAGCTGGACAGGCACTGTTGGAAGTGTTGGCTACTTGGGCTCCAGGATGCAGGGCTCTAACCCCTGGCCACACTGCCTTGTGAGGCTAACGGGCCTGCAGCACGCACTTATTTCAGACAGGCAGGAGGCCAACATGCTGGCACTTCTGTACACACACACTCTTATGTCCAGATCTGTGCTGCAAAGCACAAGGGACCTGGGAATACATGATGTTACCCTGCCGGGCCACCTTGGAAGGTGCAAATGATACTAGTGAAAATAATAATGGCAGTAGCACCATAATTTGATGCTTTCCCTATGCTTCGTGTTATTCTAAGCAGAACAGATCCTAACTTATTGAATGTTTATCATGTCCAAGATGGATGCTATTATAAGCTCCACTTTTATAAATAAAACACAGACATGTAGGTAACATAGCAAGGACGCATAGCCAGACAGCCAGTGAACAGCAGAGCTTGAAATGTGTCTGAGGTTTCGACCCAGTTTACAACTGAGGAATCAACTAATATGTGTAAGCTGGAGTTGAACTTCACTGGGATGATATCATTCTCTTAAAAGTGCAGAAAGAAGCATAAACTTGAGATTGGAGGATATAGATGCAACCATATGTTCTTCTAGTCACGAGCCATGGAACACAGCACCTCACAGGACCTCGTGTCTTGAGGAGATTCTCCTTGTAGATGACCTTGGAGCCTGGGGGGAAAGCACAGGTGTTTACAGTTTAGGCAGCAGAGGTGGCCCCCGGCCACTGAGGACCTTGTATTCTTGTTCCAAAAGCAGTGTGTTGTGTCTACACCATGAGCATCCCAATCCATGTGGAGACAAGTCCCCGGATGGCCTCTCTGAGCAGGCCTGGAAGGGCAGGATGGTTCCAGGGGAAGCTCGGCGTATGTGCCTAGGAACGGGCACCCAGCCTCCAGGCTCCTGGGCAAGTGCCCTCCTGGTGGCCGTGGGCTCGGCTGTACTCTAAGCACAGTGCCTGGCTGTCCAAGCATCCAGGGCACAGGGTCTGGGCTGTTCCCCTCCCACCCAGAAAAAGGGTAATGAGAGGCAGACTTGTGTGGTGAGGAGAGGCTGGATCATTCTAATCCTAGCTCTGCCATTTCCAGGGATTTATAAAAAAAAAGAAAAAAGAAATGTCACCGAATCTCTCTGAGTCCTTACTTTCTCGATTGCAAAGTGGACACTGTAGACCCTGCCCTTTCTGCCTCACGGACTGAGCAGGAAAACCGAATGGGAAAGTGTCCTGGAGCTTTCTGTCAGGCTCTGTTAGTAAGGAGTGGCGATTGCTGCTATTCCTACTTTAATGTCTTCCACAACTCAACAAGATATTAATTGAGCACCACATATTTATTTCAGACACTGGGTGAGGTACCTTCTCATGAAAGTGCTCTGACATATTAGACAGAGGCAGCATGCAGGGAGAGGCCCATGTGGGCGGAAGGACCCCCCAAACCCTAGCATCGGTGAGAGCCAGTCAGGATGAGGACATTCTGCTCCTTGCCTATGTTGCTTTAGACCTGCTTGTAGGGAGGAATGGGTCAGTCTGGAAGGAACCTGGGCCTCCCTTGTCCACGCCTGATGCCAGGGTAGATTTGCTGAGTCCTCCATAGCTCAGCTGTGCACACGCATGTGCTGCAAGAAGGTAGGAGATGGCCTTGCGTTTGGATCTTTAGAGAAAATGTGGTTGACGGCCTGGTGACTTTTTACTCCTACAAGGACTGGAGACCTTTTAGAAACCTTTAAAGTCTTTATGCCAGAGGAAAATTTTTCAAGTAAGCTAAAAAGGTAGAGAAATTAAATCCTAGAAAAGGCTTGTGAAATACTGCAGACTTTGAGCATGAGGAAGCGGGCTGCACGGGCTGTGGCCTAAAAGCGGGTAAGAGGGAGGAGACCGTGGGCCCGATCAAGAATGGGGGGGTCACGGAGAAGGCTGTGATCCCCGATCTTCCCTCACGTGGCTGTCGTCCTCTGTCACTCCTGGAAGTTTTCCCACATACCTGCCCCTGTCTCTCTCCTTCCACTTTAGAACCATGGAGTTAAAGGGACACAGCCAGGGACATTCCCTGACAGGTTCCCTTCTTATCCTCTCGCACGGGAACCACTGGAGGAAAGGATGGCATTTCTGGGTGATTTGGTCAGCCTGCCCTCGCCCCTCCGCTTCCTTCCCTCCCTCCCTCTGTCTCTCCGTCTCTTTCATTTGGCAAATACTCTTTCCCCCTCCATGTTCCTAATGATTCTGGAAACATACAGACTACCCCGGGGAGAGCGGGTTCTGATGCTGGTGTCCCTTTAATGCGCTCGCCTCCTTATTTCCCCCCAGCATCATCCCAGATCCTCATGGCTGCTGCCAGCCCAGCTCTGGAAGCCGTGTTTAGGGCTCCTTGTACACTGGTTCCCTGGGGTAACAGGGGAGACAGGGGCCGGTGCCTGTTGGTTGATGCAGGCCGTGTGCAGAGCAGGTCCCTGTTGTCTTTCTAGCTTTCATTAGTGTGGATTTGGGGAGAGCGGTCTTTAGCTGAGTGGTCTCTGTCCAAAGCAGTGTGAGAAATGGGAAGGAGGCCACTGCCCCGGCTGGGTGCATGGGACCCGGGGAAGAGCCCCAGTGGCCTCCCAGTCACCTGCTGTGGCCTCCCCTCCGGGACAGCATCAGCGCTGGTCCTGCAGCAGAGTTATGAAGGGGTGAGTGACGGGTGAGACCAAGCCCAGGCACTGGAGGCCCGAGGGGAGCTGTCCTCCCCTGTGTCCTAAAGACAGCACAGGCGGGTGTGCAGAGCTCCAGGGTGCGGGTCTGAGTGTGAATCGTCCGTTCCTTCCTCTGCTGCAGATGAGTGAGAGCGAGACTCTCATCAGTATGGTGAACCGCATGGTGGAGAACTCCTCCCCCAGGCCCCAACTCTTCGTGCAAGTAAGGCCTCTGCCTGGCAGCATGGTTCCCGTCACGCATCTCAGCTGCTTGTGCATGGTCGGGTTGCCCCCTCTGGGATGAGGCTGCCCTGCCCAGGGTGCTCATCTGCAGGGCCTCATCTCCCGGGAGACAGGCTCAGCCTGCCCCTCTCCGCGCTTCACGGTGTCACCTCCATTCTTCATGTTCATGGGTAACCCTAGGGCTCACCTCCTGAACCATCAAAACAGCCAGCACCGACATCTCATGCCATGCCAGGGATTGCAAACCTGCTTTTCAAAGTCCAGGCCTCTGATTCTTATTTGCTATCTTTTTGATGGACACTGTGGGGTTAACAAAGCATGAGGGGTAACGTTGAACCACCCAGTGCCAAAGGTGCACAGAACGTGCTGTGGTCACTAGCTGTCCAAGGCGAGGCAGCGTTAGGTGGACCCAGGGGTGCTTCTGGATACTCGCCAGTCCTGATTTAGGAACAAACCCTGTGACTAGTGCTCAGTTTACTAGGACAGCGTTCTCCAATATTCCCAGTGCTCGTTCCTCCCTTGCTCCTGTAACCTGTCCCTGCAGACAGCCAAGGGGTTTGCTGATATTCTCATGATTGTTACCAGAAAGCTCTGCAGCCCCTGCAGATCCTGGAGTTTAGGGGAGAGGAGCTACAGCATATGAGTCCAGCAGAGTTCTGATCTGTCCAGATCAGCCGAGGACAATTGGGATGGAGTCCAGACTGGGCCATTGAAGGCTCCCGGCCAGGGGATGGAGTATTAGTTCAGGTCCCCAGAGCGGAAGCTGCAGGGGTTCTGGGCCATGGTCTCTGGCAGGAACGGAGCAGGACTGTGATGTCAGCTTGCCTGCCCCGCACAGCCTCATCCCGCATGTGCTTTAGTAACCAACCTCATATTCCTGCAGGTCCCTCCGTACCCAGAAGTGTTCCGGGATGGCCTCCACACCTACAAGTTAAACGAGCAAGACACGGATGTAAGGGCAGCTCTCCCTGCTCCCTCTGTTCACTGCAGCCTCCTGCTGCAGCTGTCTTCATCCTCACTCTCCTCTGTGGGGCTCTTTCATCTCTCTCTTCCCTTCCGGTCGTGCGTTTGACTAGTGTTCTTTCTCACCACACACACCGCATCCTACCTGCCTCCTCGTCCTCCTCTCGGTCTTACACCGACTCGTCCCTGACCCCTCACACTGGCCCCATGTGCTTCTCCACTCAACCCCAGACGCATTTGTCTACAGCGGTGGGGTTGGCTCATAGGAACGTAGGTTTTGTTGGGAGTTAAGTCAGTCTGCTCTGTGCCCAGTGTGGCATGAGTCCCTCCTGGTCACTAGAAAGAGAGTGTGGCTTGCTCCTGCCCTCCTGTAGTACGAGACATCAGGTAACAGTAGGTGGCGACAGAGTCCTTTGCCAAATGGGACCACGAAGCATTTCTGCAGGCAAAAAAGGAGGCGAGGCTGTGTGGGATGGCAGGTTAGGGACGAAGCAGGTAGCCTGTGAGCTGGGCTGGAAATTAAAAGGCCCAGAGGCTGAGATTTGGCTCAGTAGAAAGGACCTACTGAAGAGTGGAGGTAAAGGTATGCGTGTGGAGAGCATGTCTTTCCAGAAGAGAAGGTTGTCCTGACCTCCCTCCCTCCAGCACTGCCGCCCCTGCTTGGGCCAGCAGGCCAGGACAGGTTTCATCAGGGAAGGACCACAGCTAAGAGGCACTCTGGGGCCAGCCATCCCGAGACCATGGAAGGAGGAGGGTGGAACCTGGGGATACGAGACACGGGGGTTCCTGTGGACTGAGGGGCCCGTGCATGTGGTGTGCTGCTTTTTTCTAAGACTGCTTAGTCCAACACCTGTCTGCCCCACCCATGCAGCGGAGGAGGTGAGATCACAGTATCTTTCCAGCCCTCTGTGTTAAACTGCACCCCACAGCCGGATGGGGTACAGGAGCCTACTGCCAGGCTCTTGGCCCTCTTCTCTCAAGAACTGAGCATAAACACATCTCCCCTCCCAAGAGGGGGCCCCAGCTTCCTCTTCCCAAGCACCTGCAAGGTTGTGAAGGCCCAGGGTTTCTGGGCAGGGAAGGAAGGTGGTATCCAGAGGCCAGGCCATGCCAACCCAGTTCCCAGGCCCCACCAAACCATGTCCTTCATCCCCTTCTCTCTCCCTCCCTCCCCCACCCTGGGCCCCCAGAAGCTGCTGGGCAAGTTGTGTGAACAGAACAAGGTGGTAAGAGAGCAGGACCGGCTGGTGCAGCAGCTTCGAGCAGAGAAGGTGAGCGCTGGGGTGGCCTGCAGGTGGGGCTGACTTGGAGGGGTTGCGGGTTGCTGTCTCCATCCTCATCTGCCTGACAAAGCTTTGTCCTTCCTTAAACATCTGTTCCACTCTTACTCAGAGCTGCCGGAGGTCTTCCAGGGCCACAGGCAATGTGAGAACCGCCTCCGCTCAGCTGCCTGCTCGACCCATTAGGGGCTTGGGCCTCTGCTGTTAAAAACCCCAGAGGAGCTGTCAAGGCAGCTCATGCCATGCCCCCTGCCTTTCTTCAGGAGAGCCTGGAGAGTGCTTTGATGGGGACCCACCAGGAGCTGGAAATGTTTGGAAGTCAGCCTGCCTACCCCGAGAAGCTGCTGCACAAGAAGGAATCCCTGCAGAACCAGCTCATCAACATCAGGGTGGAGCTGTCTCAGGCGACCACGGTAACCTGGCACCTGGGTCTGTGTGCCCACTGCCTCCCATTTCTGCTGCTTTACTCCACATTTTCCTGGGAGAGTGAAAGCAGAGTATTCCCGCCTGGGAGGCGCATGGGCAAACACCTTAACATTTCCTCGACAGTAGATAGCAAGTATGTGAGCCTACTGGTTCCCAACAGTCTGCCCCAGGAAATGGGCTTCCTGTCCTCAAACCTAGCTGTACCAGGATCCCTTTGATACAGCATGAAGTTGAAGGCTACTGAATTCCTTGGCTGCTCTAGCATCTCTGCTGCCCACTTAGGCCCTATTCCTGGGAGAAGAGGGCCCTGGTAGAGATGCTGCAGCAAAGGCCCCAGGAAAATGTGGCCCAGAAAAGAGAATGGTCCCTCAGCTCCAGAGAATAAACACCTTTTTCCAGGCCCTTTCCTCTTTGCCCTCAATGGCTGTCCCTGAACCTAGGCACAAAAGAGGGGCACAGAAGTACCCTATTTGCCTGTGGCTGTGCCTAGAAGGATTCAGCGTTCTCTCTTTCTCAGTCTGCGGTGGCATATGCTGTTACCCCTCTTGTACGGCTAGGATGTCTCAGCCTTGTGCCCCCCAGGCCCCTGTTCCAGAACACGGAGGGAGGCTTCGGTGTCCATAGCTTTCTCAGTAAACTCCTCCCTGCAGGCGCTGACCAACAGCACCGTGGAATATGAGAACCTCGAGTCCGAGGTCTCTGCCCTGCATGATGAGCTCTGGGAGCAGCTCAATTTGGACATCCAGGTGAGGAAGGGCCCTGAGCAGCTGCGGGTGGGGCGTGCTCTGTGCCTAGTGGTCTCCTTTCTCACTTTGACAGTCTCAGAGCCCTAAGATGATAAGTTGGCCCAGAGATAAAAGTAAGGCTCAGGCTTCTTGCAACAGACTCTGGGATTTAGGATGAAGGTAATGTGGGATTCTTCTTTATTCCCACCAGCTCACAGGGGAAGGTGCTAAAGCCAAAGCATGGGAGACTTAGGTTACGTGTAGGTTGGGTGTTCTAGGCCTGAAAGGAACTGAAAAATAGACTTGTAAATATAAATATCTTACAGGAAAAACAGAAGGGCAGGCAATGCAAGAGTTTTAGATAGGAATGGGACTTCCCTTTCTGAGAAACAGTCAGCTTGGAGGCAGGAGATGGACTAGAGATCTTGGGGGAGGTCTTTTCTTTGTCTTTTCTCTCCCAGGCCCTACCTCCTCTCTGGCTCGTTTTGCAAGTCCTGTTCTGCTGCTGCATTTAAAACCTTGGTGTCCCCCCCACCATTTTCCTCCTGGTAGCATCTGGTTGGCAGGTTCAAGATCTTCCTGATCCACAAGACCCAGATGCTACTGTGTCCTGTAGGCAGCCCACACTCTAAACACACATGTTTTAGGAGGTAGGGTAGGGTCTAAGCCAAGAACATCCAAGTCAAACTGATCCACATCCAGATGGTGGTCAGTGTTGATGGGGTGTGAACACAGCTGCCTTTCTGATGGCAGCCTCCCCACTTACCAACAGGTAGTCCTGGGCACTAGTACCCTGGGCACATGTCTCTTGTCTCTGAGATGGAAACATCAGGAACGAGTCAGTACAAGCGAAGGGCTTAGCTTGGTGCCCGGTATTGAGGGCTGCTGCATAAGTAGTAGCTCTTGTCTTTCACAAAGTGTAACCTGCAATTGAATATAGTTCATGGCTTTGGCCTATGTTAGGTGTGGGTATTGCAAAGGGGCTGTTTGAATGCAAATAAAAACTAAATAGGAAGTTCTTGCCCCATGCAAAAGTTCTTGCCCTCTATTGCCTAGAGGGCTATTTACTCTCAGAACCCCCTGAACCCCTGGGGTAGCTCAGAAAGATGGTCCCTCATTCTCTTAGTTCTGAGGTTCTGGGGACACAGTTTTATACAGCTAAAGAGGCAGAGGTTGCCCAGAAGAAAGATGCCTGTGTGTGCTGAAAAGGGGTGTGCGTGTGTGTGTGTGTGTGTGTGTGTGTGTGTGTGTCGCCAGGGTTCCTCCTCTCGCAGGTCCAAAGCAATGTAGATCCTAAAGGACCCGGGCTGGGGAGAGGGCTGGGACAACCCTCATGGCCACTTCCTCTCACTTGCTTTTTGGCTCTTTAGAATGAGGTGCTCAACCGGCAAATCCAGAAGGAGATCTGGAGGATCCAGGATGTGATGGAGGGGCTGAGGAAGAACAACCCGTCCCGGGGCACGGACACAGCCAAGCACAGAGGTGGGGGCCTGCCCAGGGCCCGGCCTCACCAGAAGTGGTCCCGCCTGTCTGGCCTCCATCCCACTGTGCTCAGAGCTGGGCAGGCCTTCTCAGGACTCTGAATCGTCCCTGGACCCTGGGGTGTAAATGGGGCTGCCCCCTTATTGCCCACTGAAGAGACCGGGTAGACTGCTCAGAGCCTGCGGCCTGCAGACTCTAGATCTGCCCCCCAGGAAAGGCCAAAGAGCCCTGAGCCTCCCTGGCTCCAGGCACATGGGCCCACTGGAGACCTGCGGCCCTAGTGCCCTCCCTGACCCCGGGGCCCTCGGGCTGGCCCTCTGACACAGGGGAAGCTGCTGTGTCATTTTCACCCTGCCGGTGTTGTGTTCCCTTGTACAATGCTCCCCTCAACAGCCAGCCTGTGGCCCAGCACCTGTAGGAAGTTCCTTCAGCCAGGCCAGTGGCCCTGAGGCACTAAGTCCTTCCCCTCCTTCCCACAGCACCCACTGACGCATCCTCTTCCAGCCCTTACCTCTCCTCTCTGCTTCCCCCAAGGAGGACTCGGGCCCTCGGGGACCTACAGCTCCAACAGCCCAGCCAGCCCTCTCAGTTCCGCCAGCCTCACCAGCCCCCTGAGCCCCTTTTCCCTGGTGTCTGGCTCTCAGGGGTCCCCCACCAAGCCGGGGTCCAATGAGGTAAGCCGGGGAAGTGGATGCAAGGTAGGCGGAGGAGGACAGACCCTTAGCTGCCTGAAATGGCACAGGCTGTGCCTGTGTCAAGTCCTGGAGCGCTGGCCTTTGCCTGTGGGAGTCGTTCTGGCTCCTGGGTGGTGGCCCTGCCTCTGGATCTCCCCTGTGCCTATCCTCTTCAGCTGTCACCTTTACCTCCTTTTCAGGGAAGGCTCTTGCTGAGCACCAGGATGGCTAGCAAAGATCCCCGGCCCTTGGCAGTGCTCCGGGGATGAGAGGGTTGGGAGTTGGTGGGGGAGCAGGTTCCTAGCCGCTCAAATCGGCAGGTATTTAGGGGGCTCTCCTGCAGGCACAGGGTGGTGTGAGGTCCTCAGAGAGACGCTCCTGCAGTCCCCAAGGCCCAGCATCCAATAAGCCAGTGGCCTCCCGGACACTCTCCGTACAGCCACCAGGGCAGGCTGTCTGTGCGCTGAAGCTCCAGAGGAGAAGAGGGAACTTAAGCAGGGGAAACTGAGGCAGTGGGTAGAACAAGCAAAAGGCTTTGCGGGCAGGGGAGACAATGACAGCAAAGGTCCCGGGGTGGGAATGTGGCCGGCAGGCCGGGGAGGCACTGAGGAGAGAGCTTCGGAAGAAAGGGGGGAGCCCAGGGAGTGGTGGGCAGGCCGGGCTCAGTGGGGGGCCTCCAAGGCCCAGCAGAGCTCTGTAGGCGGGGGTGGGGTCTGGCGTCCAGGGCCCGTGGGGGCCCCGTTTTCCTAGATGTTGTTGTCTGGCTCACGCTAATGCTCTTTTCTGCTCTCACAGCGGCTGCTCTTGTTCCTCCTAATGCTCTGGCTCCGTTCTCTCTGCCTCAGGAACCCGGCCCACCTCGGCCGCCCCTCCCCAAAGCCTACATCCCCCTGGAGTCTCCTCCCACCGTCCCTCCACTCCCTAGCGAGAGCCGCTTCTGGCCCTACCCCAACTCCCCTTCCTGGCACCGCAGTGGCGAGACAGCCAGGGGTCAGGTACCCAGCACCCTTGAGTTCTGGAGGGTGGGATGAGAAAAGGCGGTGAAGGCCAGGCGAGGGGCAGGCAGGACACTGGGGTTATTCTCCCGCCTTATTTCCCCAAAGCTTAGCTTCTGCAGGGCCCTCCCCAGTGAACTCAGGGTAGAGAAAGTGGGGCTGACCCAGCCTCAGGCTGTCTTTCCTCCTCTTGCTCTCTGTGGACAAGGAGGAAGTGCGTTGCTCTCTAAGCTCATGGGCAGCCAGCAGTCTGGGGGCTGGTGTACTGCCCTACTCCCTACCAACGTGGCCAGCCAAAGGAAATCCAGTGACACCGCCCTGGTGCCATTCCAGTCCCTTCCTGTCCCTTACCCGCCTGCTGAGGCCCCAGCCCTCGTGTCTCCTCTCTCTGCCTCTGCCTTGTATTGTCCACTGTGGGTCTCGTTAGCCCTGGAGTGTAAGGACACAGACCCCCTTCTCCCCTATTCTGGTTCCTTCTCTCACCTGGATCCCCTAAGATCTGGGAGCTGGGCAGTTAGGCTTGGAAGAGGTTGTGTGGTGAGTAGAGTGTCCTGTGCCTAAACTTGGAAAATGCATATGCTCATGTAAGCTCAGCTGTGTGTGATTTGTGTAACCCTTCAGGGCTCGCTGGTGAAGTAGGCAGAGCATTGCCGGTATTTGACAGACAAAGAAAGGGGATAGGACTTTCCCACGCTCTCCAGTTGGGCTGGAGCTGGGCTTTCTGCCCTCTCGCCTGGCCTCCTCTCTGTTCTCCTCGCCGAGACTCAGATTCTCCATCTGTGGTGGGAGGGGGTGGCTCAGGTGATGTCTGAGGTCCCTTCTGGCCTCATGACCCTGTGAGTCCACAGCAGTCGCCCTTTTCATTCCCCCGCCATCCTGGCACCAAGGCCCACCTACCTTTGTTTTCTGAAGTCTGGAGTGGGACCCCAACAGCACCCCTAGTGACTCTAGGCCAGTGCTGGCGAGCCTTTTAGAGACCAAGTGCCCAAACTGCAAACTAAAACCCGCTTATTTATCACAAAGTGCCAACACTGCAATTAAACCTGAATACTGAGGTTTTAGTTTAGAAAAAACAACTCCCACACTTGCCTTGCAGCCCGACCGAGATGGCTCTGCATGCCCACTGTGGCACACGGGCCATCAGTTCTCTACTGCTCTCAGCCATTCCTTAACTGGCTCATGATAGATCTGTGCTTCTCAGAGCTTGGCGAGATAACCCGCTGGGTAGAGGGCCTTCTCTGACGAGCCTTGCCCGGATCCCTCCTATAGTCACTGAGCTCTCATTCCCCAGGATGCCCCAGTCTTGGTGCCTGGGTTTCCTGCCCACTTCGTGGCTAGAACACACGGCATATCCTTACTCCCTGGGACTTCAAGGGCTTGACAGTGGGATGCAATGAGAAGGTCACTTCCAGCCATCACTAACATCAACATCTTCTCATCCTTTGCTCCCAGCCCAAGGCAAGCTATGAGCAAAACAAGAAAGATCCCCACCAGACCTCACCCCTGGACACCCCCAGGGACATCAGCCTTGTGCCTGCCAGACAAGAGGTTGAGGCAGAGAAGCAGGCAGCTCTCAACAAAGGTACTTCCTGGCCCATCCTAGGGGTTACAGAGGACCCCTAAGTGCTCATTCACACCCAGAGTGCTTACCCGCCCTGGGCCTTTCACCTCAGTGGTGAGTGGGAGCAGGCCTCTCCCTGAAGAGCAAGCTCCCTACCTCTCTGCTTTCTGTGACACCCACTGGCTGCTCTGTCTGTTTGCAGTTGGCATTGTGCCCCCTCGGACAAAGTCACCCACCGATGAAGAGGTGACCCCTTCAGCAGTGATGAGGAGGACGGCCAATGCGCTCACCAATGGGGTCTCCTCCCGGGTGAGTCCATGCCACAGGCTCCAGGAGCCCACGAGGGCCTGAGCTGGGCTACGAGCCAGGGCCCTGAGTGTGCCCCTCATCCGCCATTCCCACTCAAGACACCCAGCACGGGGGGAGGCAGGTAGAACAGGTGGGAGGAAGAGTTCTCCTTCAAGGAAGCACGTTAGGGGACAAGGGGAATGAGCATAGTAAATACAGAGGAGTACTTAACAAAGTTATCATCACATGCCATTGGTGAAATACTACAGAGAGAAAGCAGCGAAAACCAGAGGCAGATGTGCTAATGTCCCCAAGGAAGTGAATTCATTTCCCAAAGCTGCTGAGAATGAACAACTGGGTAGTTTCAAACAACATACATTTGTTCTCTCAGTTTGAAGGCCTGAAATCAAGGTGCCAGCAAGGCTGGCTGCTTTGGTGACTGCAGGAGGAGCTATTCCGTGCCTTCCCTGGGTGTCGGGTGGTCCCTGGCATCCTCAGCAGCTTTGCCTTACGGACACATTGATCTGGTTGTCTCCATCTCCACATCAGTCTCTGCTCTGTGTGCCTTCTCCTTTTCTTGTCTCCTAAGGACACCTCTAAGGGGATTGGGCCCATTTAATTCAATAATCTTGAGAGTCTGAGTTAGATCTGCAGAGACGTATTTCCAAATAAGCTAACTAGAGGTATCTGGGTTAAGGCATGGGCATGTCTTTGAGGGGCTGCTATTATTCAATAGCTACAGCCCCAAGTTTGATGCTGATCCTACTTATAACATACATTCCTCCCATCATCATCAACTCTAAGATCTCATCTAAATATCTTTGGCTCAGAAGTCCCAAATCTCATCATCCAATCATCTCTATATGATGCATCTTGGGCAGAATTCCTCTTTACTTGAAAAACTCTGCCTCTAAAATACAATATGATGGAACAAGTGTGACATAGTCATTTATGTCCTGAAAAGGAGAAATTGAAAAGAATAAGGGATCACGAGTCCCAAGCAAGTTTGAAATCTAGCAAGGAAAATCCCATTTGTTTGCACACACATCCTAGGCAAGCACTGTGACACTGAGCTACACCCCAACCCCGTTAGGTTTTAAACCCCGAGAAGGTCTGCAGCTGGCTGTGCTGCCTATGGGTTAGTGAGGGCTCCATTGGCCTTTGCTGCCAGGCCCCAGCTCTCTTGCCTCTGCCTCTGTATCTACATCTTTGCCTTCATTCTTTCTTTTCCTTGAAGGTTGGCATATGTTTATAGGCAGGTGCTCTATTAGTCTATTTCCTGCCTGTAGAATCCCAGAAATCTGACATTTTCCCTTCCATCTTACCTCCTTCTCCCTTACTATGAGCTGGCAGTGCTTTTCACTGATATAACATTCTCAAAAACACATGTAGATCTCTTGTGTGTTTCAAGGGGATCCATCCATTACAGATTCTGTGCAGCTCTTTGCTGGACAGCCTTGTCTCTGTTTCTGGATACTGAGATGACTGGCTGGATCGGACGTGCCTAGTCTCTTCAAGAGAGAGTCGTCCAGCCACATCCTTGACTCTCTTTTTAGGGGATGCTTTTCTTTTTTCTTTTGTAATGGTGTTGTCTTGTATTTTTTTGTGTTATTAGTACATGTTTGCAGTACATAATGATTACATTTATTGTGGTGAGGAGTAGGGAATGAGAAAGAATTAGGATGTATTCTGTACATGTAAGGCATACTTTCCCATCAGTGAACTTCCTAATGTGAGAGTCTCCCAAAAAATAAAGCATAAATTTCTTTTGGCTTAACACTTCCTTCAGTGTATCTCTTACCCATTTTTTCTCCAAGTACAAAGAGGAACAGAGCTTTGCTTAGAAATCTGTTTTCCATTCAATGATAGACTATAGTTCAGCCAAGTTTCTGCTATTTTCCTGCACTTTCCAGTAATATGCTCATCATTTCCTTCTGAGACTTCACCAGGAGCACCTTTAACATCCACTTTTCAGCTGGGTTCAGTGGTGCATGCCTATAATCCTCACCTGGAGACAGACTGAGGAAGGATTGCAGGTTCAAGCCCTGCCTAGGTAGCTCAGCAAGACCCTGTCTCAAGATAAATAAAATAAAAAGGACTGGGGTTGTAGCTCAGTGGTAGAGCACACCTGGCTATCATCAAAAAAAAAATCCATCTTTCCACCAACATTCTTCCCATGATAATATATATATTCTTTCAGACAATAGAAGCTCTCTACCCAGTTCCTCCAATCCCTCAACAGAATAATCATGTTTCACATCTCTATTTCTACCGATCATCTTTTTAAGGAAATACAGATGTTTTTTCTGTCATTCACCTCAAAATTCTCTAATTCCAAAATCTCTTTCATATTTTTAGGTATTTTTTATAGTAGCACCACACTTCCCCGTACCAAAATCCATATTAGTTTTCTAGGACTCCTGGAATGAATCACCACCTCTCGAGTGTCTTCAAACATATTCGCTCATACATGTAGAAGCCAGAAGTCCAAGGTCGAGATGCTGGCAGTGTGGCTCCCTCTGGAGGCTCCAGGGTGAATCCGGTCCACGCCCCTCTCCACGCTCTTGGTAGTGAGCTGGCTGAGGCGGCAGCGTTGGCATTTCCTTTTAGGTGAATGGCTTGGTTCATGCCGATCTCTGCCTCCATCTTCACATCACCTTCTACCCTGTGTTGTCTTCTTTTCCCTCTCCTACAATGGCACTCACTATTGGATTTGGGGCCCACCCCATCCCAGTGCAGAATGGTCTTGTTCTTCCGAGTAAAGTTGCGTCCACAGGTTCCAGGGGTCAGTTCTTCGACCACACTGTGGGCAGGCTTCCCATAGCAGGGAAACGGTGAGGCCTTGGAGTGGATGGGGAGCCTGGACACAGCATGAAGCACCTGGCAGCCCCTTGTTTCCCCACTGCAGCAGGAGCGCCCCAAGAGCGCTGTGTTCCCTGCTGAGGGCAAGGTCAAGATGAGCGTAGAGGAGCAGATTGACAGGATGCGGAGGCACCAGAGTGGATCCATGAAGGAGAAGAGGAGGAGCCTCCAGCTCCCAGCCAGCCCGGCCCCTGAGCCCAGCACCCGACCTGCCTACAAAGTGGTAATGTCCTCCCGGCGGCTCACAGGCCTGGCCTGGCCTCTGGCCATGCTGCTCGCTCTTAGGGCAAGGCCCGCCTGTGCCAGAAAGGTTGGGGAGAGAGGAGATAGAGGAGCCAAGCTCAGCACCTGGGGTAGCTAGGGGAGGCTCCTCCCCATGGGGTAAGTGTTCCTTCAACAACAAGTGTCTTGTTTTCTATATTTTATTATTTTGTTGTTGTTTTGTTTTGTTTTTTTGGTACCAGGGATCAAACTCAGGACCTTGCACTTGCAAGGCAGGCGCCGGAACCACTGAGCTAAATCCCTGGCCCTGTTTTCTATATTTTAAAACATACACACAAAGGAACAAATAATGTGATTTTTTTTTTTTCTGAAATGAACTATACAAAATCCAGTTAATAGAGAACAGTACAAAATCCACCATGCAGAAATAGCATTCCACACACTTCTAGAGCAATCTCTGTGTGCTGAGCATTGGGCTGGGCTTCCCAAAGACAGCTGTGACTGCTCACTGTGCAGTGTGACTCACACCTCCTTTCATGCTTTTGTTTAATCCCTTTAACAACATTGGGTTAGGAATTATTATCCCTACTGTACACATAAGGGAAATAAAGTCAAGAGACACGTAGGGCTTTCTGGGCTACACAGTTATTAAATGCAGAGCTGGGAGTAGCCCAAGGCGTCTGCTTAACTTTTCTTTCCACTACATTTTGGAAATACAGAAAAATTCTGATTCATGAGTCCTCCCTTCTAACAATTTACTTGGTGGATTAAAAATTTTATACTGTGGGGCGGGGGATTTAGCTCAGTGGCTCCACTGCCTGCCTTGCAAGCTCAAGGACCAGAGTTCGATCCCAGTACCAAAAAAAAAAAAAAAAAAAAAAAAATCTATACTGTGAAGCAATCCGGAATCAAAGCAAGATATTCTGATTTGAATGCCCAAAATATATGGCACAGAATGTGCGTACTGGGCACAGCACTGGAGGGTGACAAGCATGACAAGAGACACTGCTGAGAGTTTTACCTCTGGGGCCCTGCAGGTGGGCAGATTTGGGAAAGCATGGCAGAGGGGTGGTCGTGCAGTGGGGTGCAGTAGGAGCATGGGGGTTGGGGCCAGGGAGGATAGCGGTCTGGTTAGAGCCGCCCAGAGGCTGGGCTGCCATGGTGTGGTCATGGTCATGCGGTCCCCTAGGTGCGTCGGCACCGCAGCATCCACGAGGTAGACATCTCTAACCTGGAGGCAGCCCTCCGCGCAGAGGAGCCTGGGGGCCAGGCCTACGAGACACCTCGGGAGGAAATTGCCCGGCTTCGCAAAATGGAGCTGGAGCCCCAGCACTATGATGTGGACATCAGTAAGGAGGTACGTAGTGTCCAGGAGGGGCCCGCAGGACGGGGGCCTGCGAGGGAAGTGGCGGTGACCCCAGTCCCTCCACAGCTCTCCACCCCAGACAAAGTGCTCATCCCTGAGCGGTACATTGACCTGGAACCAGACACCCCCCTGAGCCCCGAGGAGCTGAAGGAGAAGCAGAAGAAGGTGGAAAGGATCAAGACACTGATCGCCAAGTCCAGGTACCGGGCCACTCCCTCTGCCCTCCCTGGCTCCTGGGACTGGATGGGGTGCTAGACGTTGTGGGGCCACTGGGCCTCCAGGATAGAGCACGCGGAAGCAGTGGCCCAAGGCAGCTGACGGCCCAGGTGCTGGGCTCCCGCAGGCAGTGCCGGGAAGACAGAGCTGAAGGCTGCCTCCTCGGACTTCGCCCTCTCAAGCTGCCCTCAGTGTTCGCGAGAACCTTTGAATTCACTTGAAAACATTGAGGGTAGGGGTCCCACTCCCTCAGGACAGCCTTGCTGGGCGCTAGGGGCTGTGCACTCTCAGGCCCCGGCCCTCCCCGCCAGCCTTGATCTGCGGGCCGCCCCAAGCCAGTCGGACCATGCTGTCCCCTCCATGTCTGTGTGTCTGTGCCTCTGCAGTATGCAGAACGTGGTGCCCATCGGCGAGGGGGACTCTGTGGACGTGCCCCAGGACTCAGAGAGCCAGCTGCAGGAGCAGGAGAAGCGGATTGAAATCTCCTGTGCCCTGGCGACCGAGGCCTCCCGCAGGGGCCGCATGCTGTCTGGTGAGAGGGGCCGGGCCTCACTCTCCCAAGGAGACCAGCTGACCCGCTGTAGGGGAGGAAGCCAGTGCTGCAAGGGGAACAGGGACAGAGAATGCAAGGCCAGGGACATGGTCCTCAGGGTCAAGGGGAGCATTTATTGAGCACCAGGTACTGTGCTAGGCTCAGGGAGTGCAGAGGGCCTCAGAGCCGCGAGGATCCGGCAATGATCAGAGGCCAGTGGGGAGCACAGCGAGCCATCCTGCCTTGGCAGGTCAGGGAAAGGGATTGAGACAAGGTGATAACCGAGCTCACTTGGGAAAGATGAGAGTTTGCCAGCTATGGAGGGAGGGCTGGGTAATGCAGGTACCCTTGTGCTTCCCATTCTTGCTCCGTGCAAGTAGGTAAAGTGTAAGGAGAACTAAAAGGGAAGGCAGCCAAGGAGTTGAGTCATCTAAGCACCACTTGGCCGCTAAGCCAGAAAGCTGAAAAGGAGGAAGTGGCTTCACACCCGTACAAAGATTCCTGGTAGACGTGATAGGCTTGAAGTCAGCGGGACTCATTTCTGCCAGGTGGCAGACAGCATCATGGATAGGCCATGACGTGATGGCTTTGAAGAGTGAAGGAAGTTTCCTCTGAATGAGGGTCGGCAGAGGGGAGCGGTGGTTAAGGCGTGGACCCTGGAGACTGTCCTCATCCAGGCAAAGTGAGGACTCTGAAGGCCACAGCTAAGAGAAGTGATACTGAAGGGAGCCTGGATGGGGGGACGTGGGTAGAGGAGAGAAACCAGTGTGCAGGCACAGTGACAGCAGCCTGGGAAGAGGCAGGCAGTATGCAGGTAGGATCCATGGCCAGGAATCCTTAAAGGAGTGGCCATTCACATAGGTGATTAAGGAGGTTCAAAATGTGCCTCTCTGAGGCTCTATCTCCTCACCTGTAACACTCACAGCAGAATCCTTGCCTTCTGCTCAGGTGCCCAAGGGTCAGAAGCAATGTCCGCCAAACTCCTAGCACAGTGCCTGGCGCTTAGTGCTCAATAAATGTGAGCCGACCATAGTAGCTGTGATCGTGGTAGTGATGTTGATGATGCTGGTAGAAGTAGTTGGAGTAGCAGTAGCTGAAATTGAAACGGGAACCACCTGTGATTTCTCTAATTATTTTTAAATATGGATATTTTCAGAAACCAGAGAGTTGTAGGCCACAACAAAAGGGAGTTAAGTAAGACCTAAGAGAAAATCCATGGGAATAAAGAACTTCAGAATGGGTGGCCAGGGAAGGCCCCGAGCTGAGGGGACAGAGGAACCCTTTCCTGGAGCCAGGAGGCAGCAGAACCAGTTTGGCTGCAAGCAGGGAGACCTCTGTTTCTCCTCCCTGTAGTTTAGCTGCAGAATGAACTCAACTGTCCAAAGATCAAATTCCACATACCCTGGGCAAAAGGCGACTTCCTGTTTCAAGAGGGTAGAGCATATAATGCATTTAAAGAACAGCTTCACTCTGCCCTGCCCCAGCCCTGGCACTCTCTACCGCAGCTCTCCAGCCCAAGGTTCCATGAAAACAAACCCACCCTGCCTATCAGATTTCCCCCTCCTTGCACTGGGCTTACATTTCAGGGTCTGTGCGCTGCTAGCAAATGGTCACCTTGCTTGTACCAAAACCCCAACTATGTAAAAAATGGCTGTGGTAGGGCCAGACCTCAGACCTAGCCCACTGTCCCCACTGCCCCTGGCCTGTGGCCCCCAATGCCCCGAGCAAGGTCTGGTCCTGGGCATATGTGTATGGGCATAGGGCCATGCCCAGGACACTGTGGGAGGGGGCAGTGCCGAGCATGGGTCACAAGGACAGCAGGCACAGGATGTGGAGTTCAGTGCCTGAGTCTGGGTGTGTGCAGGGATGCTGTAATCAGTGCTGAGTGTTGTAAAGTTTGCAAATCCACCTGGTATGTGCAGACCAAGTATGCACCATGTGAGGAGACGTGGCATTTCTGAGCTTTACGTGTGGCCTGAATGTCATGTACAGCGTCTGTGTCTGGTTATATTTGTAGACGTGCATGTGTTTGTGTTCACATGTGCAGTGTGTGGGTGGAGGGAATGTTTGAGTGCAAATATAGGGGTGTGTGTGTGTGTGCATATGTGTGCAATGCCTCTGGGTATTGTGTGGAGACCTGTGTGTGTGAGTCCAGGTGTAAGGCCAGTAAGTGGCTGGTGTGTGGGCGTGAATGTATGTGAGTGTACAATGCATGAGTGGAGGTAGCATTTGTGACTGCACGTGTTTGTGTGTGATTGGCTTTCTGCACAGTATAAGGAATGATAAAGCACTTGCATGTATACATTGTAGTGTCTGTGTGTGAACGAGAATGGAGTCTTGGGAGTACGAGTTTGGATGACATTCCTGTATGTCACTTAATGCACTTAGGACCACACATAGTATATCACATCTGTCCAGTATGCAGCTGCTACACATATCAATTTTAACTATTTTAATGGATATATTCCTGATGTACATTTAATATTTTAAGGAGGTTATATTTATATAATTAACTTTTCTTCCTCATTTAATACATTGTAAATATCTTTTTTAAAAAACATTTTATTAATATATGTTTGTGATACATAATAATTACATTTGTTTTGGGATTTCATATATATATATATGTATATACACATATATGTATGTATATAAAATCTGGATCACTTTTCCTTTTCTCCACCCATCCCTTCCCCACCTCCAAAAAGTCTACTTCCATGAAATATCCTATTTTTCTGACTCCTATTTAAAGGGTGCCCTTCAGGGTTGCCATATGTATAGATCTATTTGTAGCTATGCTAAATGTCTCTGAACTATTACATTTTTAAAGTTCCCTCTACTTTTTATAAAAGTCTCTCCTCAGTTGTACTTTCTGAACATTCAGTGGGCCTTGCAACGTCCCCACCCCTTAACTTTCTTGTTTCTAATCTCCTGTGGCCCATTTATTAGACTTGTGTATCAATGAGACACACTGGGTTCCGCGGGTCTCTCCCACGAATACATTAAGAGCCTCAGCCTGTGTATGATGTAACATGTATCCTGGCTTCCTTGGGTATTTGCTTAGTTGTGGGCTTCTTGACTGTTTTAGTTGAGGTTGCCACTTACCTCACCCTTGGGTCAGCAACGTGGATCTGCACACAGATGTGTGTCTGGAAGCATTTGTGAGTGTATTTGTGTGTGATGCTCCAAGTGTGTTGGGCCATGTGGAAGGACACGGGTTCGAGAGTGCACGGACACTCGCATACAGTCTCTGAGTTGTGCACGGTGAGTGTTGCCACATCCCAGGCACAAGCTTGCACTGTGTACAGGCAGACACAGCGTCACGTCCATGTGACAGCTACGTAGGTTTACACACGCGGGTGTGTACAGAGGTGGCAAGAGCCACGGTGGCCCTTTCTGTGCCCCAGAGACCAGGGCAGCTGATGAGACCCAGAGCAGGGTGGGGAGCAAGGGACCGAGAAGTTCTGCATTGAAGCCTCTTGCTGGAAATGCAGTGCGATTCTGGCTGAGCTCTGGTTCCTCTCTGAGCCACATCGGCACCCTCTCTGCCATCCTCCTGCCTCTGGCTACACTTAGGATGCGCGAGGGTCCGGTGACCGCAGACCACTTGTCCCCCATGATCTGACTCCCTCCTCATTGTCCTTCCACTTTGCTGTTCTCAACATGAATAATAATGACAATAAAGTAAAAGTCTCACTAATCCACATGTCGCCGTCTTAGGGCTGGTCTGAAGCTTCAGGTGTGTTCCGGAGCGGACCGCAGCTGCCTCTAATGTGTGGGTGACAGGAGGGCCTTCCGTGATGGTGGGGATGTTTCTGAGCCCCCGCCCGAGTGTGAATTCCTAGAACTGACTTTACGTGGGTCCGAGAGCTCCGTATTCATGGAAGTGATCCACGTGGGTCACTTCCGCGCTACCTGCGCGCTAATGGCCCGGTGATTTGGATTAGTGTGACTTTACTGCACTATTCACCATCACCCTTAGTGCCACCACCGTCTCCCAGCTGCCCCTCCCTGCTGTCCCCGGCAGTAGAGGGTGTGGCTCCCCCTGCGGACTGGGGGAGCCTTCAGCACAGAGAGCTCCCAGCCTCGCCCAGAGTCCCACTGGTTCTAGGCACAGCCTGCAGTCGCAGGCGCCCAGATGCCCGGCCACAGAGACACCTTTGCCTCCGCTTGAGCCAGCTCCGAGCCCAGCTTTCTGCTCCGCTTGCCTCCCTGCCTTGCTCCCTGCCCGCCCCTCCGCCCCCCCCCCCCCGCCTCGCCTGCTCTGGGTGCACAGCCTCCCCAGCCCCGCGCCCCACCGCTACTCACCGCCCTGTTCCTTTCTGTTCCAGTGCAATGCGCCACCCCGAGCCCTCCCACCTCCCCTGCCTCCCCGACTCCACCAGCTACCCCCCTCTCGTCTGAATGCCCTCGAGGCGCCGACAGCAGCCACGCCTCGCGGGTCTGAGCTGGACGTAAGCACTTTTCTCTGTATTCCACCCACCCCGGGGAACGGGTCCCCTTCCCTGCCCCACTGAGCTCCCTTTGCCCCTCACTGCGGCATTGCTTCCCCCACCCTGGCCCCTCGCGCTCTCCCCTCCATTCGTCTGCTTGAGTCGCCAGTGTTCCTGTGCAGTGCTGGCTGCAGCCCCCTGGCGGCGCTGCTTCTTGGATGTGGCGAGGCCGACGGGCTTTACTTCTCCAGAAGCAGACGGGAGATGGCGCTGAGCCCTCGCCTGTCCACCCCTGTCCTCTGTCAGCCCACCAGCTTTCCATCTGCTGCCACACGGCAGTCCTGCCACAGACCCCTCCGAAGCCTCGGGCAGTGTCTCCGCCCCCTGAGACTCCCCTGCACCCCATCCCCAAGGCGTAGGCCTCCCACGCACAGCACAGAGCAGGGGCAGCAGGCAGGCGGGGAAGACCCCTGGCCTCTGTGTCTCAGGCCTTCTCGGACAGGCGCCCCTGCAGCTCCGAAAAGGCCTTTTCTCCCCCAGGAGCTTGGCAGGAGCCCCGGCCTTGGTGTTTCTCTTCTCACCCCGTTTCCCTTTTTTCTAGTGCAAGCCCTGGCCGAGGCCAATGCTGTGAAGCTGCACAGAGCCACGTTCTGAAGCGTCCTCTGCCCAGTGAGGTCCTGGCCACCACCCTGACCCCCGTCCTGTGCTCCCATGGGAGTGCCGCAGGGAGCCAGGCTGGGGGCCAGGGCTGCTGCCAAAGGAGTGTGGGCGCCTGAAGCTGCGCTGCTCACGCTGGGGGGTGGCAGGCAGTGGGGTGGAGAGTTGGGAGGCCGTCGTCTCTGATGCCCGAGTGGCAGGAAGCCGAGGCCTGGCTCTGGCTGGCAAGGTGGTGGCCCTGCTTGAACATTCCGTGTGGAGGACCCGCCCTGGTGGGGAGCATGCCTTCAGCTTAGTGAAGTCTAGGGGTGAAGGAGAGATGGGCCCTCAATGCCAAGGACCGCACCTGCCATCACCCCCTCGCCGGCTGCCCCAGCTGTGCCCCAGGCTTTGCCACGCCTCCGCCGATGGGGCTTCTTGCGTTTTGGTGGAGACCAACCGCCCGCTTGAGCCAAAGACTAGAGGATGAGCGAGGGGGAGGGGCTCCTGGGCTCCCCCAGGGGACAGAGCGGGCTGTGGATGGAGAACAGCATGTGTGTGCCTGTCTGAGGTCAGGTTGAGAAGGGAGAGCAGAGAGCAAGGGAGAGTCCCAGGGAGTGGGGACCGGAGGGGAGTGGGAGGCGCTGGCGAGGGAGGAGGGCAGGGGAAGGGAGAGGACAGGATGGGCCTCCCCATGGGGGGCGGAGCCTAAGTCGGTGCCGAGCCGAGGGCCCACGGTCACCTCCGCGCCTCCCCCTCATCCCCCGCGCAGCCCAGCCGGGCCAGCAGAGTGCCCAGTGGCCTCACTAAGGTGCTCAGCGTGGGTGAGGGGTCAGTGGTGACAGCCTGGGATTGGGTCCTTTCCGGGTCAGGCTCTGGTGCCTGCCTCGGCCTCCCGGGTTAGAGCAGAGGGAAGGACCTGTCTCGCGTGGGGTGTGGCCAGCCTCGGGGCCTTCCCGAGCCTGTTTCCCTGATGGTGCTGCCGCCCGCCCGCTGAGAGTTTGCCCCTGGGAGAGAGAATGAGGCCTGAATCTGGGGGCCAGGGGCCAGGCCCGAGCCTTCGCCTACCCAGGGAGGCTGCTGGGAGAGACAGAAGCAGAACGCGTCCCTCCTCCACTCCACCCACTTGAGATGAATGTAGCCAGAGAGGACAGAGGAGAGGAAACTGAGGACTGCTGGCCCTGAGACTTTTTCTGCCAGCGTTGCTGCCGGAGACTTCAGCCTGACCAGCGGCGGCAGCAGCACCAAGAACAACTGCTTCCTGCCCACTGCTCCTCTCCAGTCCTTCATGGCTGGACAGCTACTGGTTCATATGCAAGTAAAGATGACAATTCATTCAACAAATGCGGATCGAGCACCTTTTATGTACCAGGCACTGTTCTAGGTGCTTAGGATATTCTCATGCTTCGGAGGAACTACAGACTGGGAGGATTCCACCTATTTTCACTTCTAGCAGGCTATTTTTGGAACATGAAAATGCCCCTGGCTACATTTCCCATCTTCACAGTTCGAGCACCCAGATCTGCTCTTTGTCCCCTACACACTGGCAGGTGGGATTAGCTCCCAGGTCACCCTCTCTCCACACCCTTCTCCTCCCACAAGAAAGGTTTTTCAGGGCCGGGATTTAGCTCAGTGGTTTCGCCGCCTGCTGTGCAAGCGCAAGGACTCAAGTTTGATCCCTGGTACCAAAAAAAAAAAGATTTTTCAGGGCCTTCCATACCTTCTCCTTTCTTTGTCTATCCCTCCTTTTTTTAAGTGGTATTTTTAGAAATATACATGTACAATACCGAGAAATAATGCCAACACCTCCGCCGCCTCTCTCCCCCCGTGGCAGAAAGCTGGCCCCCTATGTTGCTTTACACGCCTTAATATATGTTTTATGGAGATAATTCATGTTATGGATGTCTATGTAATATATTGGTTTGTTTGGACGTCAATCCTTTCCTCAGCTCCTACCTGGGCCCGTTTTCTCTCCACACCATCCTAGCATGTTGAGGCCATATCCCTTGCCTTTTTGATCCAAAGGAGGGGAGAGGAAAGACTTATTGTAAGACAGATCTACTTTATGCTTTTGTTTAAAAAGCAAACCTATTTTCAACATGTGCAATGTCTGAAGGGATCGGCGAGTGATGTGACCGGGCTGGGGTGGTGGCTTCCAGGTCCCAGCCGTGTGCCCTGCCCTCTTCCCGATGGCTTCTTGCCCTCCCACCCCATGGGCAGGGAGCGTCTCACTGGGACAGGCCTTGCCCTTGGAAGCCCTGCACCAAACATTTGGTGACACTGTCAGCTCTCGGTGGTGCTGAGAGTGTTGTCCATGTGCAAGCCCTCTTGGAGGAAATGTTTACAGTCTCATGTGCAGAAGGACACTGAGACAGGCACCTGTCCTCGTGGCTCCTGGCCACCTGCCCTTGTCTCGCTGCTGAAAAGGGCAGGATTTCACGGCAGCCCAGGCTAAACAGCAGCAGGATGTCCTTCCGCTCTCTGCTGGACCTGTGACTTGGTGCATGGCCCAGAGGAAGTGGCTTGGATCCTCTGTGCTGTCCCTGCCTCTTAACTTGAGTTCCTTGGAGTTCTCATGCTTGCATGTGGCTCCTCTCTGGTTGGGGTCACGCCTGTGTCATCTGGCTCCCTCTGGGACCTTTCTTTCTGGAGCTATTCTTAAGAGGATGGCTCCTCAGTCTGGCATCCAGACTGTGAAGTTGCCGTCTTGGTTAAGGAGGGTCCCACGGACACTGTAACGTCTCAGCTTTGCCCAAGAAACCCCAGGGCTTTGGCAGGCTGCTTGCTGGGGCACTGAGCTATGCCACCTCAGCCTCTCAAACGGCCTATTGATCACCAGAGTGAGCTGGAAGACTCTTGACTTGCAAGGATTTGGGGAGGATGGAACTCTGTCCAGGTCTGAAATCAAGACTCTTAGACTTCTGCACACAGCTCCAGGCCAGCATTTGAAGCCTGACCTCCAACTCTGGCGTTTGCTGCCACCCTGTTCCCAGCCTAGAGCAGCTTGCTGTGAATGATCAAGGCCCAGATGGAAGCCCAGGGCTAGCAGCCCTCCTGCAGAAAGCCCTGGCTACTCATCTGGGCCCTCCCCAACTAGCACATCACCTCCCTGATCAGTAACCAAGAGGCTCCAACTGAATACAGCTACCATCACTTTAGAAATGTTCCAAGGTACAAGCTGTGTGCTCTCGCTCTGCTGCCTTTGAGAGGCATGGTCTTGAGACAGGGCTGACCGAAGCAAGGTGGGATCACTTCCTTTCCCCTCTACCTGGCAGCTCTTAAAACTAAGGAAGAAAAAAAAAAATATATATATATATATACACATATATATGTATATATATGTGTATATATATGTATATATATGTATATGTGTATATATATGTATATATATGTATATATATATACACACGTATCTATTTATGCACATATTGGGGCCAATTTGATTTACTAGAATTAGACAATAAACCATACAAAGAACTTTATGATCTCAGTGTCTTTCTTTAGCATAAAAGTGACCTTAGGTTAGACAAACAGAGAGCACCTCTGCTGGGACCAAGCCGCTGTAGCACCCCTTTAGCATCCGTCTAGCCAACAAGCCCCTCCCTGGGGAGGAGGGCCATCCTGACCAAGGGAGGGAGAGTTTGCTCTCTTCTTTTGGGAGCATTCTTATTCCATCTAGCTACTCAAGAATCCCTGTGAGTCCTGCATTTGTATATTGCAAGTTTGTATAAACCCAATGCTGAAAATAAAAGGAATGATTTGTACACGTGGTGTCTGTGTCGGCCTCTGGCACCCTCCTGGTCTGTGTCAGTTAGGGGGCTTGGCAGGACAGGGGAGTGGGTCGGAGGGTGCAGAGTCTGTGTACCTCTCCCTGCCTTGCCTCAGCAGCCTGGAACCCCAGGGTTCTGGGAAGAGCTTCCTGCGGTTCCTGGTTTCTCAGTGGTTTGGCCGTAATGGCTGATGGTGAATTCTGGACGCTGTTCTCATCTCTAAAGAGGTAGTAGAGTGGGTGTTCATGTTTTTCATGTGTGTTTTGGATTTTGTAGCATCAGGAGACCTGTAAACTCTGATGTCCTTAGTGAACAGGGCGAGCAGGGGCCAAATTTAGGCTCATGCACACTGTGAGGCCAGGGAGGAGTGTCGGACAATGGTCATTTGTGGCACCCATGCCTCTGTCTGCAGCCCCCATCCGGGCAGCAGCAGCAGCGGGGGCTTGCAGAGGTGGGGACTGTGGGATCGATGGATCGCAGAAGGATCTGCCAATGGGTCCCTGGAGGCTCCAGCTCCAGCTCCTGGCCCAGATCAACCCTCTCACCCAGCCAGGCTCTTTGTAAAAGGGGGCAACAGTGAGTGATGCAAATGGAAAAGCAGCTCCCAGTCTGCCCTTTGAGGACTGGAGCTCAATCCAGTCAGCCACAGCTGAGGCTGGGCAGGCAGCCAGGGTCAGTCAGCTCCTGCTGGGGCCACATAGGAGGCCGCCCGCCTCGCCCTCTGCACCCTCCCTGCCCGCCTCCAAAACCACCAGCATGGAGCCGGGAACAGCAGTGTGGAGGGGCAAAGAGAAGGTGGCCCATTGTGCCCAGTGCCTGGCCCTGGTCCTCGCTGGCTGCATGAAGACCTGGACAAGTCACTCTGCTTCCGTCTTTGTTTGCTCATCTGTAAAAGTGAGGCTATTGGGCCGGGGATTTAGCTCAGTGGTTATGGCGCCTGCCACACAAGCGCAAGGTCCTGAGTTCGATCCTCTGTACCAAAAAAGTGAGGATATTAATCACCATCATAAGACATTTCAAGAAAACCAAATAAGAAAATGCATGATAACCTTTTAAGGGGCCTCTCCAGGAGGCCAGCTGCAGACGAACCCCTTGGGCTCAGCACCAGTTTCCAGAGAAGTGGGCCTGGGGGGCCCCTTTTCAGGAGGGTCCAGTTCTCCTGAGCTCACTGTGGGTCCGTGGCTGGCTGTGGGAGTGGGGAGGGGATCCCAGCTGCTGCTTTATTCCCCTGTGGGAGCAGCTTAGAACAGGTGGAGAGTCTTGTGTGTAATATCGTGTTAACACCATGCTCTGGAGCAGTGTGAACCTTCACAGTATTATTATTGTAGCAACAGTGGCTCATTAGATGGTTAGCGTGTGCCAGGTACAACATCTCTAGGTGACAGGTAGCATTCTCATGCGAGAAACTGAGGCACAGAAAGGTAAATAGAATGGATCCGGCCTCCTGGGTGAAGCCTGAGGCGGCACTGACTTTAGAGCCCAAGCTCTCAAGCTATGGGAAGTTTCAATGGGAGTCACACTGGCCCCGAGGGAGCATTTTGGCAATCTAGGGGGAGAGAGATTATCGAGATAAGGCAAGGGAAGCTACTGGCATATTAGTGACTGCAGTGCACAGGAACATTTCCAAAACAATTGTCCCATGTCCTGTACAAGTTTACAGTATATGAACTGGGATAAAACCCACTGCCAGTATAAGGTGGTCACACTTTATACCACTACTAAAAACTTGTAGAAGCTGTTAAATTGCTTTTCAATGAGTTTCATGAATAACTCATGACAGAAATGCCTGCTGTGGAGAAGAAACTTAAAATGAAATAGAGACACTGTCTCAAAATTCCTGAATAGTGTACCCCATGTATTGGCTACACAATGTGTTATAACATTTCAACTACTACATATTTGGTAGAAAATGGTTCCAACAAGCAGTGGGGTGTCCTGAAGAAGCAAAGGGATGGACTAATCATATTTAACAGGAGAGCTAGAAAACCAAACATCCTTAAAACAAACATTTTAAGTCAACCATGGTGGAGAGAAGGAAGGAAAAAGGAAAGAGAGAAAAGAAAAGAAGGGAAGGAAGGCTGGGGGTGAAGCTAACTGAAGAAAAGTTTAGTGTGAAGGCCGTAGGGTCAATCCCCAGTACTGGAAGAGAAAGAGAAAGAAAGAAAAGCAGAGATCCATGAAACGTAAGAGATCTCATTGATCTCCTTACTAAAAGCTTTCAGAAATTACTTCATATTCTTGCCGTCGTCTATAGTGTTTGAAGTTTTGCAGCCCAAGGGTGAACATCTATGTTGTAGCAGTTCCGTGTGGAACTGTCCGGGCAGCCGTCTGTTGTTTTCCTCCACTTTCCCAGGGCCCACACGCAATTGCTCTGCCCGCCTTCATCTTTCCCCGTGCTCTTCCCAGTCGCCCTCTGCTCCCCATACACCTTTGGAAAATGTCATGGCCAAGGCCTCTCAGCCTTGGAGACAGGACCAAGACCTGTGTGTCTGTACTGTGTCATCACAGTCCCCGCTCAATGTCACAGCATAGGCAAATATTCTGACAATGCACAGGCGCAGGTCGGTGCCAACCTTGGACCTCCTTGTCCCCCTCTACCTGACTGCACGTACACCGCCCCCCACTTCCGTTAAGGTGACTTCCCTCTTAGGTCCAAGCACGTCCTGTCTGACATCACCTGCCTACCCTTAGTTTCTATTCTAGTGAGCTAGTGTTCATCCCTTATTTTGTTTTCTTGTGTGCATGTGGTTTTTGCGTTTGCATGGAATGGCTCTTGTTTTCTATTTCTCAAGCTCAGTTACGATATATAGGTGCACACCGTCTGCCTGTCTCACATACGTCTTCAGGTAAGCCTCCGCTGAACATTTATATATTGAGAAGCGTTATGTTTCTTTATAAATTCTTCTTGTGTTACTCTTTAGTGGAGTTAGCTTTATTATAGCTTTTGAATGATGTACGATCTGGGTCATATGATCAGTGCGCTTCATTTCTGGATGAAAAGCATATTTCAAAGGGGAGGCCGGCTGTAATGGTGTTGCGAGCCGCTGCTCTGCAAGGGAGAAAAGGTCCTGAGGAAGGCTGTGCCCTCCCCTCTGCAGGCTCGGAGGAGGAAGGATGCGCCCCTGCCTACGCACCTGGCAGGTGGACTGGAACTCAGCCTCATGAATTGTTTAGCCTCCCCCGCCCCCCGCCGCCGCGGCCCAGATGCAGGGCTTTGTCTTCTGTAGTTCAACCTCAAGGTTCAAAGCTGGAGGAAAGGTTGAATCCCTTGAAGTCTAACTCCCCTGTGGCACCAGATCTGGCTCTCCCATTAGGCCTGCAACAGGTTTTACTCAGCTGCTTGTTGCCCCCTCGCGTTGGTCATGTGTATTACACAAAGCAAAAAAGAAAAAGCTTTCCAGATGAATTTAATACGTTTGCAAAGAGACATACAGATTCCAGCTCTTCCCGCATATTCTACCAAACCAAGCAAGGAGTCCTTCCTTCCATATACGATCCAAGTTTTGTAGAGGAGGCAGGAGCGGAATGCGGAAGGGGGTGTAGAAAGGGTCTGGTGACCGTGCGGGGAGCCTGCGTCTTTAAGCAGCCCCGCTGTGGTCAGTGTTAGGGTGGGGGTTAATGATTTACCAGCGCCTCCCTTCTCCATTGCCAAGGGTCAGCTTTCCTGCTCCCCGGGAGCATGCACAGGCTCGGTGGTGCTCCGGGCCCTCACCTCCTGCCAGCCGAGCCGGAAGGCCCCCCTGGCGGACCGCAGCATGATCTCCATCAGCGAGGGCCAGAGTGAGCAGAGGGCTGGGGGCCCGGGCTGGGCTGGGGTCTGGGCGGTGAGGGTGCAGGTGCGCCCCTCCCGGCCCTCGTCTCTGCGGAACCTACACTGTGACCTCTGGAGCCACTGAGGGCTGCTGTGTTGGCATCCGAGGCAGCAGGGCCGGCGGATGTGGCCCCGCCCTGTCAGGGGTGAGGGCTGCAGGTGCCCGGGTAGCCGAGGCTGGGGCTTGGGGGCCCCTCGGTCCAGGGTCCTCAGAGCTGGGGGTGCACAGGTGGGCTCAGGAGGCTCTGCCTGTTCGGTATCTTCCCCCACAAACCTTGAAGCCCTGAGTTTCTTCTTAACAGAAACTGAACTCCACTCCTCTGCCCACACCCCATCCTCACTCGGAAGAGGGGAGCAGGAGGGATCCTCAGGGGGCGTAGACCCCACGCAGAGGGAGACCAGCTCTGTGGGCTTCAGTGAGTGCGAGAGCGAAAGCCCGAGTCCCCTCCTCACCCGCTCCCTGAACACAGTCCCTGCCAGGTCCCCAGCACTGCCAGGCGTGCACACATTGCCAAAGAGGCAGACGGGTGCCCGGCTGGCCTAGACTGGGAGGGGGCTGACCAGCTAATGAAGAAGTAAATGTGTAGCATGTCCAGTGGAGCCCTCCAGACGAGAACAAAACGATAAGGAGGCTAGAGTTTGAAGCAGGAGGGGTTGCTATCTTATAGGAAGTGTCGAGGGGAGGCTTTGCTGAGAGGTGCTCCCCCCCCCACTTTATTGGTACACTTTAGGTATACAATACAGTTACATTCATCATTGGGATCTTGTACCGTTACATGAGTCTCTTGGTTCTTATTTTTTTTCCCTTTCCCCTGCCCTCCCTTCACCCCCTCCACCCTTCCCTATTTGCAAAGACCTTGTTTCCATTTCTTTCCTCTTCTCATATTTTTTCCTTTACCTTTTTTCCCTTCCCCTACCCCTCCCAATTCCCCTGCTCTTTTAGACCTTTTCTTCCTGTTACACAATATCAGCTATACATTTTTTAAATTACAATATTAAGATCTAGGAGACATTACCACAGATTTTACAGAATTTAAAAGGATATAGAAAGCATATTACAAAAATCGTTTTTGAAATAAATTTGACAACTTCTAAGAAGTAACTTGGAAGACAAATTAATGAGACTAACTCTGGAGGAGATATAAAATTTGAATAGCACCTGTTAAAGAAAGTATATTCCTGGGCCGGGGATTTAGCTCAGTGGTTTCGCCACCTGCAGCGCAAGCACAAGGACCCCAGTTCGATCCCCAGTACCAAAGAAAAAGAAAGTATATTCCTAGCTTGAAAACCTACCTGTATGACAACAGCAGGCTCATAAACATTTTAACATAAATTATATCAAACAATTAAAGCAGAAAAAAGAAGGAACACTTCTCCCCTCATTTTAGGAACTCAACATTGTGCTAATCCTAAAACTGGATAAAGATAATAGAAGAAAAAAGTATGAACATAGAAATTTGTTTAACAAAAACTATTGGAAGTCAGATCTGGCAGGATGTAGAAAGTGGTTTTGTTATAGGGATGGCAGTGTTGGTTCAGCATTGGAAGATCCACCCCCAAAAGTCATCATTTAAACAGAGGAAAGGAAAAAGCCATATGATCCTGTCACTAGTTGGAGAAAAAGTATTGGACTAAATTCCACAGCTGTTCATGGTAAAAGCTGTCAGGAGACTAGAAGTAGAACAGAACCTTGAGAAGTGCTCTTTTACACAGAGACTATAGGAAATGAGGCAAAGCCTTGAAGCCCTCTGAAGGGACCTGTTCCCAGAAGAGACAGCCTGTGCAAAGGCCCTGAGGCAGTAGCATGCCTGGTGTGTTTGGAGAACAACAAGGAGGGCGGTGTGGATGGAGCAACATTAGCAAAAGGGAGACTCTGGAAGGGCTCAGGGAGGCTGAGGAGGGGCTGGAGAATAGGTCATGGTGAGGACCTTGTTCTACGTGATGGGAAACCACCTTGCTCTCCCTGATGGGAGTGATAGGAGATGCAGACACAGGCATAGGTAGACATCTGGATAGATTAGATGATACAGATAGAGATGAGAGGAGCATAGAAGGGTGAGTGCAGCAACAGGAAGATGCTGCTCCGTGGTGAGAGAAGGCGGAGGAGCCCGGTGTCTGCAGTGGGGAGGTGCATGTCCGAGCCAGCTCTGTGGGAGGAATTTGCCGGCGGACTGGATTCAGGGCCTGGGGGAAGAAGAGTCAGGAATGCCTCCAGTGCCTTTGGCCTGGCGCTGGCAGGTTGAGGAGGGAGCCCTGGGGGGTGTGGTGGGCACTGTGCCCTTGACATCCGGTGCGATGTGGGGCAGGCACCTGGCATCCGAGCCTGGAGCTCCGCAGGGAGAGCTGGCTGCAGAGAGAGGCTGGGCAGCTGCCAGCATATCCGTGGTCGCCAAGGTCTCCAGCAGCATCTCCGCCTCCCCGAGACTGACCTTCTGGGGCAGGATAATCCTACTGCGGACCTGTAAGCCGTGGTGTGCCTGAAAGGCTCTGTTTCATTCAGCCCTGCTGGGAAGCTGCTACTCACGGTGTGTTTTTCGAGACCCTTGAGCAACGTGTGGAGGAGCACGAGGAGGGTGGCAGGAGACTCAGTGGGGCTGCTGCAGGGGTCCAGGAAAGAGATGGAGGTGGCTGGAAGCTGAGTGGTAAGAGAGAGACAGATGGCTTTCAGGATACATTTGGGAAGCAGCAGCAAAAAAGCTTTGCTTCGAAGCCGGGTGTTGCAGTGCAAGCCTATAATTCCAGTAGTCTGGGAGGCTGAGGCAGGAGGATTGCAAGTTTGAGCCCAGCCTTGAGAATTTAGTGACTTAGTGAGACTCTGTCTCAAGATAAAAAATGAAAAGGGCTGGCGATGTAGCTCAGTGTGCCGGCCTGGGGGTTGATGCCCATCCAGCAACCAATCAGTCCATCAATCAGCTGCATATTGAACTGGGAGGTGGCAGGTGTGGCTCTCTGCTTCTGCCTGGGGCCGCCGGGTGAGCCTCACAGGGGGAACCCGGGGAGGCGGAGCTGAAGGAGGAATTTAACCTCTCAGTTTGGGGCCTGTGGAGTGCAAGTGCCTGGGAAAACACCACGCCAATATGCCCAAGAGCAGCACGAAGTGAATTTCAGGGCTCAGGAGAGGCTTAGGCTAGAAGGATAAAGGCCGGTGTTGCTGCTGCACACACGCGATAGTTAAGGACAGAGGAACACGGAGAGAACAAAATGAGAAGCCAAGACAGCTCGGGCCCAAGCCCTGAGCGACTCAGACCCCAGCGGGAGAGAAGGAGGAGCTGGCAAAGGTGCCAGAAAGAATGGAAGGACTGAGGAAGAACACCAGAGTGCGGTGTCGCAGAAGCCCAGAGAGGGAACAGTTCAGCCACACAGTGGCCAGCTGCCGACCATGGGATGCAGGTCTCTGAGAGTCAAGGTGAGCGCGCCTCCTGCGGATGTGGACGAGACTGTCGGCACTTTCCAGAGCCAGCAAGCCGTTTCCAACCCTGCTTCCGCTCACTGCTGGCTGTGTCCCCGTGGGCAGGCAGTGGAGCTGCTCACGGTTTCAGTTTGGTCTGAAATGGGCTGAGCAGTGATCTGCCCAAGGGCTATGGTTGGGCCTGGGCCGGGGGAGCAGCAGCTGCAATCACAGCTGTGAGAGGAGCCTGCTCCTGAGCTCGTCCCTGCCCCATCCTCCAGAACAATTCAGCCCGAAGGCCCTGCCAGGAACACAAAGGGGGTGCCCCACAGGGGTGCAGAGGCCTGCAGGTGAGAACAGCGTTCGTGCTCACGCGGGGCCTGTACAGGGGTCACAGCCAAGACTGGCTGGGGGAAGGAGAGGCGCTCCGTGGTGCAGGGACCCCGGGCCACCTCATAGCAACGGGTCCAGCTGGAGTCATGTGTCACCTCCCAGAGCACAAAGAGAAGCCGACGTCATCGCTGGAAGCTATTTCTGCCTACGATGTGTAGTCATGAAGAAACATCAGACCAACCCAAAGGGAAGGGCGGGTGGCTCCAAAATGGGCGGCCTGAAGCTTCGAAAGGGTCAAGATCATGGCAAGAAGACATGGAGGGACCGCCCCAGATGTAAGGGACTACATAAGCCTGGCGCGGGGGCGCACACCTGTGATCCCAGCACTCTGGGAGGCTGAGGCAGAAGAATCACAAATTTGAGCCCAGCCTGGGCAACTTAGCAATTTAGTGACTGTTGTAGTCAAGGGTTGCAAGGGGTTAGATTTAATATGGGACACATAATTTATAGGATTATTTTATAATACTCGCCCAAAAAGTCAAATGCAGGGGCCAGGGATTTAGCTCAGTGGTTCTGGCACCTGCCTCGCAAGCACAAGGTCCTAAGTTCGATCCCTGGTACCAAAAAAAAAAAAAAAATGTCAAATGCAGAGGGGTGCAAGAGATCTGTCCACACACTAGAGACCTGAAGAATCCAGCGGAGGGCCTGGATCCCACGGCAATGTCCTGCACAACTCCAGCTGAAGGCCTAGAGCCCAAGGCAATGTTCTCCATGAGTCCAGCCAGAAGCCTAGAGCCCACGGTAATGTCTCATGCAAGTCCACATGGAGGATCTGCCCCAGCAAGGCCAAAGGCCAGTGCTGGGAGCCAGAAAACCTGGGCCAGTGAGGTGAAGGACCTGTGTCACCAGGCTGAGGGACCTGCACTGGAGCCAGGAAAGGATGCTCATGAAGATCGGGGCTCCCCTGACAAGAACAGCAGCCATCCCCAGAAACAGTGAGGCTCCGAGCTCCTCCTTTGAGAACAGCCAAGTTTGCATCAGGAAAACCAGCCGCAGCAAGCTTCTTCTAGAAAATCAACAGCCCACGATCTTCCTCTACAGTTCTCCTCTTATGCCATTGGCAACAGTCCCCAGGTGAGTCTTCCACACCCAACCATGCTCAGTTCAGCTGGGCATCCCAAGTTGACCATTAGTTCATCCACCACAGTGACACTTTGGCTCAAAACAAAAGGGGATGTAGCTCAGGGATAGCTGGGGAGCTGTGAATGGGGTCAAAGTCTAGATAATAGGACTGGATCGTGAAAATTTCCCAGCTTTGGTGGCTGTATCGTGGCTGTCTAGGAAAATAAAGCAAAGTAACAAAGCATTCAGGAAGGGATGTTATACTGGACAGTAAGCACTCTCAAATGGGTCATGAAAAAGGTTCTTTGTTCTGTACTTGCAACTTTTCTGAACGTTTGATTGTCAGAAAGAGAAAGAGGGGAACGTGAAGGATTCCTGGTACCAGCTTTGGCCAGAGAGCCATTCAGCCAGTTCTAGAAGCTCTGTGGGCTCTGGGCGGCGAGGGACAGCCTTGGACGCTTCCAGCAGGGGGAGCGCTTCCCCAGACGCCAAGCCCCGGTCACCGGCAGCCACACCTCCCGCCAAAAGTGAGCCCCGTAAGACTGGCGTTTGACTGCCCTATGAATGGAGTGATGTGTCAGTCTGTAATTTGAATGACAGCTCTCGACTCCATATTTTTAATGATTCTTTTACAGAAGCCCTTTGACCTTATTTCTTCCTACACTGGAACTGAATTTAATCCTTTCAAAATCTTTGTGGCAACAGATTATAAAGAATTAGGACAATTGTGTTGTCTTCTTTCAGTTGTAAGTATAACTTAGCCAGCAAACCTAGTCTTAATTTGTTTTTACTGTCCTGCCTTTAAACGACCAGAATAATTTTCTCCCTCACTTTTAACAACCACCTTTAAAACATGGTAATAATACCAGTGTCATAGGGGTTGTGGGATTAATCCCAAGATGTTAGTTAATGAATATTATTTATTTTCAACAAGGGTGTCAAGGCCGTTCATTGGGGGAAGGAATGTGGTGTGAACCATTGCCCAAAAGCTGGATATCCACATACACCGGAATGAAGCTGAGCCGTTACCTAAACCATTTCCAAAAGACAACTCAAAATGGATCAAAAGCCGAAGAGGTAAAACTATAAAATTCTTAGAAAAAAAACACAGGGAAAAGCTTCATGACACTGGATTTAGCAATGATTTCTTGGCTATGACACCAAAAGCACAGGCAACAAAAGGAAAAAATAGATCAAATGACAGTACATGAAAATTAAAGACTTCTGTGCATCAAAGGATGCCATGAACAGGGTGAAAAGCCAACTTGCAGAACGTGAGAAGATATTTTCAGATCATACACCCGTTAATATCCAGGATGTATAAAGAACTCATATAGGGCCAGGGATTTAGCTCAGTGGTTTTGATGCCTGCTGCGCAAGCGCAAGGACCCGAGTTCAATCCCTGGTACCAAAAAAAAAAAAAAAAAAAAAAAAAAAAAACAAACCTCATATAACTCAACAACAAGAAAAAGAGTAACCCAATTAAAACACAGGCCCAGGACTGGAATAGACACTTCTCTACAGAAGACACACAACAGCCAATAAGCACACGAGGAGCTGTTCAACACCACTGAGCATGAGGGAGATGCCAGGCAAAACTGCACAGTACCATTGCTCGTCCATTAGCATGGCTGCTATAAAAAATAACAGTAAAAGGGCTGGGGATTTAGCCCTGTGGTTCTGGCACCTGCCTCACAAGCGCAAGGACCTGAGTTCGATCCTCGGTACCAAAAAAACAAAAACAAAAACAAACAAACAAAAATAATAGTAAAAACCATGTTAGGGATGTGAAGGAATTGGACCCTGTGTGCACTGCTAATGGGAATATAAAAGAATATAGCAACTTTGAAAAAAAGTAGAGCAGTTTTTTAAAAAAAATTACAGACTCAAACAGTATATGAACCTGTAGTTCATTCTGAATATGTACCAAAAAGATTAGAAAGCAGGGTGTTCAAGAGATTTTTTTTTTACTCCCACATTCATTGCAGGCATTATTCATAATAGCCAAAAGCTGGAAGTAACTCACATGTCCAACAGCAGATGAATGGATCAACAAAATGTGTCTATATTCAATGGAATAGTATTTGGCCCTAAAAAAGATAAGAACGTCTTGCCATGTGCTACAACATAAAAGAGTCTTGAGAACATTATAACAATGAGGAAAGCCAGGCACAAAAGAATAAGTATTGTGCGATTCCACTTGTACATGATGTCTAGCGTTGTCAAATTCATAGAGACAAAAAGAATGGTGGCTGTAGGAGGCTGAGGGAAAGAAGCATGGGGTTAATAAGTTTAGTGGGCACAAAGAATGCTGGACATGGACGGTGGATGTCTGCCCAGCTCCATGAGCATACGTATCTGATTCCATGTAACTGTCCCTTTAAATCTGCGTAAGATGGTACATTGCAGGTTGCGTGCATTTTCCCACGGTTCAAAATTTAAATTTTAAAATGAAACACAGTGAACCGTCCTTCACTGGCTGTCCTAGGGACAGAGGTGAGTAGAATTCACAATTCTGTGTGACAGAGACAAAAGGTCCCTCATAGCCTCACTGCAAGGCAATGACTGAAGAAGGTCTGGAATGTCTACGTGCACCCGAGATCCAGCAAGGCGGCCCCAGGCCTGCACTCCTGCTGCTCGCTGGCTCTAGCAGCCTCCAGCAGCTTCTGAGGGAGCCCTGGGACAGCCACTGGCCGGGAGAGCACTGTTGGTGGTGTCCACCCTCCCCTGAGCTGGAGAAGAGCCTAGAGCTGTGTGGGCAGCTGCAGGAGGGGACACGGTAGCAGGATCCCAGCGGGCAGGTGGGCGCACTCCGGACCCAGACTTTTTGCCCCAGGCTCTGGGAGGGGTCAGAAGCTGTGAGCTGGACACAGGGGTGTTTGCGGAGAGAGGAAGGTGGTTCCAAGGGCCAGCAGGGCACTTCGGTGGCTCTTGGGCTGGTGGCAGTGACTCAGTGGCACATTCTCCCCTGTGCGGATGGCCCCAGTGCGTCTGAGGTGCAGGCCCAGGGACAGAGCAGGCGGATGGGCCCCAACCCTGAAAGTGACCCGGGCAGTGCAGCGTTTGAAGACAGCAGGAAGCTCAAAGTACAAGTGGCGAGGGTGGGCAGCACTGCTCCCCGAGGGTTGCTGTGAGGACCGAGCCCATCCCCACCCTCGGTCCCCTGAGAGCACAGATGCTGAGCACACCTGTCCCGTGGCACTGGGAGGTCTCAGGCCAGAGCCTCCCGAACCCCACCCCCCACTGCCTCCTTGCCCATTGCAGAGATTGGCGTAGGCATCACCGGCTTCGGCGTCTTCTTCATCCTCTTTGGGACACTCCTGTACTTTGATTCCGTGCTCCTGGCTTTCGGAAACGTGAGTCCCCCAGCCCCAGGCACCTCTCCTGTCCCACCTTCTCAAGGTGTCTACTGCCAGGAGGGGGAGCCCCAAGTTCGTCCACCTCCTGTCCATCCAGGGGTCAGATACCAGGAAGCCTGGGCAGAGGAGATGGGGTTGGACAGCAGAGCCTGCCGGGCTCAGAGAACCTGAGGACCCAGATTCTTAGGCCAAGCTCTGGCTGCGGCCCTGGGAGTTCCATGATGAATCAGTCCCCCATCCCCGCCACTGGAAATCCAGTGTCCAGGGTCAGGGAAATGGCATGTGCCTGCATGGTGGGGAGGCCGGTGGGGAAGGATAAGGCCCCAACAAGATCAGCGCAGTCACTGAACCAAGGCCTTAGAGGAAGGAGGAGAGGGAGGGACTGGGGACGGAAGGAGACGAGGCGTTGCCGGTGGACAGGGATGGGGTGGAGCGCAGGGGTCACCCTGGGAGACAGCTGGGGGTTAAAGTGGACGGGACCACGCGGTCCGAAGGGTTCCTGGGGAGCCACGTGAAGCGGCGGCAGGCCGTAGACTGGAGGGCCTGGTGTGTGACTCCGCGGCTGTGGAGCTCATGGCTCCCTAACCTGTTTAGGCCTCAGGCTCCCCCTCGGTAAACAAAGAGGACCCCACTGTCCACCCCAGGCCCCAGAGACCCGATGAGAACGGAAGGCTCATAGGAGGAAGCTGTAGAGTCCGAGGAATCGGGTGGGAAACTGGACTTCAGAGTTCTCCCTGTCCACCGGTGCCGCTGGGCAGTACTGGCCCTAACCGGCTAGAAAGGCTCAAGGCCCCAGGACTCTGCGCTCTGCTGGCCGTGCAGCCCTGGGAGGCGGCAGGCCTGGCCCCTCCTGGGCTCCAGCCTGAGCCCTGGCTCCGGGGCCCATTTCCCTCAGCCCCACTCCTCCTTCCCCCTCCACGCAGCTGCTGTTCCTGACCGGCCTCTCCTTCATCATCGGCCTGAGGAGGACGTTCTCCTTCTTCTTCCAGCGGCACAAGCTCAAGGCCACCAGTTTCTTCCTGGGGGGCGTGGCTCTTGTGCTCCTCCGCTGGCCCTTCCTGGGCATGCTCCTAGAGACCTACGGGTTCTTCAGTCTCTTCAAGTGAGTCTGACCCTCCGGACACCTCAGGACAGGGGCCCAAGGACACGGGCTCTGCCAGAATGCAAGTTTCTGTGCATGTGGTGCTGGGATGGATCCTACAGCCTCGCTCATGCTAAGCCATGGCTCTACCACCGAGCCATGTCCCAGACTCCTCTCCTCTTCTCTCCTCTCTCTCTCTCTCCCTCTCTCTCTGAGGCAGGGTCTCACAAAGTCACTAAGTTGTCCAGGTTGGCTTTGAACTTGCAATCTTCCTGCCTCAGCCCACCAAGTAGCTGGGTTTACAGGTGTGAGCCGCGGCACCTGGCTCAGAATTTAAACTTCTCATCTCTCCTCATGTCCAGGACACTCGGCCTCCTCCGCACTCCAGCCAGGTCACACAGATGTCCCCTGTCAGGCCTCTCCTGGGTGTTAGGTGAGAGTGAGACACTAAGGCAGACAGAGGTGGCTCCCGGCAAGGGGGATGCCAGGGCATGTGGTAGTGCCAATGTGGGCATGGCCTCCAGCAACCGTCCACGCCCAGAGCCCAGCAGATCTGGAGCAGCCCATTTAAGGAGAGGATGAAGAGAAAGAATCACAGAGTAGCAGTCATACAAATAAACACTGCTTGAGGACTGCTGTGTGCCAGGGCCAATGATACAGTTACTAATATTATTTTCCACATTTATAGCTGGAAACAGTTGGAGAAGCGAAGGGATTTGCTGGGAAGTAGTAAGGCCAAGACTGAGCACAGGGCGCCTGGCCAGAGACTTCCTTCTTAACCCCTGTCCTCTGCAGCCGGTTAAATGGGGGTGCAGAGCCACGCCTGCCCCAGGGCCAGATTCCGAGCTGCTCCTGGATGGACCTCGGCCGCCATATCCTCCTCTCCCCTCTGCTCCTAGGGGTTTCTTCCCTGTGGCCTCTGGCTTCTTGGGCAATGCCTTCAACATCCCCTTCCTGAGTGCGGTGAGTAGGTCCCGGGGGTGGGGGTGGCACCCTGGGTGCAGCAGCCCCTCCCCTGTCTCCCCCCACTCCCCTGCCCCTGGTTCACTGCTTCGTCCTCTTCCTCTCCCTGCTCCTTCCCCTTGGACAAGAGCAGAGGAGGTGGGGGCCCGCAGGTGTGTCTACGGTGAGGGTGTGGAGGGGCAGCCAGAGGGTGGAGGCTGGGAGACTCCAGGTGACCAACCGGAAAGGGCCTGACTCCTGGGGAGCTGGCTAAGTCCCGGAGAGGGCGGTGACGGCAGGATGCCCGGCTCCTGGGCATGCCCACCCCTTCTTGAAGCTCCCTGAAGACTGTCTGAGGTGCCCAGGGAGGCTCTGAAGTGGGACCGCCATGCAGCTGCCAGCTGGGCACTCCCACAGCCCGGCCTCCTGGGCGCACGCGGCTCGGGCTCTCAAGGCCAGCTTCCTAATAGCCCGCATGTTGCGTCTGCTCCCCAGCCTTTGTCTGGAGTAATGATTCTTGGCTCCCACAGCTGTTCCGGAGGTTTCAAGGCACTAGCTCAATGGTCTGAACCACAGAGATGAGCTCCTTGAACTTGAATGTTGATTAAGTGGCTGGAAGGGAACCGGAGGCCACCGCCATGGGCCCCCCACCCAGCACTGACTCAGTCCCTGTCATACCTCCGCCTCCCCAAGTCCCGAAGGAACAAGAATGGAGCTGCGTGACCTCAAACCTCCAAGTCAGCGCAAGAGGCTCCCAGGACGGCTGGGAGCAGAAATCGCAGCCCCACAGGGACCTGGCTGGGTCTGGCGGCACATTCCCCCCACCCCTGTATTTATGGAGGGAAAGTGAAGATTAAATCCCCGAGCTGCGAGAGTGTTCAGCCTCGAAGTCAGTGTCTCCAGCCCAGAAAGTCCATACCAGGCTTCTGGGGGTAGCCTAGGGCCCATGCACCCCCATTCTGTGTACCAGGTGATGGCATCAGGGTCTGCTTGCTCACCTCTCTAGCATTTTTTGTTTCAGTACCAGGGATCAAACTCAGGAGCTTCCGCCTGCCAGGCAGGCATGGTGCCACTGAGCTAAATCCCTGGCCCACCTCTCTATCATTTTTAGCCTGGTGTTTAATAATCCCAGGCAGTAACACAGCATGTTGGTCAGCAGTAAGCATTCAGCAGGCAATGGGCACTAATCCAGTGCTGCCAGGAAGCGCGGCTCAATCAGGAAGGGGTCGCTCTGCACCGTGCACCCCAATCAGGAACAGCTCAGGCTGAGGCCGCTTCCTGTCTGAGGGCAGAGACTTTGTCCCTGCCTTCCAACAGCCCAGTCTGACAGAGGTCAAAGTCACCTGCAAGGCAGTGTTTAGCGAGTAGCCACTGTGTGTACCTGGCACTAGAGCCAGTGTCCAGGACACAAGGGGCAGGCCTGTCCCTACCGGCACAGATAATTACAACGTGGTTCGAGGAGGGGCAGACAGGGGATCTCTTTGGATGTGCCACCACCTGGAAGTGACTTACCCACATTCCAGCACATCCCAAGCGATGCAGTACATCCTCCTTTCAGAGCCAACATTTATTCTCACCCCTGTCCCCCACCCCGGTACTGGGAATTAAACCCAGGGACACACTAACACTGAGCTACATCCGATGGTTTTTATTTACTTGTATTGGAGACAGGATCTCACTAAGTTGCTCAAGTTGGCCTTGAACTTGCAATGCCCCTGCCTCAGCCTCTGGAGCAGCTGGGATCACAGGTGTGCGTCACCTTGCTCAGCTATTCTCCTTTCTCATAGCCGGCTGCTTACCTCACCGGCTTGCCTATCTGACCATGTCATGTCACATTCGTCTCAAATCCCTGTGCCAAGCAGGCACTCAGAAACTGAGGAAAGAAGGGAGAGAACAAGCAGAGAATCCCTCCCACCCTTCTACTCCTCAGAGCCCTGGGGTCAGGGCCAAACCGACCTGGCTCCCTTGGGGCTGGCAGTGTGTGGGCTTCGAGGAGGCCCTGGGTCAGACTGCGCCCTCCCTGTCCTCGGGTGGCACCTTCACTTCACTGTGCCTGCTGCTCTGCTGCGGAGGGAGCGAGGCACTTCACACAGGCTCCAGCCCCCACGTCCTCATTGTTGAGGCAGAATGGGTCTCCTGGGGTGGGACAGGGCGCAGGAGGGTGAGAGAACTAGTGAGGACACAAGGCTGCCTGGGAGGCCCTTTGAGTGGGAGAAGAGAGCCAGAGGGTGCTGAGCTCTCTGAAGAGGGCCTGGGAGGAGGGAGAGTGGGCTTGTGCCTGGAGACGTCACCGGGCTTGATAAAAGAGGACGGGATCGGGAAGCTGTGAGCGTGAGCCCAGGAGCCCAGCTCTCTCCCGAGGGTGCTCACCTGCCCCGGCACCTCCTGCTCTCCTCCAGGACCCTGCAGAGCTCACACCTGGGCCGAGGTACGTGCACAGCGCATCCCCGTCCTGCCCTAGCAGGGTGTTGAGGGGAGAGGGAACTCATGCCAAGACTGACACATTCAGGTAGGCGAAAGGCCAGGGACCCCATTATCCTGGGTCGGCTGGGTGGATACACTGACTTGCATTTTGTTCATGAAGCCAGGACCCCAGGGGTCCCAAAGGCTTTGTTTTTGCCGTGGGTAGGTGTGGGGTGTTGAGTACAGTGAAGAAATGCCGTGTGGCTGGGATCTAAGGCCGCAGAAGCTTTGGGGGAGGTAGGGAACCCTCCAGGGCCCATGGGTTCAATGGGGCTCCGTTGGGTAGACTCCCAAATACAAACCCAACTACCTACACACTCCGCCAGCCCCTGCTAAGAACCCGGGCCAGCCCAGGAAGGAAGCCAGCCCATTTCAAAGCTTCCCAACCATGCCTGGAGGTGGAGTCGATGGTCCACAGCAGCCCAGGGCTCTTTCCCAAACAATTCAATCTCCTGCAGCTATTCCGGCCCGGTGTGGAGGAGGCGTGGATGAGACAGTGAACAGAGCTGGGGAGTTGTGTGTGTGTGGTGTGTGTGTGTGCAGTGCCGGAGTGCTGTATGTAGCGTGTGTTTGTGTGTACGTGTGTTGGGGGCAGGCAGAGCCCCATGGTGTGATGCAGGGCGGAGTCACTACAGAGACCCGAAAGTGGGGCCCCCTCCCGGTCCCCACACCCCACCCTGCTCTACACCTCGAGGCCAGGGCCCCATCTGCAGTGCTCACCCACACCTGCCTGCCTTCCTGTGTGCCTCTGAGCCCAGAGGCAGTGCTGTGCAGCTCTCTCCCTCCAGCAGAGCCCTGCCCTCTGGTCCTGCACACCAGCCCCTGCCCACTACCCCAGGGCCCAGACAGCCACCTACCGGGTGCCTTCTGCAGGGTCCCTCTCTGGCTGACTGGGGCTCCTGAGGCACCCCTGCCACACCCAGGGCCTGGCTTCCCCGGTTCCTGTGGCCTCTGCGTCCTCACATATGTCCAGAGTGTTATTTTGAAATGGTCCGCTTGAGAGTCCATTTCTCACACTAGACTTGGGGTCTTGGGAGGGGAAGAACCCTGTGGGGGCTCACCTGTGCGCCCCTGCACCTGGCCTGGTCGCAGCCCCTGGGTGGTGCTCAAGGGATGACTTCCAAGCCCAGCTGGACCCACGCTCTGAAACGCTTTCTTTCCACTGTCCTCCTAGGAGATGACGCCTGCCCCTGCTCCTGCACTGCCCAGGCTAGGGAGGTGCAGAGAGCTGTGGTTCTGAGGGCCAGAGTCAAAGTCTGTGAGGATGAGCACTCCGAGCGGGCAGCCGCGGCCAGTCTGATTCCTTTCCTTGTTTTACAGACTGACCACTGGGTCCGGGAGACGGGGGTGACTTGCTCATGTCTCACGAGAATGAGGGCAGAGCTAAGGCCAGATTCGAGATCGGATCCCCTGTCAGGATTTGCACCCTGCACACCACGCCTGGGTCCTTCGCTGGGGGAAGACAGAGAGGGGCAGAGGCAGAGGGACGGAGGGGCTTAGAAGCTCTAGGCTTAAATCCAACCACAGAAGCACTTTGTCTTTTCTCGTGTTTTCTGGACAATCCAAAGTGCCTGATGACTGTTTCCAAGAGGAATTGAACTTGGGAGCTGGTGAAGTGGGGTGTGGAGAAGAAAACAGGTGACCGGGATGGGCAAAGGGGCAGATGAGGGTCAGGACACAGCTCCTACCTCAGCAGTCAAAATGACGAGGCCAATTCAATTCCCACCTCTCTGAGCCCACAGAGAATAGACTGGAGACAATTGACCTGATAAAGCACGGAAAGGTTTTTCTCTTCCCTGAATTATAGGCAATAAGGCAATTTAATGATGGTCTTCAAGGCTGTGAAGGGCTCAGAGAGAAAGCAAGATGATTGCCTCTTTCTTTTTCTAGAAAAGATAAAGGATTGGGTTTCTATTACAGCAGAAGGGAACAGGGCCAGATCTGGGAAGGGACTTTCTAATGGGCACAGCAGGAGCCAGGATCTGTGCAGGCCCAGCCAGGAGAGAAGTGCACGGTCCCAGGCCCCAGAGGGAAGGCCTGAACCTCAGAGTCTCAGCGACCAGAAGTCCTGACCCTGTGCACCCCAGTTTACCCCTACAAACTGCATCTCACTCCTCTTGTCTCCAGCCTTCAAACGTGAGATTCAGAATCCTGACATGTTTCCAACCTGAGCATTCTGTTCCTTCTCCGGATCGGATCCTCTCTTCCTTCCTGACCTTCCTGTTCTCACCTCCAGAGGGGTCTCACCTCCCATGAATTCAGAGTTGATGACCCTGGGCAAGTGGTGTTAATCACACTCCCCACTTCTAATTTTTGGGGTCCACCCCTCCCCTGGGAGCCTCCAAGGATAGGGGCCTTCTCTCTTCCCGGGCTCGGCCTCCTGCCCCTGGCCCAGACGCCGTGCCTGATCTCATCCCTGTTCCTTTTCTCTGTCTTGGCCTTGGGCATACCTAGGACCTGCCTCCTTCCAGGATGAACTCACTGGTTTCCTGGCTCCTGCTCTTCCTCTGCATCACCGCCTTGGGAGAACCCCTGGCAAAGGTGGCACCTGTGGAGAATCCTAGGCCCACAGGTATGGATCATGGAGGGGGCAGGTGGGTTGTTGTGAAATTGCCCCTAGCCTGCAGGGGGGAGCTGAACACTGCCCAGGACTGATGTGAGGGCATCTTGTGGAGAGGTCTTGTGACCTCTGCTAGCTAGGGACCAGTTACCATGCCCTTGGGCATCAGGGGCTCACCCAGCGCAGTTGCCTGCCATGCACCAAACTCCTTCTTGGTTCTCTCTCATGTTCTCTGCTCTACACCAACCACTCCTCTGTGCAGATGTCAGGAGGAAGGAAATACACAGGTTTCTTTCATCAGTGACTCGGGATCCTTTATAAGGGACTCGAATAAAGAACCTAAACACATGACAGAGTCTTAATCTCTGCCAACCTCACGAGTTCACTGGAGAAACTGAGGCCCGAAGAGTCTGTAGAGAGGCTTCTCCAAAGTCAGCCAGATGCTGCAGGAGCCCAGCAGGTGCCAGAGCACACCCCGGAGCATGTCTGCTGAGAGGGGAGAACTGCAGCTGTACTGGTCCCTAGGTTTGGAGTGTGGACCGAACGCTTCTTGGTTGTCAGCACTCTGTGCAGACTAGAACCTGTCATTTAGCCTTCCTGGACCTCCATGCCTAACGTGGAACTTGGGGCATGCTCTGCCCATTTGATGTCATTGTCTATGCCCACACAGACATCTCAAAACAAATAGAATATGGTCCCAGGTGTCTCCCACCAGGAATGTCATCTTTCCTGGGGAAGGGAGGCTGCTTCTGGTAACAACGTCACCACTGCTCATGCCCACTGGGCTGATGCCCTCTGTGGCAAAAGGCTCTGGTCAAGGCCACACAGTAGCCGGGGCAGCGGTCCTACTGCTGGCTTAGCGTGTGTAGCTGGGAGTCTCCTGCCTGGGAGTCTCGCAGGGCCCTGGGCGAGGTGGGAGGGGCCTCTGAGACAGATTATTAACTCTGGACACTGAAACCTCCAACATACACATTAAATCCAGCACACGCCCACTCGCATCCACTAATCTCTTGCCACAACTGGCTGGATTTATTGTCTACTCTGAGCTAGTTGCCCTCTTTTACTGCCAACAAGTATAGTGAATTTAATGAGCCTCCATGAGAAGTGCCTTCCAAATTAGCCTCGCTAACCCTCTTCTTGAAGTGGAGACATTATACCTGAGCTGGGGGAGGTGAGCCAGTTAAGGTGACCTAGATAATTTCTGGTCTTCACTGAGTCCCGGTGTAGTTTATTGGGGGGTTACAATTATTGTTATCAGGCAGCGAGATTGGGCTGCAGGTGTGCGGGGGTCCAGTGGCCTGGCTCCACTTTCTTGATTTCTGTTACTACAAGTTTGTCATTAGCTTTTATAAATCTAACGAGCATTTACTGAGGCCTTACTGTGTGCAAGGCACTATTTCAGGCATTCGGGGAGATAGAGATGGAGGAACAAGGGCCCCAGGGGCTCCCAGTCCAATTGGGAGCCAGGTCCAGAAACTCACAGGCCGGCCAGAGAAGGGGGCGCCCGGAAAGGGACGGCGCTGAGTGCCCCAGACACTTTGGGCTTCTTGACTCCCAAACTTCGTACTATCTGCTTCCTAAAAGTAATTTTAAAGCTATTTAGGACAACTCGGGCAAACTTGCAGAATCAAAATCACGTTCGGGTGGGAGGGGCCGATGACCTAGGACTGCCCTGCTGCTCCGCCCGCTTAACGCCGAGCTTTCTTCTAGCCGGCAGGGGCCGCGGCTAGGAAGCTAGGCGAAGGGGAGGTTTCCTGCCCCCACCACACCTCCCTGTGCTCTATGTCCTAGGCCTGCGGCTGGGACCCCTGGCCCTCCTGACCCCCTGGGGGCAGGGCCTGCAGTGCGCGGAGAGGAAGCCCGCAGCCGGGCCGCGCCCTCGGGGGGCCTCGCTGTGCCCGCCGCCCGCCGAGAGCTCCGCGGAGCCCGCGCGGCCCGGCCTGTGCGCCCGGCGCAGCCGCCTGATCCCCGCGCCGCGGGGCGCCGTGCTGGTGCAGCGGGAGAAGGACCTGTCCGCCTACAACTGGAACTCCTTCGGCCTGCGCTACGGCAAGCGGCGGGCAGCGCCGGGCAGCCACGGGGGCGGGGGCGCGCAGCGCTGAGCGCACAGGTGCTGGTGCAGGCCTTGAACTACAATCAGGCCCTGCGCCAGCTTGGGGCGGGCCTGGAGCTTCTGGCTTGAGGCAATAAAAGAAATGCTGCCGACCCAGCAAGTGTGATTTCTGAGTCTTTGCGAGCAGTGCCCTTGGGGCTGCTTTTTCTCTCTTCAGTGAGATCTTTCGCTGGAGCTAGGGTGCCGCTGGGGCCCCCAAGGTCAGTACTTCTCCAGTGCCTGTGGAGAACCAGGTTGTTACCCAGTCTGTTGTAGCTCAGTACTTAAAAAGATTTTTTAATGCATCACTGAAAACCTGAACTACTTCAAAACAACCAAAGCGAAGCCCAGATTGGCTGCTGCTTGGATGCTTCAGCAAGCTCTAATTTCTATAAAATGTTCCGAAGCCATCCTCTGAATTTCTAGACTTGCCTCTCTGCAGATGGGTGGGTAACATTTTGTAGAAGGGCACGGGCCAAGCCCCTAGCCTTTGAGTGGGGCCTTGGGTAGGAGGCAGACCAGTTAAGCAGCTTCCGGTTCCCAGGGAAGTTCTCAGGCAGGTGAGCTGGTCATGATGCCAACCACTGCCTTGATCACCAAGGTTTAAATATCATGTGAACCCCACAGTCAGGGCTCTATTGGGGTGCCCTGCACTGAAGTCAAGGGCATCACCAGCACACCCCACCCCTCGCCCTCCGAGAGGAAAGCTCAGGATGGGGCTGGTTCTTTTCACTATCACTTCTGTTCATCCTCATAACCAGCCAGGGCAATGGACAAGTACTGTCTCTGTCTTCCACAGGAGAGCCTTGGTGACTAGAAGGATAGAGAACTCATTCAACACTCAGCTGATGAGTGGCGAATCTGATTGCTCTGGGGACACCAGAAGCTGCTCCCCACTCTGCTGTCACGCCTTTCCTAGATGGCAGTGTTTCTGCTTTATGGGCGTCATCCTGGGTGCAGACCAAGAAAGCCAGGCGTGGTGGTGCATGCACACCTGAGATCCCAGCACTTGGGAGGCTGAGGCAAGAGGGTCGCAAGTTCAAGCCCAGCCTGGGCGACTTAGAGACTTAGTGACCCTGTCTCAAAAAAAGGAAAAATGCTGGGATGTAGCTCAGTGTGAAGGCTCTTGGTTCATTCCCAAGAGAGAAAGTACAGTCAGGCAGGAGGGGACATTCTTGGGGGCCCCAGAGCTGGGGAGAAGAAATTTCAGTAGGAAAGAGTGGGGTTTCTCATTAGGAAAACCCCAGGAAATCTGCTCTCCCACCCACAAGACAGCTCAGCCCTATTTGACAGCCTCAGGGTTCCCCTATGCTGCTTGGTCTGGGAGGGAGATGTTCTCTCCCAGAGGAATTGTGGGGCCCACCCCCACACTGTGAAGCACTGCAGTGCTCTACCCATCACAGAAACCAGGACTCCACAGGATGGAGGCAGAGCTGGGTTGCTATGGTAACAAGACAGACTGCCATGGGAACTGACAACCTGCCCCCACCCCATCTTTACCCTTGAAACCGCCCTCCAGGATCTCTCAAATTACCCGTACTGCTGTGAGCTCGTGTCCTAGCCTGTTGTGACGGCATGACGCTGTTAACATTCAGAAAGGCATTTCATCCCCGAACAGCCCCAGGCAGGGTGTGTGTAGCTCTCCGAGAGGAGTCCTAAACTCCTCCCTATTCTGTTAAGCAAGTTATTCCCCCAGCCCCTTGAACCAAGCCCTCCTGTGGTGAAGGCTGTGGATAGGAAGAGGCTGATGGGTTTCTGAAATCTGCTCTTAGCAAGCCAGAGTTTTACAAAACTCCCTGTGACCCTCTCTGCCTCTTCCACACAGCCCTCAGTTTAGGGAGAGTAGGAGGGGCTGCTTAGGGGCAGAACAACCCAGGGGTATGTCAGAGGGGTACACAGGACACCGCACACAGGTTCGCAGGCTGTGCCTATGGGACCTTGTGTGTGGCGTGGACCCTTCGGAGCACATTTCAGGCCTGAGCAGGTGTCACTGCAACTGAGTGCCCCCCACCTGTCCCCGCTGGTCCAGGGCCCTGACTTCTACAGACAGCTGGAAGGGAACTCATTGCCTGTCTGCTGCTTCTTGTCCCAGAACTGCGACCTACAGACTCTGGGCTTCCCAGTTCTGGGGGCTTTCTGTGGAACGAAGGGATCTTTGGCTTCTCTGGGCTCTAAGCTCCTTCTGAACCCACCCTCCTGATTGGAGGGGTGGGGAGGGGAAGACAGGCTGGGAAGGCCCCAGGTGTTCTCAGGCCCCTCTCCAGACTGTGGGTGAGCAGCACAGAGGGCTGAGGCACTGGAGCCAAAGAACTGGAGGCAGAGCCGGGTAGGGTCGGTGGGACCTACTGCTTCTTGAGATCTCTGAGCAGTGCCCAAGGGTGGGCATAGAGGGCGTGACAGCGCCTCTTCCCCAGCCCCCTTCTTTGGTAAGTGTTCTGTAATGGCAGCAGGCTGGTCACTTGCCCCTGTGGAAAGACGCACGGGGGCAGGGCTAGAGGGGCCCAGGCAGATGTCTGCCCCTAGTATTACTCGGAACGTATCACAAGCAGTGTGTGCACCCCGCAGTGTGCCAAGCACAGGGGCGCCTCGTTTCACCCTCATGGTGAGCGGCTGACAGGAAAGAGAACAGCAGCTTGGGGAGGTAGGGCGGTGTGTCCCAGGTCACGTGGCTGCAGAGCTCGAGAGCCCAGAGTCAGGCACATTCCCACGTTCTAAGGGCAATGGGAAATCTCCCTGCAGGCCGCAGGCTCTCCTTCTGACCCCCACCCACCCTTTCAAGCATGGCAGGTGGCAGATCCAACCCTTTTCCCACCAAGAAGGTCTTGGGAAGCAGGTGTGGCAGCCAGTGTCACTCTACCGCAGGTCCTCACTGGACTCCTTTAGTGACGGCACAAAGTCACCAGTTCCAGGAGCGGCCTGCCCTGTGCCAGCCTCAGGCCCTTGCTGGCTGCGTGCCTTCTGGACCTGTCAGCACCTCCCCAAGCTCAGAGCTGGGCATGGGAGGTGAAGGACGTCCAGTCCGAGGAGAGCCTGTACGCCTTCCTCGCCCTCCCTCTGCTCCCATTTCTCATCTTCTGTCTTCAAAGACACCAGAGCCAACGAGGCTCCTTGCTTGGCTTTGCGTGGGGAGCCTGGGGCAGGGCTTGGTTTGGGTAATTAGGGGCCAGGACTCGACAGCCCCCTCCACCATCCCCCTGGGTTTGCTTTCCTGCTGTCTTTACAACTTTCCCTTCAACGAGTCACAGCACAAAAGGTAAAAAGTCCCTCTGCTGATACATCTGCGCCTCCTCACTCCCTAGCCCCTTATTCAGAGGCACCAAAGGAACGAGAATGGTACAAAACCTCAAGGCCACAAAAGAGGGAAAGGAAACAGAGCAGCTGGAATGACGGCAAGATTTCTGAGGTGGAAATTATCTGGAAGGCTTTGCAGAACAAAGGGAACCACCTGTGTGTCAGGTCGAAGGACGTGAGGCGTCTGGTGGAGCCAGGGCCTGGGCACTGGCTGAAGTCCAGACACAGGGGTTTGGTTTCCCAAGGCCTACAGAGCTGGGCTTTCCTGCCACCCCGAGGGCAGAGGGCGGAGGGCGGAGGCTTCCGACTTGAGTTCAGCAGTGGGGAGCCTCCACTGCCCTCAGCCAGCACAGGGAGGACGGGGACAAAGAGGGCAGCTAAGAAGATGAACATCTTCGTGGGTGGCACCTGGCCTGCTCTCTTTCTCTCTCTGCCGGGAGGGCAGATCCCCGAGCAAAGCTCCTCAGACAGACTCTGGAGTGTGCCCTAGGGAGAGCCACAGGGAGAAGCTGGATCAGAGCCCCTCGATGGTCAGGTGCTCTGCTCTGAGCCCCACTTGGGCACAGGAAGCTTCCAGGCACCTCCACCTACTTCTTTCTTTCTTTTTTTCTTTGGTACCGGGGATCGAACTCGGGACCTTGCGCTTTCGAGGGGAGCTAAATCCCCGGCCCTGCTTCTTTCTTAACCATGGGGGAGAATCAAGGAGTCACGGGAGACTGAAGAAACTCTGCAACCCAACGGGGATCCAAAGCAAAGCAACACAGAGCTAACAGTCGACATAAAAAGCAGAACATTTTTGGGGTGGTTAAAAAAAATAATAAAATTTGCCATCATAAAATTGACCATCATAACCATTTTTAAGAGTATAATTCAAAAAAAAAAAGAATGCAGTTCGGTAGTGTGACATATATTCACAGTTATGCAACAGATCTCCAGAAACTTTCCATCTCACAGGTAACGTTTGTTAAAAAAAACGAGTCTGTAATGAATATCCTCTGAGGAAAGATAAAATTTGCATCCATAAAAAGAAGTGCATGCAATAAAAATAGGAATAGGCAGTCTCGAAAGGACCTTTGAAGTTAAAAACATGAGAGCAAAAATTTTTAAAGGAAATCTGTAAAAAGCTGGAACATATAGTTAAGAAAATTGGGCCGGGGATTTAGCTCAGTGGTTCCGATGCCTGCCCTGCAAGCACAAGGTCCTGAGTTCGATCCCCGGCAACAACAACAACAACAACAAAAATCTAGAAGGTAGAACAAAAAGAAATTAGGAGATAAAATATTAAAAACTTAGGAAAACAAACAGGAGTTGCAATATCTTAGTAATAGGAGTTCCAGGAAGAGAGAAAGAAGAATAGGAAAAGAAGACATAAAGAATTTATGCAGGATGGCACTGGGGAGGTACTCAGTGGGGCGGGGGGGTGCGGGAAGTCCTGGGTTTAATCCCCTGTGCTGCAGAAAGGGGGAGGGGGAGGGAAATTAATGCAGGATGATTTGGCAGAACAGAGGGCATCAGTTTTGAGACTTGGCCGAAGGGGCTCATGAAGCACTCAGGTCGTGAATCAGAAAAACACCAGGCATAAGGAAAAGCAGTAAAAGTCTCAAGGGGTGAAAACAAATGTAGAAGGATCAGGAGTCAAAGCCCCACCAGACTGGTTCGGATCAGAAGATACTGGAGAAACAATTTCCAAGCTCAGAAGGAAAAGAAGGCTTCAACCTAGAACCTATTCGTGATGAAACTAGCGGGAGTTTGGACCTGGGACTGCGCCTTTCCGGAGAAGCTCTGGAGTCTGCACACGTAAGCAAAGGAACAAACAGGAAGATGTCCTCAAACCACAGCACATGGGGCAAAAAGATGCAGCCTGGGCTCCTGGGAGATGCCTGCTAGTTCCTCAGCTGGGTGTGGAGCCAGGCGGGAAAGGCTTTGGGCCCTCTGCACAGAATTCGCAGAATCATGGAAAGCCAGACAGAGAAAGGGGGTGTCACTGATAAATTTATAGAAATCAGAAATCACAGGGAATAGTACAATCACAACACAAGTAAACAATAATTTAATCATAGTTTTATTTTTGTCCCAAACTGAAGGCGTAGAGTATGAAAGAAAGCCTCCTATACCATAAAAGAAGATCAATTTTAAGAGTATGAAAGTTAAGCTGGCTGTGGTGGCACAGGCCTATAATCCCAGCTCTTGGGAGGCTGAGGCAGGACTGTCATGAGTTCGAGGCCAGCCTGGATGCCAAAGTGAGACCCTGTCTCAAAAAAAAAAAAAAAAAAGTATGAAAGTTAAACTGGGTGTGATGGCATAAGCCTGTTATCCTAGCACTCAGGAGGCTGAGACAGGAGGATTTCAAGTTCAAGGCCAGCCTGACTACATAGTGAGAACTTGCCTCAAAAAACAAAAGAAAGAAATTTTAAAATTAAGAAATAGCGGGCTGGGGATTTAGCTCAGTGGTTCTGCCACCTGCCTCTAAACCACCAGGTCCTGAGTTTGATCCCCGGTACCAAAAAAAGCAGGTTATGCATTAACCTTTAGATGACAGTGATCAGCTATGGCAGAGTAACCATGAGAAGCAGGGGCAGGATTAGAAGCTGCTAATTTTCAACATTTGCCTTTTTGTTTTACTGCTTTTCAAAACTACAGCATGTTTTTCTTTTCTAATTAAAAACAAGAAGAAGGAAGGGAGGGAGAGGTCCATTATCAGGACAACGTGTTCATTCCTAACAGTCGCCAACAGCCACGCTTCCGCTGCTGCCCCTGAGCTCACACCCCTGGCTCCCTCCCAGCACAGCCGCCGCCCACCACTGAGCTGTCCCCTGCCACACCCTCCTCTGGGAAAGGGGGCTCGGAGCAGACCCTGGTGCCGGCTGGGAAGAGCGGTCTGTTTGTTCCCGAGCAGTGTCCCCTCTACGCCACACAGGGTGCACCTCAGTCAGGAACACCCCGTGCCCCGCTCTCCCGCCCAGCCCAGCCCAGCCTTTCCCTCCCCGCAGCCCCTGCAGCTCCCGAGACCCACGTGGAGACCCACGTGACCTGCCGCAGTTCCCACGCACCACCTCCACAGGCTCGGGTGGGAACCGCCAACCCCATCGCTGAGTTCCCATCCCTTCAAAGTCCCTGCAACAAACTCGCTAAGGATGCAGGGCTCTGTCCTCCCTGCTGCATGGCTTCATGGTTCTGCCATCACAGCCCGACCCCTTCCCCAGAATCCTGAGTAATTCCTCTTTCCTTCCTCCCTGCCTCCGCCTGTCCACCCACACGAACCAGCCCTGGATGGTCATTACACCCCTTTCTGGGCCTCCTCTCCCTCCCAAGACCCCAGCTGCTCCTCTGTGCTTATCTCGCTGAGCTGAGCCGATTGCCCCATCTGATTGGAAAATTCCTCCGAGGAGCCAGCTGGGGCCCTCTAGGGTGGGGAGCAGAAGCAAGAAGGTCGGGCGGGAGAGTGGTGACCATTTTCCACCTTTCTCCTGCTTCCCCACTTTCTCCTCCTCTTTCTCCTTCCTCCTCTTCCTCCTTCCTCTCTCTCTCTCTCATTCTCTCTTCCCTTCCTCCCTCCCTCCCTCTCTTTCCCTTTCTTTGTGGTACTGGAGATAGAACCCAGGCCCTTTGCACTGAGCTACATCCCCAGCCCTTTTTACATCTTTTAATTTAGAGACAAGACCTTGCTAAATCGCTCAGGCTGGGCTTGAACTTGTGATCCTCCTACCTCACCCTCCCAGAAGGCTTCCTTACTGACCCAGCTGCCAGGCCTGGCTCCCATTTGCCTCTTCACGAACAGAAGCAGGGTGTGAACGAAGATGTCTAGCTCTCAGGCACAAAGCTGAGTCCAGTTTCTTCCCCTTCCATTTCCTGGCTGGGCCACGAAAGAGTCTCCGGCAAAATTCTGATGGCTGGGAATAAATGCACACCGGTTTCAAAGCCGCACAGATCCGATGCCATGCTACCTCACCTTCCCTCGCTCCCCTCCCACCCATGCGACCCCCACCTCAGTCTCAACGCCAAAATCTCCTTGGGGTCATTTATCACAGAGGAGGGGAGGATGGGCCATGATTAGAGCAACGCTCAGCCCCGCTTGTCCCCTGAAAGACACCTGCCCCCTGAAAGCCCCGGCTCCTGCTCTGCCCACTGCAGTGGGGAGGGCCTGGCCCAGCTGGATTTATGCTTCCGCTGACTGTTCTCACGTCCCGCTCCACCCACTGGCAGAGGGCAGAGGCAACAGAACCCTCTCCTCTGCCCCCACTGGCTCCACATCCCTGACCTTGACCTGGAGGTGACTGCAGCCGGGCATCCTGGGAGTCTGTGAGGAAAGCCAGACCCCCACCAGTGTCTGGAGATGACCTGATAAGCGGCCTGTGGGCTCTCCTCCATGTCCCACGACCAGGACGCCAGAGGACGCAAGCTCAGAGGGACGGAGACCCGCAGTGTTCCCACAGCCACGGCGGAAATGGCAGGGCCAGGACACGGGGAGTCCTCCGACCTGGGTCAGCTCGCCCCTGCCCATGCACACAGGAAGCCCCCTCTTGCCATGAGAGTTCACAGCACAGTGGGAAAAAAGAAAGCAACAGACCTCCCCCCAAATTTAAAGACCCAGTTAAAAATGGGCACTTGAAATAATGAAGAAGTACAAATGACCAGTAAGTACACGAAAAGATATTCCACACTGCTGGCCATTCAAAAAATGCAAATTAAAACAACACTGAGAAAGAATGGCTGTCTTCAAGAACTCAAACAATATCAAATGCTGGAGAGGCTGTGTGTTGGGAAGGAAGCCTTCCTCATCGGCAGGGCTGTAGACTGGTACAACCGCTATGGAAATCAGCACGGAGATTCCTCAAAAGCCGGAAAATGGAGATTAATCCGACACAGCTATTTCCCTTCTAGGTGTCTTCCCCACAAAGTTAAAGACATCCTAGTACAGTGATACCTGCATATCTATGTTTATAGCAGCACAATTCATAATAGCTAAATCTCGGAAACAGCCTATATATCCAGCAACTGGTGAATGGATAAAGAAAATGTGGTATTTATACCCAATGGAGTGCTACTGTGCCATAAAGGATAAACTTGAGTCATTTGTAGGAAAATGGGTGTATCTTGAGACCATAATGTTAAGTGAAATAAATCAGAAACACAGACACACATGGTTTCTCTTACATGAGAAACCCAATATATAAAGTCCAGAATAAAAGAGACACAATAGCAAAGACGGGGTAGGGGATGAGATTTGGGCACAGGGCACCCCCTGTACCCACGCCCCTGCAGGGAGGCTGCGGCCACACGAGGAACATGGGATGTGGCACGGGGAGACACAAATAGTGCCCACTGTGCTCGGCTGTGAGTTGGGCAGGGTCGTGGCTCTCCTCCTAGGTCTTCGTTTCCTCCTGTGTCATGGGGCGCCGGTCCCCCCCGCCTCCCGGGCTGACGTGGGCATCAGGAGGGGGCCTCCTTCCGGCCTGCTCCTGTCGGCCTGGCCCCTCCACCCACTCGCTGTGTCATTGCTGAGCTTGCAGGTCCTGCCCTGACATTTATCCAAGACTTTGGCTCCTGACTTGCAGCCCACCCCACCCCCACCCTCTGCACCCCTCCCAGATGACATCACCAGCCACGCAGATGGTGACCTGGCTGTACCCTGGCCTCTCAGCTCCTTCGGTCCCCACTTCCAACAGTCCCACCTCTGCTCCACTGCTCCCATGTCAAGCTCACCCCTGAGAACAGCTTAAACATTCCTCTGCCCCTCATTTCTGACCCCCCTGCCCTGGGTGAAGCCAGCCATGCACTGTGTACCCGTACCCAGGCAGCTGGTCCTGTGTGGGGTGGGCGGAGTCAGAGACCAGGGGAGACTGACTTCCCTGTAATTCTCCAGCCACTAAAGGTCTCACCCCCACAAAATCCTCTTGGTTTGAGAGGTCAGCTTCTTCTCACTTTCCATGATGATTCCAAACCCTCTCCATTTTCCTCAGGCCCCCATACCCTTCCCGACCCCAGCCCTCGGCAGAAGTCCTAGCTTCCTGCCTGTCAGAGATGGTAACAACCACCAGGCAGGATGCCCCTCAGCTTCCAACACCAAGCCAAGAAACTACCCACACGTGCCCCGTCCTCCTTTTCTGGTTCCAGGGTACCCTGCCCACCTTTAGGCCCCTCCACTCTTAGGAAAGTCCTGTGGGCTCAGGCCTCTCCGCTTGTCACCCTCTTCCCTCCTTACTGCCCAACCTCTCAAAATAGCTGCCCACTCCCATGTTGTCTTCCTCTCCTTACTTTTACCTGGCCTTTTAGGGGTACCCTGAGGAACTACCACAATCAATAGGAATTTATTTCTCACTGCTCTGATGGCTGAAAATTCCAAGGCCAAGGTGTCTGCTGAGGGTCAGCTTCTTGCTCACAGTGGCGCCTTGCATTTAGGCCTCATGCGGTGGGGCCGGGAAGAGCCCCCTTGGGACTCTTGCAGAGCTCTAATCCTTTCAAGAGGGCCGTGCCCTTCGACCCAACTGCCTCTCAAAAACCACCTCCTCATACTCTCCCGTGGCAGGGCTAGGATTTCAGCATGTGAATTCAGGGGTGGGTGAGCACATAAACGTTCCCATCATAGCATTTCCCATCATCCTTCACCCCATCCCTGTCTGATTCCCATCCTGCGAGTGACCAAAAAGCAGCACCAATACCCTGACTGTCCCCACTTTAGTGGAAATCTTCCTGGCCTTGGCAGCAGGTGACCAAGGCTCAGCATCTCTCCTCTGCCACTCTCTGCCTGCTGCTCTTCTTCTGCCCCTCTTCCCTCACTCCCTGCATCTGACCTACTACCCAGTCATGCAGGTTCTATTTCCTCAATATCTCTTGAATCCATCCAGTCTCCATCTCCACTCTACCCACTGTCCCTGGGTGGTTCCAAAGCCCGCAGTCTTCCGGACCCAGCCCCAGGCCTTGCTGTCCACACAGCCAAGCATCTTCAAAATCACATCCGTTACATCTTCCTTCCTTAGCCCATCAGCGGCTTCCCACCGCTGTTAGGGTAGCCGTACAGCTCCTCATCACGGACTTCCAGAACCTGTGTGGTTTGAAATGCCACCAGCTACGTCGTTGGTTCTGGGTCATCCTGCCTAACACAAAGTCTGATTCTGTCATTTACTGCCATGGTGACTTTGGGCAAGTTACCTTCTGCATCCTCTTAGACCTCAGTGTCCTCTGTAAAATGGCGGAATAACAGTACTATTTCCTGTGGTTATGGTGGGAATTGAACGCGTTAAACACCTAGGATAGTGCCTGGTGCATGGGATGCCCTCAATGAGCACGAGCGCTTACTGTCCCCTGCCTCCCAGCCCCAGCTCTCTCCCTACTCTCTCTGTTCTACAAAGTGTTCCCTTCCTTTGGGCCTTACTCCTAACCCTGCTCCCTCTCTCCACAGGGCCTTTGCACACTTTCTCTCTTTAGCTATTCACTGCCCGTGTAGCTGCCAGGTCACGACTCAGGTGTGGCTTCCCTGAGGAGACCCCCCTGGGGGCCCCTGACCGGTCCTAGGCATCACAGTATGGTATATTTATTTGCTTTTTGCAGGGAACCAACTGTTGTGTATTTATGAGTCATGATAATCTCTTCTACAAGACTGTAGACTCCCCAAGCGCTAGAGCTGTTTATTTTTGTCACTTTTGCAACTGGCATCTAGCAAAGTTCCTGGTATATTACAAATGCTGAATGAATCTTTAGCCATGAGTACAAAGACGGTTGGAAGTGTGCTTAAGCCCCGGGCAGGTTTAATCAGTGTTCCTGAGATCTGGACAAGACAACCTCCTTTGAGGGGCTCTAGGAAGTTCTTCCTATCCCCCAGTAATTCCCTTGTTACCAATCAGAGTGCCTGGAAATCCACCACTAGGGCCCATCATCTGGAGAGGGTGCAGTCTCTGAGAACACAGAGAACACATACCGCTTAGCTCACACACTAGCAACAGAGATGAGCTCCTCCCCTTCCTGTCCTTACTGCCCACAGCTGCTGCAAACAGCAGCGCCCTGAAGGCACAGAACTTAGGATGCTAGAGTATCTGAGCCAGATCTGATCATTTTCTTCATGATTCAAATTTGGAAACAGAGGCCCAGAGACGGGTAGGGAGGGATCCAAGGTCACACAGCAAGTTGGTGGTAGCATAAAGACTGGAACCCATGTTCCTGACAACTAGCTCAAGGCTCTGACTGCCCATTGCAGTTCACTAGCTTGTTCATTGAATAAATATGAAGCTCCGCTGTGGCCACAGCAGCAGGAGTGGTGCTCCCGGAGAAGGGCCTGCAGCTGCAGCCCTACAACTGAAAGCAGCCTATGCCAGGTGGAGTGGGGTCTGAAGATGAGGAGCAGTCAGTAGAGGGCATCTCAGGGTGAATAATCAGCACCCCTCCTGGGACTGGGGGCCGATGTGGCTGGAGAGCTGCCCCAGACTGCTGGCCAAGCTGCAGAGACAAAGGGAAGCAGCAGAGCCACAGCCCAAAGGCAGCGAGGGTGGGTGCAGCAGGAGGAAGAGGAGGCGTTGGAAGCCTGTGCTCATCTCCAGAAGGCCCCAGACCTCCAGTGCTGCCCTTCCCTCCGCCAGCCCAGGCCCTCAGGGATGGACCCCACCCCACCCTCCTCCCTGCTGCCTGGGTTAGACCAGGCACTTCTCCCACCAGGGAAACAAGGCAGGCATATCCGCCTCCAGGAGGAGGCAGCCAGGGGCAAGGCCAAGGTCAGCACAGAAAACAGTTTCAAGGACATGGGCTGGGTGCCTGGGCTGGGGGTTTGGAGGCCCTGACCTCTGGCCCTCATCAGCCTCTGTCCACCCCAGGGCTTGCAAGGCCAGGCAGACAGGGGGCTGCTGGCGTCACTGGTGCTTTCCCACAGCCCCTTCCAGCTGCTCTGCTCTGCCTCTGAGACCTGGCTCCCTTTCACCCACCTAGCTCAGCTCCACAGTGGGATTTATTGCTGGCTACCCCTGTCTGCCCCAGGGCAATAAATCAGGGCAGAGCAGAAAGGCAACCATGCCCTGTGTGGTGTATAAGAGAAGGACTCAGGGCCGAAGGCCTCAGTGGATCTGGAGGGAACTCCAAGCAGGGCGGAACAGAATGCTGCGCTGGGGATTCCTGCTACTGCTCTGGGGGTCCTACACCTTCGGGCTCCCCACAGACACAGCTGCCTTCAGACGGTAACTTGGGCAGAGAAGGGGTGGCCGGGTGCAGGGATCCCCACTTTCTTTTGGGTGTTTTTTTTTTGTGGTGCCGGGAATCAAACTTGGGTCCTTGCGCTTGTGCAGCAGGCAGTGAAACCACTGAGCTAAATCCCCGGCCCTATCCCCACTATCTTAATACCCCACCTCACCCTGCTTTCAGATATGTGTGGTCCTCCGTCCCCCAGGACCAGCCAGAGGGGTATGATCCTGTCTGGGGTCCTGTCCAGAGCAGCACTTGTCAAGCTTGGAAGCCTTTTGATTCCCGCTAGGCACGGGGTGGGGGTGACCCTCAGAGATCACCCCTAGGAGCTCACAGGCTAATTATTACGCAGGGCCTGGGACAGTTAGCTCCACCAGGGAAGCAGCATGACAGAGCAGGAAAGTGCAGGTCTTCCAGAGTGGCCTTGGTTTAAATTCTGCTCCAGTTTAAGCAGAATGAGCTAGCTCAGGAACCGGGGGCCAGTTAACCTCTCCAGGTCTCAGCATCCTCTTTTTAAAACAGAGATCATAGCAGAGCCTACTTCCCAGGGCTGCTCTGAAGATTTAATGAGATAATGTATGTGGAGCCAGGGGTGCGTGGTGAGAACCCAGCTGCAGTTAATACTAAGCGCAGATACCCACCGATGTTCAAGCGAAGGCTTCTGGCAGCCCCCGGCAGGGCCCAGAAAGTCCTGCCTCCCGTTCAGGCCAGGTCTGTGGGACCCCTAAGGGACTCCTTAGGACCGGACAAGAGGGATGCCAGGGCTGGGAAGAAGCCTCAGAGAGAAAGGGGTGCTCAGTTTGGGGACAGCACATGGGCCCTGCAGAAGCCTGAAGGCGGGGCCAGGTTTTAGCAGCCTGTAGTTGCCCAGCCTATAAAAGGCTTAGGAGCTCACAGGGTTTACCATGGCTCACCCCAAATGGTGTCACAACAATTCAACGTCCCACTTTACAGATGGGGTCGAGGAGGTCACGCAGATGGGGCTGGGCTCCACACACGCTTGGCCTTTGTTTCCAAAGCTTTTCTCCCTGCCCCAAAGGCTGTCGGAGGGCAGCTGCTGGACGGGGTGTGTGGGGCAAGTGTTTGGGGGATTCCCAGCAGCTGCCTCCAGTATGAAGGCAGAGGGAGTAAGAACATTCTCCCCATTCTTTTCTGAAAGATAAGAACGGAATCAGGCAAGGTGTGGGGAAGGAGTCGGGCTTTTGAAAGAGTTCTAAGAATTTTGCCACCTGCTTTGTGCAGAGCACTGTGCAAGGCACTACGGGAGATTTGAGCACCCTTCTGAGGGTGCTGTCCTCGCCTGGTGCACAGAAGGTATGTTGTGTGCTGAGCCGTGGACAGTCTGTTTAACCTGCACAGTGACTCTGAGGGGGGACTTCCACTGGGCCCGTTTTTATGGAGGAACTAATGGGGACTCACAAGAGGCCCAGAGAGCTTAGGCCGTGTTCTGAATCACACAGCAAGCAAGGAGATCCAAGCGTTCTCCCCGCTAACCAAACAGCAGCACCTTCTTAGGGTGTGTAGTGCAGGCTGGGTGCACCCAGGGGAAAATGGAGCAGGAGCCAGAGGAAGATGGAGAGAGGGAACCCAGTGTGAGCTGGGGTCCTTCGGCAAGCTTTCAGGTGGGGGGCGTGAGGGCCTTGCAAGATTAAAGAACTTGGGGGTGGAAAGGAAGGGACTTTCTGAAAGAGGAATGACAACAAAGCAAAGGTCCAAGGCAGAGGCTGTTTTTAGCAACAGTGGGAAATGTACCTTCTCCTGCCCTCCACTTTCCCATCTGCAAAATGGGAGTAATAAAAGCCCCCACCTGGTAGAATGGCTGAGGATCCAATCGTGAAAATATTCTGGGAACAGTAAACTGTGATAGGAACGTAATACATTTCTGCTACAATAGTCCACTGATAGACGTGAACATTGCCTTCATATTCATGGGCAAAATGAAAGGATGGTCAGCAGAGGGAAGGAAAGGAGAGAGCCAGCCAGGAGGACTCCAACAAGAAGCAAGAGGGCATCTCCATAGGCCTGGGAAAGTCGGTGGAAAGTTAGGTTGGCCCTGGTCCTGGGACCCATGGCCAGTAGCCCCAGACTCCTCCCTCCAGGCTTTGGGGAACAGTCTCCATGTCATAGACTGGGGCAGGTTTTGAGTCCCTCCATTATTTCTGAGTCACCTCCACCCCTTGAACCTTTATTCCTTTATCTATAAAATGGGTTAGATGGTCTGTAGAGCCATTATGGGGTCCGCATGGAGCTGGGGGTGGGGTGTTATACTGCCTAGTCCCCGGGGAGTGGTTTGATACACAGTGAGGTCCTAGGTCTCCTTAATTCCACCTGCCAAAGGTGACTGGGACATGAAGAAAAGGGGCTGGGTCTTGGGCCCAAGACACATCCTTCCAAGGTCGAGGTGCACTGGCCCTCAAGATGCTGTCTGGGCCCTGTCTGCTCAGTTCAGTGGGTCCACTCCACTGCAGCCCAGGCTTAGCACCTGCCCCGGGGTCTGCTACTGGCATCTGCTGCCACCTACAGGCCCAACATGGCATTGTCGCCCTGGTCCAGCATTGAGGGGGCTGTTCCTAGCCTTCGTCTCCTCAGAGGGACCAATGTTGCACGCTTCCTGTCTGTCTCCCTGCTGAGTTCCTTCAAGGCAGCAGTGACCTTTATCTGTACATCTCTGTCCAGTGCGCTGAGGCACACAGTGAATGTTAAACACATGATGGTGAGAGAGAGGGACGGATGGATGGATGGACAGAGGTTTATTAAAGACCAATGCAGGTGGCTCGTACATTCTCTTTAGAAGCCCTAAGGCAAAAAAGTAATTCTTAGATGCTTGGGCTAAGGCTTGAGGCAGATACATTAAAAGCAGGGAGCCAGGACTCTACCGTTATTATTGAGGACTACAGAGCTCTTCTGTTCTTCTTCTCCCACCGGGGCTAGGATCTTCCTCAAGAAAATGCCCTCGGTCCGGGACAGCCTGAAGGAGTGGGGAGTGGACATGGGCAGGCTTGGTGCCAAGTGGGGAGAGTTTGCCAAGAGGCTGTCTGACAACAGCACCTCCCCTGTGGTCCTCACCAACTACCTGAATGTAAGTACCTGTCATCCTTCCCTCTTGGACCTAAGGTCTCCTTTGGCTCCAGAGACTGCTGTGCTTGACTGAGAGCCCAGGAGCACCTGAGTATCTCACAAAAGCAGGAAGGCCTGGGGCAGGCAGAGAGGAGGAAGGAGCCCAGGGAAGAGTCAGCCCGGGCCGGGCCTCTAGCCAGGCATGCCTGGGGGGCGGGGGTGACCTCAGATGGGATTTCTGTGACCTGGCCTGGTGCTGTCTGATGACCCCTGCACCTTCCTGCTTCATTTTCATTGTTTTTGTTTTGCTTCCTTGTCTTGCTAAGCCTCTTGGGTCCTGGGAGGCTGGGGGACAGTGTTAAGCCCCCACCCGGTCCCTGCAGGACAACAGGAACCCCAGAGAGGCTGTGGGATCTGCCTAATCTCCCCTCCGAGAGCCAAGGGTGGGACCAGGCAAGAAGATGCCAAGCCTCACAGCCCTGAGCCCCTCCAGCTACTTCCTCTCCACCCCTGCAGACCCAGTACTACGGTGAGATCGGCATCGGCACCCCACCCCAAGCCTTCAAAGTCATCTTTGACACAGGTTCAGCCAATCTCTGGGTGCCCTCCACCAAGTGCAGCCCTCTCTACACCGCCTGTGGTGAGACCCCGGCCCAGTGGCCTCTCCCTACGCCCCCCGACCCAGCCCAGCTAAGCCCCCTGCACCCACTGAGCTGCTTCCTCTCTGCCTCTGCAACCCTTGACCCTGGGAGGAGAGAGGACACCTCCCATGGCCCTGATGTGGCCCCTGAGGTGAAAGAGCCAGCTCCAGGGACAGCTGGCCACGCGGAATGCCATTTCCCAGGCTCCCTAAGACTGAGACAGGACCAGATTCTCAAACGTATCCCAGCCCCTTAGATTCCACCATCCCCAGTCCTAGCCAACAGTCTCTTACTGAGCACTTACTGTCTGTGCCCAGAATCTTCTCTGGCATCGTTAGTGCTGGCATCTACCTAATGCTTGGTTCGAGACAAAAAAGCCTCAGAGGTTTGAGCACAGAAGGGCCCCCAAACATAGTCCCTGATGGCTGAAGCACAGCTTCCAAGAGCTGACCTCAGGGCCACCCCAGGCCTGCACCGAGGTGAAGTCCTCCACCACACCAGCCGTGCCCACAATTCAGCCTGCCTGGGCCACTCTGACACAGACCTGAGTCTCCACTTCTCCCCCAGAGATCCACAGTCTCTACGACTCTGCAGAGTCCTCCAGCTACATAGAGAACGGGACGGAATTCAGCATCCGCTATGGCTCGGGGAAGGTCAAAGGCTTCCTAAGCCAAGACGTGGTAACTGTAAGTGGCGCTGGCCCCGTCATCTGCTCCCTCCCCTTCTGTCCCCAGCCCTCTGCGGAGCATCAAGGGCCTGCAATGGAAGCAGGGACACTCCAGCCCACCTTGGAGCTGGGGAAGTGAGGAGCACTGGCTCTATGGCTTCTGGCTGGAGGTGCAAAGAGACAGAAGCCACAATGGGGCCACCCCGAGCTCCTGGCTCCCACAGGGTGATGGGTGGAAGCTTTCACATCTAACTTGAAAGTAGGCCCAGCCCGAGCCAAGGAGCTGCCTGGGGTCATCAGTTCTGACTGGGATCTTTCTTTCTTTTTTTTTTTGGCATCGGGGATCGAACTCAGGACCTTGAACTTTTGAGGCAGTTGGAACCACTGAGCTAAATCCCCAGCCCCTGGCTGGGATCTTAACCAGGCCCCAGACCGAAATCCATGCTCAGGATATTGTTGGAACTGTGATCAGGCTTAGTTTTAGGGATGTGCACTGTTGGTTAGTTTGGTGCTAGGGTCAGGGCCTGGCTCCTTTCTCACTTGTGTCTGACCTCTCCACCCTGGAGCGTCTCAGCCTCTGCCACGCCAGAGTCGGGAAAGGGTGCAGGTGGAATCTGAGAGGAAATCAGTGTGGGCCCCTCCCTCCCTTGTCTGTGAAATCAATCGGAGGGAAGGATCAGAAGGGAGGGACCTGGCCATGCTGGAGAAATCCTTGGGCTGGGATGGGGGTGGGAGGCCAAACCTCGTCCTGCCACCATGAAAGTGGGCCGCTGGGCAGGGGCGTAGCGCTCTGGGCACATTTCCTGTCACTGGCCGGCAGGACCCCTTCTCACCCTGTGCCCTTGCCGACACCGGCACACCTGTTCTCTGAAGACCCTACAGCACGCGCCAAGGGAGGGGTGTGCACGCAGGGTTGATGTAACTGTCTTGTCCCAGGTGGCTGCACCAGGAGCAGGCATGGCTCCGAGGCTCCCGGTGTAGAAGCCCAGCTCAGACCCCGGCCAGGGGCGGACAGTGAGCCTGGTCTCCTCCGGTTCTTCTCCCCGCAGGTGGGCGGAATCACAGTGACCCAGACATTCGGAGAGGTCACGGAACTGCCCCTGATCCCCTTCATGCTGGCCAAGTTTGATGGGGTTCTGGGCATGGGCTTCCCAGCACAGGCTGTCGGTGGCATTACCCCCGTCTTTGACCACATCCTTTCCCAGAGGGTGCTGAAAGAGGACGTCTTCTCGGTCTACTACAGCAGGTGGGCCTGTGGCTGCAGGGCCTGGGGTGGGGTGGGGAGGTGGGCAGATCTGGGGGAGTGGAAGAAGAACCTGGCCAGGATCTACTAGTTCCTGATTATGTGCTGGTCAATCATTATTCAGAGCCGCCCTAAACCACTGTGGAAGCTGCTATTGACACTGGAATCAATTAAATTCAAACGTGTAGCTTCTGAGCTGGGGATTTTAGCTCAGTGGTTCTGCTGCCTGCTTCGCAAGCGAAAGGTCCTGAGTTTGATCTCTGATACCAAAAAACAAAAAACAAAAAAAACCCATGCAGCTCCTGAGTAGCACTAGCCCCATTGCCATTGCTCAGCAGCCACAGTGGGGAGTGCCCACCATGCCAGACAGGGTGGACAAAACAGCTCCGTGTTCTCACGGATGTCGGTGGGACAAGAGGATAATGCAGAGTGGAGATGGGGCATTGCTGTGACCCGGAGACTGGCAGGACCATGGTTCTCTGACAGATAGCCAGCTTCATGCCTTCATTAGCGCTTCCATTTGTTCGTTTGCTCAATCACTGACCCGGGTGATGCTAAGTAAGGGCCGCACACCACGGTGGCCTCCGAGGGGCAGAACAGTGAACACAGTGAACAAAATAGTCTCTACCCTCGACCCTCACGGAGTTCGCAGCCTAGCCGGAAGCACCGTGCTGAAAAGGGCAGGTGCTTTCTGGGCCGAGCTCTGATCTGCTCCAAAATGCTGGGTTTAGAAGGATGGTATGATGAGGGGGCACACAGAGAGAAAGGCATTTGACTGCAGTCAGGAGTAGTTTTGCTTGGGAAGAGCCCTTTGCAGAGGAAGTGTGGGTAAGGCCAGATGGCAAGCAGTAAAGAACTGGAGGTGGGCATCAGAAAGCAGAGGTCTGCACATGAAGGCTGCCCTGGGAAATTCAACAGGGAAGGGATGTGGGGCAGGGTGTGGGGTGGGATCCAGAGAGAATCGGGGAAAGGGAGGTGGGTGTTTTTGAATGCTAGAGGATGCTTGAGCAACGCTGGTGGGTGGAGGAAGAAGCCAGTGGAAGCAAGAGATTGAAAATATGGAGAGGAAATAAATGGGAGCAGAGGAGCTGAGGCCACAGGGTGGAAGGGACAAGGAGGCAGCAAACAGGAGGAAGGCAGGCTGTGCTGAGCAGGGGGCTCTCCTTCACCTAGGGCTGGGCCATCCAGGGAGATCGTGCGAGGGGAGCTTGTGCTGCTGCATGCACATATGCACAGAATGTGAAACACAAGTGATTGCCACATGCACAAAAGAATACACACACACCTACACACTTGTGCGCGCACATGTGCACATGCCTCTAATGTGAGTTGCAGAAAAGCACATCACACACATGCACACTCTGAAAACCAGCCCTAAGCTAAGGCTCCCCTGAGCCGGGGAGGCACCATGCAACCTGCAGGAGGAAGGAGGGGAATCAGTCTCAGGCTGGGCACCAGGAGCTCTCCAGGCCTGCATGACCTCTGGCGAGTGACCACCTCTTGGTTTCTCTCCCTCCCCCCCCCTGCAGAAAATCCAAGTAAGGAGATGACCATGACCCTCCAATACTTCTGGAGCCCTTGACTCAGAATCACACAAGACACCCACCCCAAACTCACTCAGCAAGCCTGGGCTCCCCCAGATGCCCACTGTCCACCCCCTTGTCTTGCCCTGTCCAAACCCCACCCTCCCCTGACACCACCCGCCCAGTCCCTCCCAAGCACCTGCTCAACCCAAGTGAGGGGCTCGATTTGCATCTTGTTTGCATCCACTCGCTACTCTCTTTTTCTACAGGCTCTCTGGGGATTGGTTCTTGGGTGCAGCTGGACCCCCCCGACAGACCTCTGGATGGGCTTGGGAGGGGCCTGGAAGGGGAGAAGCTGCACATCGTGTGTGCTTCCTAGTGACCGTGCCCAGCCTGGCCACCCCCACCTGCACCTGACCTACCCAGCGCCTCACCTAAGGCCTCGAGGTCCCAGGGCTTGTGGGCCTCTAAGAGCTGTGATCTCTCCCTCAGGGATTCCCACCTGCTGGGGGGAGAGCTCCTGTTGGGGGGCAGCGACCCCCAACATTACCAGGGGAATTTCCACTACGTGAGCATCAGCAAGAGCGGCTCCTGGCAGATCACCATGAAGGGGTCAGGAGTCCCCACCGCGCCTGCTCTGCCATGCCGCTGCCCCTGGGGCTGGGCCGGGGGAGGGGGCTGGGCGGGGCTGTCCTCCTGCCCTCTCCAAGCACAGCTGCTTCTGAGGCACAGCCACCAACTGCTCTGTGCCTGCTGTGTCCGGGACTGCTGAGATCTGAGGGCAGCGATGCAAAGTCACTCGGCCACTTGCTGCGGGCGGGGGTAGCACCTTCCCTCATCCTCCTCCGCTCACTGCCTCCCCCTCCTCCAGTGCATCCCTGACCACCAGCATGGCTCCCGTCATTGCCCTTACTCAGGAAATACGCAGCCTGGGGGTGTCTGTCAACCTACCATCTGTCTGTCTGTGACCTCCAGGGTGTCCGTGGGCTTTGCCACATTGCTGTGTGAGGAGGGCTGCATGGCAGTGGTGGACACGGGTGCCTCCTACATCTCGGGTCCCACCAGCTCCCTGAGGCTGATCATGGAGGCCCTGGGTGCCAAGGAGCACAGCACAGATGAAGTAAGATGCTAAGGGGTGGGGACTGGCGGTGGATAAAGGATCCTCACCCTGGGCAGCACTAGGTCCCAAACAAGGCCATTTCAGGCCTTCTCCTGCTTCCCCAACACTGCCAACCGGCACATGTGGCTGGTTCCCTGTATGGGGAGGACAGGTGTGGTGCCCAGCCCTCTCTAGCAGAGAGGCCAGGCCCAAGCACAGGGCTCTCAACGGGGCTCCCTTTATCCCTCCCACAGTATGTCGTGAACTGTAACCGGGTCCCCACACTGCCCGACATCTCCTTCCACCTGGGGGACAGAGCCTACACGCTCACCAGTGCCGACTACGTGTTACAGGTGAGGCGCAGGGCGGAGGTGGGCAGGGGCCCTCGAAGGCAGGCCAGCCATAATGCACAGACTGCAGGCTACACCAGTGGCTCTCAAGTGTGGCTGCACTTGTCATATGGAGACCTTCTAAACACCCCAGTATGTAGGCCACACCCCCCGTGATGCCAGAATCTCTAGGAGTGGCACCCGGGCATCAGGGCTTCCAAAGGTCCCCCGGGGGATTCCAATGTGCAGCCATAGTGCCAGTCACTGCATGGGTCCCTCTCCATTTCTCAGATGTTCTCAGACAGCTAGGCTCCCATATTCCCATCCTCCTTCCAGGCTCAGGAGGCTTAGAGAAGCTGAATAACTTGTCTAGGGTCAGAAACTAAAGCCAGACTAGCAGCTCTGGAAGGCAGCACTGTGCCCCAGCACCTGCACCCAGCAGGGGGCAATCCATGCTGGCTGAAATGGCCAAGAGGTGACAGATGGGGGAGTGGCAGGGGACACTGCCAAAGACAGCTGCTGGGATCAGGCTAGGTGACAGGAAAGTCATGTGCCGGGCAGTGGCACAACCCTCCTGTGTCCTGCCAGGACCCCTACAGAAATGATGACCTGTGCACGCTGGCCCTCCACGGCCTGGACATCCCACCGCCCACCGGGCCCCTCTGGGCCCTGGGCGCCAGCTTCATCCGGAAGTTCTACACAGAATTTGATCGGCATAACAATCGCATCGGCTTTGCCTTGGCCCGCTGAACCTTCTGCCACTGGCACCAGCGTGAGCCCAGAACTGGAGCTCTCTCTGGGGTCCCTTCTGCCCGGATGCATGCCCTTGTGCAGGGACTCTGAACATGGAATCCCTGCCCCCTGCACCAGCCCTTCCTCACTTTGAGGACAAAGAGAATAAAGACGTCACCTTTACAAGCCCTTGCCTCTGGGTTCGTTTGAGTCTGGAACAGAGGAGGGGCAGCTGCGTGATCCTGTGTGTATAGGAATGTGACAGAGACAGACACACGCACCCTTTGCACAGGTTTCTGTGCACAGATGACATCATCTGTCTGCTGTCCACAGGACTCTGGTGGGGCCTGTTTACACAGCCTTGTTTGCGGAGCTTAGAGAGGAGCCAGCCCTATGTCCCTTCTGGAACCCTAGGGACCAAGGCTAGGGATGTGGCAAGTAGACTGTGGGTCAAAAAGGTGCCACAGCTCACAGAAGCCAGCCTGGAGCCTGAGCTAGCCAGCCCTACTCCCAGGCCCTGCCACACTCCCTTCAACCTGCTTCCCCTCTGCAGACACCCTGCCCCATGTGGCCATTTACACAGGAGTCTAAGGCACTGCCACCAAATTGTAGACCCTCTGAGATCCAACCAACGCTCCCTCTTTACCCATGGGGATCAGGCCCAGAGAACAGAAGGCACTGGCCCAGGGTCATCAGTGGAGATTCACGTAAGGAAGAATCCTGAAGGTAGTGAGGAGTCAAGCCTCGGACCCAGCCTGCCTGACTCGGGTCCTGGGAGGGTCTGCCACCCTATCCCACGCAGTGGTACTGTCACAGGTACTGAGTGCCACACCTCCTGGTACAGGGCCATACTCCGCTACCCTCCATGTCATGGCCTTTGGACTCTGACTGAAGTCTCTTCTCCCACTCTTACCCCTTGGGCCATATGCAGGGCATATAGAGCTTGGAGGATGAGAAAGCAACTTCCTAGGGCTGGGAGCATTGCTCAGTGGTACAGGACTTGCCTAGTATAAGGAAGACTTGGGTTCAATTCTCAGAACCAAAAAATAAAGTAGTAATACCATCCACCTGAAGCCACTAACACTGTCCCTCCTTTGGCCAAAAAAAAAAACCATGGAGCACTGTTTGGGTCAACCAGGCCCCTGTTAGCTGCAGGACTGGAGCCTCCTGGGGTTGGGTGAGACTCCAGGGATGGCCGAAGGCAGACCCTCTGCTGCAGGAGCTGTCTGCAGCATCCCTGTGAAGCCAAGAGCTAGAGCCTCAGGCCCTGGACTCCTGCTGATTCTCCCTGCTCCCTTGCCTTGTATGGCTTTACTTCCTCTGTGAGAAGGGAAGAGTTGGAAGCAGTGTCCTTTCCACATCCGACATCCTGGGGCTTTGCGACCTTAAACACTCCCCCATACACTGTCGGCTGCAGTGTCCAATACAGTACCCAGGAAGGGCTCCTGACATTCAAGTTCAAGTTACATTAGTCACATTAGCCACATTTCAAGTGCTGGACAACCACACGTGGCTAGTGGCCACCGCGTTAGGCAGCACAGGCGTTTCCATCGTTGCACAGGTTCTGCCAGGCCAGGCTGGGTTTGGAACAGCAATCACAGGGACAACCTGGGGACGCAGAAATGGGCTCCTTTTCTGCAGGCGCTTTTCAGGGTAGGGCAGTGAGAGGTGGTGACAGTAAGGTCTCTAGGGCAATACAGTGAGCGGCTGTGGCTGAAGCAGAGGACAAGCAGCCTTATGCCCAGGAGGTGACAGATGGCCAGCAGAGAGGACAGCTCAGCTCCCAGAAGAGCTTTCCACTGGGCTGGGCTGGCCTTTTCCCAGGTCTCCTTCCCACAGCAACTTTGCCCTCTGGAACACCCTGTCACCCTTCCTCTCTGGAATTCCACCCCAGAGGGCTGGCCACCTCCACGTTCCTCTGCCCAACAAAGCCCAGGGCCAAGGGCACCTGCTGGCCAGCCTGCCCCCGCCAAACACAGTCTTGCTCAAAGTCTTGGCCTAGAATGAGCCCAAACCCTCCAGTGTCCCGGAAGTCCTGGAAGTCCTGGAACGTTCAGCCAGGCACCCCCGCCCCAGCCATCACCCTGTCCCCTCTCCGCTGAGTGGGGGGTTGGCGTTGAGGTGCAGAGGAGCCCAGGGACTGAGGGCAGGAAGCACGACCCAGGGGGTGAGCCCAAGCCTACATCTCGGGAGCCACAGGCTTCCATATCCCCGGATGAAGTAGGGGCACAGAAGAGCCCTCCCTGCCCCTGCCCGGCTGGTTGGGGAGCAGCGGGTGGCGTGAGCCCCGGCCGCCCCTGGGGACCTGGGGGCGGGACTCGTGGAGGCCCCGCCCCCGAGTCCCGCCCCCTCCCGGGGGCGTCACGCCCGCCTCGCGCTCCAGGTAGCGGCGGCCGCAGCTGTCCGCTAGCTGCAGGCGGCGAGGCCAGGGGCTCTCGCGCCGGGGCAGGGGCAGGGGCGGGGGCGGGGGCGGGAGGGGGCGTTCCCGGGCCCGTGATGTCACAATCGCGGTGGGCCCGGGCGTTCCGGGGTCGGTCTCGGGCGCCCGGTCGCGCGGCCATGGATTCCCCCCGGGTGGCCGGGCCCCCCCGCAGGGGCTAGCGCGGGCGCGGCGGCTCCAGGGGGTGGGGCTGCCGGGATGGCTGTGCCCCCTCCGGCTTCTCCGCCGCGCTCGCCCTGCTACCTGCGCGGGCGGGCGCCCTGCCCGCAGTGCTCATGGGGCATGGAGGAGAAGGCGGCGGCCGGCGCGGGCTGCCGGGAGCCGCCGGGCCCCCCGAGGGCGGCCGCCGTCCCGTGCCTCGCCGTGTTGGTGGACCCGGACGACATCCTCCCCGGCGCCCTGAGCCTCATCCGGGAGCTGCGACCGCGCTGGAAGCCGGAGCAAGTTCGCACCAAGGTAGCGAGCGAGCGGGCGGGGGTGGGGCCCTGCCGGGCGAGAGAGGCTCGGGTCGTGGTCTGCGAGCGCGGGGTCGCTCCGTTTATTTTGGGTCTTCAGCACGGCGAGGCTCGCGGAGGCCCACCTGCCCACCGCCCCGGGCTGCGTGTCGGGCCCCACCCCCGGCCTCGAGAGGACAGAACTTTCAAGGGGGTCCTCTCCCCACACAGATCCTCCACTCCTCGGAGGGAGCAAAGCCTCCAGGCCCTGTGGGTCCCAGGAGCCCCCTGTGGGGCTGCAGTCGGCACCCAGCGCCTCACCCCCTGGGCGGGCGGGGGCTCAGCTGCCCTCCACGCGCGCACACAGGGGCCTGTCTGCCCAGCCGGACCCAGTATCTCTGGCACCTGTGGGCTGACTGCGCAGCTGACCTGCATTCTCTGCAGAGGACTTCGCCCGCCGCCCCGCCCCCCCCCCGGGACTGCCTGTGGAGGAAGGTGCTGGGCCCCAGCTCCACACTGATGGGTGGAGACAGCAAAGTTCCCCGGAGGTCTGACCCCTCTAGGGGTGCGGAAGGGATAGCATTTCAGAAAGCCCAGCTTGGTGTAAGAGGGTTAAGGCCTGAGATTAATTCCCATAATGACCTTACATATTAGCTGCTGGTTTCTCCCCTCTCTGGACCTCAGTTTCCCTACCTAGAATTGGCTCATTCTTCCTCCAAGGTCCCATCTAGCCCTGTCACATTGTGTCCCCACAAGTCCACAGTTCCTCCTCCTTATCACCCTGCACAGAAACCTGTGCTCCCAGTCCGCTTGTGTCCCCTCTGTTCTGTCATGGAACTCAGTGGCTCCAAGGACCTCTAGCCACCGAAGTCCTAGGATGGGTGCCAACCTGGGTACCCTCCTTGTCCCTCTGCCACTGGATGGGGCAAGAGGTACAGCAGAGAGCCCTTGGCTGGCATCGCTGAGTGACCGATCAGGATATTCTGTTCTGGGTGTCCCAGCCATGGGCTTGTTTCAGAGCCAACATGGAGGAGTTGGGGGTCTTATGCACCTCACATCCACTAGAGGCAGGCCCAGGAGAAGTGAATGTCTCTGAGCCAAGCCCAAGCTGCTGCTTTTTCCTTGAGTCTTGTAGTCTACCACAAGGTTGGGGACAGCATTCAAATCAACACCCCTGCCAGCAACCAGAAAGATCCTGCCCCACCCACCACTGCCCTCTCTCATGCTAGCGCTTCACTGATGGCATTACCAACAAGCTGGTGGCCTGCTACATGGAGGAGAACATGAAGGACTGCATGCTGGTCCGGGTATACGGGGAGCGGACGGAGCTGCTAGTGGACCGGGAAAATGAGGTCCGGAACTTCCAGCTGCTTCGAGCCCACGGCTGTGCCCCCAAACTGTACTGCACCTTTCAGAATGGGCTCTGCTATGAGTACGTGCAGGGTGTGGCCCTGGAGCCCGAGCACATCCGGGAGCCCAGGCTCTACAGGTAAGGGGGATGCAGGGTACTGTTCCTCTTTGTTCCTCAGGCCTCAAGCTTTGCAACCCTTGGTGTAGAGTTGGTGCCATGGAGGAGAGTCACAAGATCTGTGAGCTTCCCTGAAATGGCATGACAGGTGTGCGTGCACATGTGCGTGTGCTGATGTGCACTGCTTTGCAGACAGAGGCCCTGGCTTTCTGTGGGTTTCCAGTGGGGTCTGCTAGAAGAATAAGTTGTAAGGGAGGAAAAGTGAGAATCTTGGTGACCGTGGGACCAGAGCATCTGATTCCCAAAGTGCAGCAGAAGTCTGCTTCCTGATGCCTCACACCTCTGCCACCCCTGGTCTGGTCTGGAAACATCCCAGAGCCTTGGAAATGAAATCTGAGCCAAATCCCCAGGGTACTCAGGGCTTCCTGCTGCTGCTCGAGCCTTCGGCCAAGAGCTCAGGTGTGCAGGGAAAATGAGCCCTTTCCAGGGTCAGCATGGCTTTACTACTGCAGAGATGCCCTGCCTCCTGCTGGGCTGAGCTCTAGGGCTCCCTGATGAGTAGGAAGCCAGGTTTGGGGAGCTGCTGAGGCCTCCTTGGCCCCCAAGGAGCCCCTCTAGTAAGTACCTGGATTGCAGCACTCAGGAACTGCACTTAACCTTCAAGCCCTGTGTGTGCTCTTTGGGGCCTAGAAGGGGGAGAACCAAGGAAGAGCCTCTAGTATTCTCTTGACTTCTCACTATGCCGGGCAGGGCTTCCAGGCAGTGTCTTCCCTCCCCCAGAATGCCATGTGGAGGGCATCAGACTGAAGTGAGGCCCCAGGCAGGCTGAGGCGTACTCCTAACTGGGTACGGCGGCGTAGGGTCTGCCTAGGGTCCTTGGCATCTGCCCTGTCCAATCCCCAAGGAAGGAGACTTCTGCATACCAGGGGCACTGAAGCCCACATGGGGGTAGGCCAGGAGCCTCTGTGCTCCTTCACAGACCCAGAAAGTACCTGACAGTGTACCTGACCTGTTCTCTGCACATAGCCCCTGGCTAGCCCTCCAGGGACTCGGGATCCGGAGAGCCCCACCTCCATGCTGGTGAGTTCGTCTGGGGCTGCTGGGGCCCCGGGCTATGCACTTGGAGCTGTGTGCGTGTGCGTGGCTGTGTGTCGAAGGTACACCTTGGTGGGGCCTTCTCCAGCTCCGGGTGGCCTGCTCCACGTGTACCCGAGCTGGAGATCCATCCTGCTCTTCCCCACCCTCCTCCCCGTGTCTTGTGCAAATAAGCTGCGACCGACCGGGGCAGGTCTCCACCACTCCCAGTCCCCCTCCGCCTCTGGGAGCCTCAGGCCATCACTCAGCCTCTCCCTGGAAACAATTACCACTGTCAGGAAGATTGAAGAGGGATTTAGGTTCCATAATGAGAACTTGGCATCTGGAGGAGAGCCAGAAGTTGGGAGAGGTGTAGGAGGCTAGCCCTTTCTTGATTTCCCGAGGATAGACCAGGATCCCCCTGGGTGAAGGGTTGAAGGTGGCTGTCTTTGGGGAAGGCCTCGCCCTCCCGTTTCCCCTGAACTCAACACCCCCTGCTGAGGATCTGCAGCAGGAAAATGCTGAGTGTTGAGGTTACTTTCGTTGCTGTTCAGACAACAGCCCTATTGATATTCAAGAAAACGCAGTGTGCTTGCTCTATTCCGGAAGCTTCCTTGGGGAAGCAAGGCCAGGCCTGGGTCCCAGGTCTGTTTCCCTGCCTTGCCCAAAGCCCAGCTGGCTCCCTCCTATCCCGGGGCCTCTGGCCTCTGGCCTCCTCCCTTTCTCACTCACGCAGCTGCTGCCACACCCCCTGCCTCTGCCCCCTTGAGATGGGAGCCTTGGGAGCTTCTGAGGAGCCCTGCAACTGCCCTGTTATCCTCAAGGGGTCCGCCCTCCCTTCCCAGGGCCTAGGCAAGTGGAAGGGATGTCCCTAGCATGGCTCTGTCACAAGCTTCCCAACAGCCAGTGCCTTTGTTGTCTTTCCTGGTGGAAGCCTGGCTGTTGGAGGCTTGGCAGCAGCTGAGGGTGGGGTGCACTTCTGCAGCTGGCTGGTGGGCCAGGGGAGCACCGATGGGACCAGGCCTCGAAAAGGGGTCCTTATCAGGTCCTGGCTCTCTGACCTCGCCCTCTCCCAGCAGCCTTCCCTGCCGCCCACTCCTCCTCTCCCGGGACCTTGGATAATGTCCACAGGAGGACTTGAAAATAGAACGCTGGTTTGTTTTGCATCCTTGGCACCCGGCCGCCAGCATCAACTCCCTGAGGCAGAGGAAGGGGCTGCCTGTTTCCCTCCCTACCCTGGCCTCGGCTGATGAGACATTTCTTGCCTGCCTGGCATCAACTCCCACTGATCTCTTGGTGGGAAGGGACCTACTGAGAGGATGGAGCAAAGTCCAGAGGGGAGGAAGGCACTGCCCCTTACCCAGGTGCTGCTCTGTTCTTGTGGGCTGCCATGGGAACATTAGTGTGGGGTGAGCCATTGACCGGGGCCAGCGGCCCACTGCTTTGCCCTGCTCCCTGTAGAGCCGCAGTCTGGGACTGGAGAGGACGCTGCTAGGCTGAAGGTCTTGCTGCATTTTTGTGCCTTTGCTGAAGCCTAGGGCTCTTGGGGACTTGTGACGTTCCCATGCTTCCAGCCCCACTGTGGTCTGACCTTCTGTACTCCTCCCATCTTCTGTTGCAGGTTAATTGCCTTAGAAATGGCCAAGATTCATACAATCCATGCCAACGGCAGCCTGCCCAAGCCTGTACTCTGGCAGAAGATGCACAGTTACTTCTCGCTGGTGAAGACCGAGATCAACCCCAGGTATGAAGCCCTGGAGGGTCAGAGGCCGCTGCTGTCTCTGCTGCCTTCATCTGCTCACCCTTCCCTGTCCCCAGTCCATCCACATGAGAGGCTCAGGGACACAGGGCCTGGGCTAGGGGCTGCTGGGAGCCTCCCGTGCAGCGCCTGCAGTCCTGGTTACTGAGCCCATGCCTGCAGCAAAGTTGGGTGACACACAGGCACTCCTTTCTCCCTGAGTCTTCCGATTGTAGTAGGAGCTGGGGTCTGGGGCAACTTCTGCAGTTTACCTAAAGGGAACCGAGGTTCGGAGACCACACTTCGCCAGGGTCAGGCTGTCAGGCAGGACTGTTGTCTCTTTCTGCTTGAGCTGCCTCTGGACAGTGAGAGGGCAGGGCCCTCTGAGAAGGGGAGGGACTGCACTGCAGTCAGAACAGCTCAGCAGCCAGCATGCCCCTGGAACACCACTTCCTGGGTCCCCACTTCCTGGGCCCTCTCGTGCCTGTGGCTGTGGAGCACCTACACCCCATCGTTCAGCCGATGGGTACCATTTGCTGCGGTTGCACTTTTGCTGCCGGGTCCTTCCCCAGACAAGACAGGTTCCCTGAACTTTTCCGTCACCTTGTGGCCAGCAATCCAAGACTCCCAGTTGCAAGATGCTTCCACGAGGTGGAGTACTGGTGGGAGGACTGGGAGGACTGGAGCAAGGAGTGCTGCTCCCCCAAAACAGTCAGTAGCAAGTCCCTAATCCCACCACGAACCCTGCTGGGTTTAAATGTCACATTATTAAGCGCTTATTTTTAAAATTTTAATTGGCACATAATTGTACATATTTATGGGTACAGTATGACACTTCAGTGCATGAATACAACGTGTCATGATCAGATGGGGTAACTGGCCTATCCATCAACTCATCTGTCATTTATTTGTGTTGGGAACATTCAAAGTCCTCTCTTCTGTTTTGAAATATACAATTAATTTAGGCATCACTTTAGTTTCAAATGTTGTGTTTTTTTTTGGTACTGGGGATCATACTCGGGACTTTGGACTTGGGAGGCAGGTGCCAGAACCACTGAGCTAAATCCCTGGCCCTCAGATATTCTTGGGAGTAGGATGTCGCCTTTCCTCCTTCACGGTGACAGTCATTCACTCTGCCCTGCTGAGGAGCACCCTCTGTCTGGACCCTCTCATCTAAGGGTTGCCAGGCACTGCTTTGGCACTGTCTATCCAGGGTAGGCCCCGCCCGCCCTCTACGTGATCATCCTCAAACCTTCTGTGTCATGTGTTGTCTCTGGGACAAGGGCTGCCTCTCCCCGAGGACCAGAATGTGTGGAGAACAGGTCCCTCCAGCCACCACTGTCATTTGATGGATGGAAAACTGAGGGGATGGGCCTTGCCCAGGGTCACGGCTGGCTGCTCGCAGCTCAAGGAGCAGACTGCAGGCCTGGTGCTCGGGCTGATGCGGGATGCCACAGCTTCCTTTGACCATCGTCCCTGTGAAGCTTCGGAGGAGACCTGGGTGGGAGGAGAGCAGTCTCAGGAGAGGAGCTGGCCGACCCCTTTGCTCTTGTCCTGCCTTTAACCTTGGGCAAGTCAAGGTGGAAGTTATTTAAGTCTCTCTCGGGGATGATCCAGGCCCCAAATGCCGAGCCATCATTTAAACCAGATAAAGCCCTCTGAGCTCTAGCCATTACCTCATAACCCTGAATAACCCAGTCCTTATTTGACAAATATTAACTGAAATTGAGAACACACAAAAAATGATGGTGATCGTGATATTGGCCCTGCCCCCAAGGAGCATTGAGTTGGAGCTAAAGAGTGGCTGGGCAGGGCCAGGGGTTTAGCTCAGTGGTTCCGCCGCCTGTCTCACAAGTCCAAGGACCCGAGTTCGATCCCTGGTACCAAAAAAAAAAAAAAAGAGTGGGTGGGCAGCTGAGATGCCAGGCTGAGGAGCCAGGACTCAGGTGAGCAGGGGGCTGGGAGTCATGGTGGTGTTTGAGCCAGGACCGTGGCTTAGGGAGGAAGCTGAGCACCATAAGGGATGCATTTGGGGGAGGCTTGGGTTGGCATCTAGACTTGATGTAGGGAGAGGGAGCCTTGTCATTAAATGGGCACTGAGGTCCCAAACACAGAATACAGGTTCCCCGCCTAGCCCTGGCCGTTGATCCGGTGTCTGGCCTTGGACCCCAGGACTCTGTGGCAGGAGCCAGCTTGTGATGGACGTTGCTTTGGGGCAGCTGGGAGTGAGAGGGGGCCGGAGAAGAGCGAGTGTGTCCAGGACATGTGCAAATAGATCTGGTAGCCTCGATGTCTGCCTGGCCCCAGAGGTGTCCTGGGTGGCTGGGGACTTCGGGGCTGCTAACTGCCTCCAGGTATGAAGAGAAGTTGCTGGTAAATAAGCTAAGGGGAGGGCAAGGATGAAAAGCCAGGAAGCTGGAATACTTCAAGTCCTCCAGGGGAGAAAGTGATTTTTGCCCTGCTGGGTCAGAGAGTGGAAAGGAGAATTGCCAGACACCGGTGCCTTCGCCGGAGCCCAGCCCCTTCCTCCCCTCCTGCTCTTGCTGGGGACCACAGAGCAGAGGAGCGGACCCACCTGGACAGAGGACGCAGCCCACAGCCTTGCAAAAGCCAGGTGGTGCCAGGACCGGAGGTGTCGAAGCTGGCAGCTGAGGGAGCTGGGAGGCCCGGGCTGTTCCTACAGTAACCACCTTCGTGGCCTTGGGGTGGGAAAGGCGGGTCAGACCGGGGTCAGGGACTGTGCAGCCGAGTCTGGATGTCAGAGGTGTGGAGCAGGAAGCTGCCTCATTCTTATCTTCAGATGGTCTCAGTCCAAGGGAATAAGAGTCCAAAAGAAGGCTGCGCCTTTAATAGAGGCCAGAACAGACCCCGTCGTGGGCACGTACGAAGTTCAGTTCCGGTGAGGCCCCCTCCACAGGTGTCCTGGCACCCAGCAGCCTTCCCAGGGCCTGAGGGCACCCTGTCCTCAGAGGTGGTGCAGGGCCTCTTGGTGAGGAGACAGACGTGGCTCTTTCTGGATCCTGCACCGGCTCAGGACGGCTCTCAAGCAATGAGTCCAGCTGCACCAGAGCTGTGGTGGCCAGGAGAAAGCCTCTGTCCTTCCTGGTGCCTCGGCTCCCCCTGTGGTTAGAGGGAGGATCTAAGATCTCCTCAGTTGTGACCTTGTTAAAGCCTCGGCAGGAGGCTTCCAGCTCTTGCACAGGGGTCGTGGGGATGGATGCCCTGCCCACCAATCTCATTCCTGCGTCCTGCCCTCGGGGGAGAGGAGATGGGGCCTGTCTCACCCTCAGCCTCCTTCAGGAGCCTTTGCTGCCCTGACCAGAAAAAACAAATATCCCCCAGCTCACCCCTGCTCGAGAATGGCCCTGCGTTTTGAGGCACCGGGCTGCGTGGTTTCCTCAGTGTACCCAGAGCTGTGTGCAGCCAGGCAGCCAGAGGACTTCTGCGTGGGCTCTGGGGACTTCAGCTGACAAGTGCCGTTAGGGCCTGTTTCCTTGGGCAGAAATGACCGCTGTGGGTGTGGGACAGGGTGGGGCAGAAGTGGCCCGGATGCGTCTCTGCTCGTGCCCTCCGCTTACCCAGGCCTAGACTAGCAGGGCCTGGAAGGAGGATGCAGTGGTAGAGGAAGGTGGGAGGAGGCCTGACTGTCCCTTGGCATTGTGGGGATGAGCCAGGCAGCCCTTTGCCTTCTGCCTGGGTCTGAGTGACCTGTCTGAGAGCTGATAGGCTAGGCCAGTGGTCTCTCAGTCCTTCCACCTGTAACTTTATCAGCTGCTGGAGTGTGAAGGGGCAACCAGGACACAGCTCTGCCTCCTGAAGGAAGCCCCCTGGCGCTGGGCTCTGTGGTGCCCTGGCAGGGGCCGGGGAGTAGAGCTTTCTCAAGCTTTGGGGCAGTTTCCTCTTGGAGAGCACGGGCTTCGTCCCACAGCCTGGACCTGGGTGTGAATTGTCTCTCCCCACTGTCCTGTGGGCCTCTTCCTCTCTGGAATCCTGGGCTCTGGACCCTCCTGGCCCTCTGTGACCTGTGCCTCTTTCCTTCCAATAGCAGGGATGCCATTCGGCCAGTGACTTTCATGTTCTGCCAGCTGCTTTTCATGCCCAGGTTTTCATGGGGACTCAGAAGGTCGGGCAGCCTTAGTCCCTTCTTGCAGGTGGTGAAAGGGTGGGTCTGAAAGGTTGCCCATTTGTCTGAGGTCTCTGCTGAGGCCACAGCTCAGGGCTCTTGACTGCCAGCACCTGCTCTCTCCCTACCAGCCACCTCTTTGCCACTGTCCAGCCTCTCCACAGATGTCCCTAAGGTGGAGGTGTTGGAGCGGGAGCTGGCCTGGCTGAAGGAGCACCTGTCCCAGCTGAACTCCCCTGTGGTGTTCTGTCACAACGACCTGCTTTGCAAGAACATTATCTATGACAGCGCCAAAGGTACGGCCAGGCAGCAGCAGGGCACGGGGCGGAGGCTCGGCTGGCTTTAGGAGCCTGTTCCTCAGGCTGGCACTTGGATGGGCAAAAGGGGGCCTGGATTCTTATGCTCAATTAATTTTTAAGAGATAAAGGGAAAAGGAAATAGCCATTTAGAAAAGCCTGTCACAAGAACTTACTCAAAATCGTGACTTGCGGGGTCCTCAATAGTAGGGCACCCGTGCTGTCCCTCTTGGCCACTCCTTGGGCTTCTGAGGACACTGGCTGCCTTGACCCATCGGAGTGAGCCTCCTGGTTTCCTGACAAACACCAGGGGATTTGTTCCGGGACCCCTTAAAGATACCAGGTTCTTCATAAATGACACAGCGTTTGCACGAACTTACACACATCTCCTCCTCTGTACTTGAAATCATCACTAATACCTCATATGATGCAAATGTTATGTAAATAGTTTCATATTTTATTCTTTAGGGAATGACAGGAAAAGTCTATACATGTTTAAAACAAACTCAGCTCTTTTCCCAAATATCTTCAGTCATAGGGTGAGGAGCCTGAGTGTCTGGAGGCCCAGCTGTAACTTAGCTTTATTTCTCATCCGTAGCCACACTGAGGAGAGCTGTCTTGAGACAGGAGGAGGCTGCAGACCCAGTTATGCAAGAGGGATGCCAGGAGCTGGGGGAGAGCAGAGGGACAAGTGGCCAGGTGGAATCAGCTTAGAAGATTGCCAAAGAAGCTAGCAAGAAGCGGTCGTGGTGGTGCACGCCTGTCATCCTAGCACTAAGGAGGCTGAGGCAGGAGGATTGTCTCAAGTTCAAGGCCAGTCTTGGCTACATAGTGAGTTCAAGGCCAGCCTGAACTACACAATAAGGCCTTGTCTCAAAAAACAAAACCAAGCTGGGGACTTAGCTCAGTGGTTCCACCGCCTGCTTTGCAAGCACAAGAACCCGAGTACGGGCCGGGGATTTAGCTCAGTGGTTCTGGTGCCTGCCTTGCAAGTGCAAGGTCCCAAGTTCGATCTCAGGTACCAAAAAAAAAAAAGCAAAAAACAAGAACCTGAGTTTGATGCCCGGAACCAAAAAAAACAAAAAGCAAAACCAAACAAAAAGAGCTAGCAAGGGTGAGTTGGTACATTCCGCAGGCCTGCAGAAGCCTGACCAGGCCCTATTTCCAGGTCAGCATGCACCCTCACGGCCTCTCCGCTGTTCCAGGTCACGTGCAGTTCATTGACTATGAATATACCGGCTACAACTATCAAGCCTTCGACATTGGCAACCACTTCAATGAGTTTGCAGGTGAGGAGGGAATTACTTTTGGACCTTATCCAAGGCCTTCCCTTGTGCTGAGAGCTGGGTCAGGGGTGATCTACAGGTGGGTCTGGACTTGGTGGCTGGAGGCCAGACAGCCCCTGTCCTGCAAAATGCCACAGCTTGAGGGGAAGGTGCTGCTGCCTGCCTCATGGGGGATGCAGGACGTGCACACAGCTGGCTTCTGCTGGCCTCCATGGGGTTTGGTACAAGTGAGGAAAATGTGTCCCTCGGAGGATCCCAGGGATCCTTGGCCTGGCTTGTGAACTGGAAAATGACTTCTGGGCAGATGCGGCCAGCACATCACAGGCTGTCATACCAGCCCTTGTCACGGTTTCTCATCAACCTATATGATTAAACACGAGGGCCCCAGGTGCAGATAGGGGCTGTTTGTGGACAGTAGCTGTTTGCTGGGTGGCCTGAAGAGAACACACTAGACACGAGTTCAAATCGTGTACCATGTAGCTCGAATCCCCAAGTCCACATCCTGGCTGTGCTGCTAGCTGCTGACCCTTTGTGGCCCTGCATGTGGTGGTGACGACTCCTACTCTGTGGAGTGGCTGTCACGCACACGTGCGAGGGGGAACACGCAGGACATCTGAGCATTGAACTAGGGTTTGCTGTTATCAGGCCAGGGAGCCTTGCTGCACCTGGCAGGGAGGCTGGAGTAGGAACGAAGGGGGTTGGATGAGGGGAGCAATCCCAAGGGGCCGTTAGTTGTTCTATAAACGCATGATATACACAGCAGAACCATTTCTGTAAAAGAGGCAGGGCGGGCTTTTTCAGCTTGAGCGCTTACTCAAAACAACTAGGACCAAGGAAGCAACTCCAGTGGAGGTGGACACCGGGGCTGGAGGGAGGTCTCCAGGCTAGCAGCCAGGTGTTCAGCATGCCGTGGCCAGCCCTGTGGCTCTGGACAGGTGCGGTATGCCTGGGACAATTGTAGGACCACCCCTCAGCCCACTCTAAGCCCAGTCAGGTCTCTTCCAGAGCCCTGGGTGACTGTTTGCCAAGCACTGACTCAGCCCAAGGATACAATTCCTCAGGGCAGTGACCAGCTGCACCTAGGAGCCTGAGGGATGGCAGGGCCTCAGCTGGGCTGGCAGAGTATGGGCAGGGAACCAAGGCTGTGAATGCTCTGCTTCCAGGCCCATCAGCCTTTCCAGAAGGGCAATTCCTAAACATTTTAAATCCTTACCCACTGCATACAGCAAAGTCCAAGTGGAATTTTCTGCTTCCAAGCTGTGGGTGGGAGAGGAGAGGAAACTGGGGAGGGCCTCCTCTAAGTGGCCGTGCCACCAGGCCGATTTCTTCCCTTAGTGTCCACACCTTCACATGAGGCTCAGGACTGAGGGTGATTCTTGAGGGACGCTTGGGAAGACCTTGGGGAAGGTGGCCCGGTCTGTCTTAAACCGCCTCTTATCACACTGGCCCTGAAGCCAGCCATGCTCAGGATGTGGCCCGTGGCCCTGGGTGGCAGCCTGAGGACTCCAGGGAGGTGGGGCAGCCAGCAGGTCTCACCCTGACTGCGTGCTGGGGTCATCCAGAGACCGGGCTGGGCCGGGGACGCTCTCCAAGGGACGTTTGTACCCACCAAGTGCTGCTCCAAGAAGCAGGGTTTGACATTCTGAACTAAGTCCGGCTCCCTCGTCTGCTAAATGAAGACTGAGGCCAGTGAGGGGAGAGGGCCTGTCCGGGGGCTGCCTGGAGCCTGGCCTGGGAGCAGGCTGGCCATGCTGACTCAGTGCTTTAATCCTGTGTCCCATCCCCACCCCCCTCCAGGCTACAGGGTGCAGTGTTCTTTTCTTTTGTTTTCCCCCCAGTATTGGAGATCTAACCCAGCGGTATGCTACTGCTGAGCTACATCTCCAGCCCTTTTTATTTTTTAATTTCGAGACCGGATCTGGCCAAGTTGCCCAGGCTGATCCCGAACCTGCAATCCTCCTGCTTCAGCCTCCTAAATTGCTGGGATTATAGGTGTGTGCCGCCCAGAACAGTGCCTTGCCCCTTGCCTGTCTGTCTGAGCCCCAGGGAAGCAGCGGGGTGGTCAGAGGTTTTCCCAGGGTGGCCTCTGAGACCGAGCCCAGAGGGAGAGGAAGGGGGTGTTGGGGAGAAGGGGAACCTCCTGAGCTCCGGAGAGGCTCCAGGTGGTGGCCTCCAGCACCTTCTGTCTGGCCGCCTCCCCCCAGGTGTGAACGGGGTCGATTACTCCCGGTACCCTTTGAGGGAGACCCAGCTACAGTGGCTGCGCTACTACCTCCAGGCCCAGAAGGGCTCGGCTGTGTCCCCTCGGGAGGTGGAGCGGCTCTATGTGCAAGTCAACAAGTTCGCCCTGGTAAGTGCCTGGGACTTCGAGGGGCGGGCTGGGGAGCTGCACCCAGCCTCCTGCTCAGAGCCCATCCCAGCGGCCAGGAAGTCACCTTAACACCCCCTTAATCGTGACCTGCCCCTTCAGAGCTCTCGTTTCTAGAGAAGTATTTCCAAGAAAAACTCAGCTTCCTTCATTAGCAGTTCTCTTGTTTGGAAAGTGAGTGGTTCTTCCCACGTCTAACTTCAGCCTCTGGGGGAGGTGGGGCTCGAACTCTGACCCTCCCGTGGCTCAGGGCTCTAGCTGTCTTTCCCAGCAGGCTTTTCCTGCTGCCATCACTGAGCTTTTGGGTCTCCATTCTGAGCCGCACTCATCAAGGAAGCCGGTTCACGGCAGGTCTCCACTGGTGTGGGCCCGGGGATTGCTGTCTTACTGTCAGCCGCCCGGCATTTCACAACACGTGATAGAGCTTCATCGAATCTACACTTCTCTGTGACTTCAGATTCTCTGTTCTCACTGGCACAACCCTGACTGTATTAGCTCTTCCTCCTCGGTGTTGCAGTGGAAAACAAGCCCTCTTGCTAAGATTTCATCAGTCATGGTCACACCTGCTAGTGAACCTCAGCCCCTTTTAAGGGACAGAAGGGAATAGATGGAGACTGTAGCCAACCCATGTGAGCAACTTTAGGAGGAGGCGGGAGATACAGGCTGGGGGCCTTGGCCCGAGAGCGGGGGAGGTGCTGCTGTGTGATTGCTGTTTGGCCACTTAGAACCCACGCTCTCTGGCTCCAGGGAAATCAGACCAAATGCAGCCCGGTGGCTTGGACTTGGCAGCTTCCCTCCCTGTCCCTGCTGCTGTTCTGGCTGTGTCTTCCCGTCCCTGCAGGGCCCTGCTGGGCTGATGCCTTCTGGTCTCTTTCTAGGCGTCCCACTTCTTCTGGGCCCTCTGGGCGCTCATCCAGAACCAGTACTCCACCATCAACTTCGACTTCCTCAGGTGAGCGGAGGCGGGGTACGGGGAAGGCCTTTGAGCCAGGGTGTGGGACAAAGCACAGTCCGGTCCAGTCCCTGGAGTCCCGTCTCTGCTCTGCTGTCCTGGCCCCACTGCAGCCGATTTCCTGTGCAGTCACTGATCAGGGAGGCCAGGGGAGGCCCCCCAGGTCCAGTAGGTGATGCCTGCCCCTGACCCCACTGCCAGAGCCTGATAGCAACGGTGATGGCCCCTTCGAGGGAGGACTCAGACCCACCTGCTCTTTCAGAGGTTCTCAGTGACCCTGGGGACCATACCTAGCCTGCGCCTGACTACTGAGAACTCCAGGGGGCCTTTGTTTCAAAATACCTACAGGCTAGGAATCATTTCCTCCATTCCAGTCTCGTATGCGTGTCCTTGTCCCATCCCACCTCAGCTGAAAGAGACCCACTACCCTGGCTCCTAGGTGTCCCAACCATTAGAACAATGTAGGCCAAAAGCCCAGAGCGACAGCGCATGGCACCAGTCAGGACATCAGCCATTGAAAACGTGAATGAAGCCAGGCAGGGTGGCTCTCGCCTGTAATCCCAGCATTTATTTAGGAGGCAGAGGTAGGAGGTCACCATGAGTGTGAGGCCAGCCTGCGCTACAGTGAGATCACCAGGCTCAACTAGTAGTGACACTGTGCCTCAGGAAACCAGAGAATGAAACCAGAAAATAAGTTCTGGCAAGGGTGTGGGGAAAGTGAAACGGACGCACACCGTTTGTGTGAATGGAAATGGCGAAGCCGCTAGGGGAGACAGTAAGGTGGTTCCTCAGGCACTTAAAATAGAATGACCATGTGATCCCAGATTCCTGCTTCTGGGGATACATCCAGCAGAACTGAAAGCAAGGTCTCGAAGAAGTATTTGTATACCCAATTCCTAGCAACATGCATGGTAGCTAAGAAGTGGAAGCAGCCCAGCTGTTGATGGACGGCTTAGGATATATTATTCAGTCTTAAAAAGGAAAGGGAGCCTGGCCCATGCTACAGCATGGACGGACCTCGAGGATCGGTCGAAGTGAAGCAAGCCCATTACAAAAAGACAAATTCCGTGTGTTTCCATTGGGTGTAAGAGGTAACTAGTCAAATTCATAGAAACAGAAAATAGGATGGCGGCTGTAGGGGCCAGGGTGAAGGCAGAAAGGGAGTGTTGTTTAATGGTACAGTTTGTTTTGCAAGATGAAAAGGTTCTGGAGATTTCCTTACACAGCAATATGAATATCAACATTACAGACTTGTGAAAACAAAACTCCATGCAAACATGTTTGCTGAAGGATTGCTCCAGTCTGACCTACGCAAATCTGTTTGAAACTTTAAAAAATCAATCTGGGCAAGGGTGGATCCACCTGGAGGTAGATGGGCTTCAAGCTGATGACCATGGGGTGTCCTCAGCAGGGCCCCTTCCCTGGCTTCCTCACACCCAGCTTCCCTCCGGGCAGGTACGCGGTGATCCGATTCAACCAGTACTTCAAGGTGAAGCCCCAAGTGTCCGCCTTGGAGATGCCAAAGTGACCAGCCCCCCAGACTCTGCCCTGCCATCTGCTGGACACAGCTGTGCTCTGGGGTCCACACCCTTGGGCAAGGTGGGAGAGGGGACAGGTGGATGCCACCACAGACCTCGTTCTCCTGCCTGGAGGGGCTGACAGGACCCAACACTGGGGCCCCTACACCTCGTGGGCTGGGAGGGAGGAAGTGCCTGCAGACAGCCAGGGCCTGGGCTCACTGCCCCAGGGAAGCACACCGGTCCCGGGCCTAGGCCTGCTGGAATTGGACTGCCTTAGATGTGTCTCTGACCCTTCCCGGCAGGGAGAAGGGAGGGTTCCTTGCTACCTCCAGTGCTCCAGCCTCCGCCCTGACCCACTGCATGCCCCACGGGGGAGGTTATTGAGCCCCAGACCAGCCTCAGGCCAACTCTGCCCACTGCCGTCCACGGCCTGGGGAGGGGCCTGGAATGGAACCTGGCGGTGTCACCACAGCCGCCTGGTCCGAGAGGCCTCACTCCCTCAGCCGGTTCCCCCCTTCTTAAGCTGCAGACAGGAAATGTTTCCTTCTGCTCTGTCCCTGTGCAGCCTGCTGAGGGAGGCGAAGGAGGGGAAGCCCTGACCCTCCCAAGCCTTGTTCTCCATGCTGTGGCTTGGCCAGAGGGGACCTGGCCAAGGGTGGGAGGGCTGGCACCAGAGCCAGCAGCCCCCTGCCTTTTGTCTCCATCTCTGCCTTCCATCCCGGGTTGACCCAAGGTCTTCTCACTTGGGACTGACTGACTGGGGCCAGGGGGCTGCAGGGTTCTACACAGGGGGCCTGGCAGGGCTGATCGTGAAACTGCTGACTGAGCGCGGTGGCCCTGCCAGTCAGCAGCCTTCACCTCCCTCTGTCCTCAGAGGCCCTCAGGGTCCTCCCAAGCTCTGGCTCACAGTGTCTCACTTGTAAATTATCATGGTTTTATGCAATAAAATGCTTGTTTCTGGACTGTTCTGAGGGACAGTGGCGGGGACTTGACTTGGGGTGGGATCAGTATTCCTGCAGCCCTCTCTGCTGTCCCCATGTGGAAGTCACCATAGCAGCGGCCCGCACTGCTGTCGCCCCTGGTCAACCTGGGCAGCGTGGTTCCCTGCTGCTCTGCCTTTGAGCTTACGAGAGTCAGCTGACCCTGGTAGCAGGAGCTGGGCTGAGATTACAGGAAGTGGGGGCAGCCAGGGTGAGGAGGCACTGGGGCCCCGAGAGCAGCGCTCACAACCTCCTCCCTGGCCTGCTTTGGCTCCCAGACACTGGAGTGGGTGGGAAGGGGGCTGCTTTTCAGGACAGCAGGCAACAGTGACTACGGGACCAGTCACTTTCTCAGAAAGCCAGGAGGAGAGAGCAGAAAATCAAAGGTGAAAATATTTCGAGTCCTTAAGGGCAGCAGTGGCAGCAGCAGAAGCTGCCTGCCAGGTGGACTTTGGTGGTTTGGCTTTTGCCTGCGAATGTGTCCCGGTGCCACGGCACCCGCTGGCCAGTCCCCAGGCAGGGGCCGGGAGGGATGGCCCCCCCGGGGGGGGGGCAGGGTGGCTCCGAGCGGGGGCCGGGGGCCCACAGCCTGCAGGGCAGTGTCCGCCCTCCTTGCTCTGCCCAGAGCCACCTGTGGAGCTGGGGGAGAATTAGCCATGAGGCCGGCTTCATTTCCAGCCTCTGTCACGCAGCGGTGGCTGTGATGGAGCCCCGGGGGACTGGCCCGTGGCTCAGGGCACCGTCTGCACACGTGTGCTCACCTTGTGCTCACCGCTCTCCCACTTTGTGGAGAAGCATCTCCACCCTTTGGGCCCCAAGGGAGGAAGGGGTGTGAGACCTCCTTCCCCTTTCCCGCTAGTGCCCCAGGCTAACCGGCTCAGTGCCCCCAGGCCCCTTGCTAGACGCTCTGCACGAGCTCCGGGGGCAGGGGACAAACTTGCTGCCCGACCTTCCCGGTAATAACGACCAGGACACACTGTTCCCGGCCTCTGTGACCCACCTGACCCGGTCGGGCTTCTACTGGGACGGCCCCGCCAAGCTCCCCGCCGGGACTGCGCCGGCAGCTGGAATGAGGCCGGCAGGACAAAGGTACCTGCAGGACCTCTGGCAGTGCTGCCCCCACCCGAAGCCACAGAGGACCTGGGAAAAGGCAGCAAGAGAAACTGGACACCGAGGTAAGTTCGCTAGAGACCCCTAGGAAGCAGGGGCAGGGAGGCCAGCAGTTCTGCCAGACAACCACTAGGGGGCAGGCAGGAGGGAGGCACGGGCTCACGGGGGGGGGTGGCTGGGCTGGGAAAGGTTCGGGGGGGGGGGGGCGGTCTCCACGCCCGCAGGCTCGAGGGTTGTGGCCTGGAGTGCAGCACCCTGACTTTAGAAGGCCCCTCGCCTCGCCCCCGTCGATACGGCCGCGTCTGCTCCTGAACATCTTTGTTAAAAAGTAGTGAAGCCACAAACCTACGGGCACTGCGCCCTGGCTGTGAAGCGGGCCATCTTGTCCTGTTCACCAGATCCTAGTCTCCACTGTCTGGACTAAACCTCCTCCCTCATCCTGTTCCGTTTCTCCAACAAAACGGCCACCAGGTTCCGTCCCCCCCCCCTCCTCCTCCACACAAGGTGCCTGCTTCTGGGCCTTTCTAGAGAGGGGCTCATCACCTCCCTAGTTGTGGAAGTAAGCCTCTATTAATCCAGCCCAAGTCTCTCACAAGAATTGCCATTGCTGCCCTCATTCTATGCGGATGAGATTAATTTTTAACCACAAGAGCTCTTTCTACAGATCATCATGTACGTGCATTTTGAAGAGTCTCATCCTGCCCCTTCAGGCCTCTCATTTCCTTCTACTGTAACAGAGGCCCCTTTAAAATTGTCATTCAAGCCTAAGGTCATGGAGGCCAGAAGCCCATCGGTATGGGGACGCTGCTAGCTCAGAGATGGGCTCCCGGTGCCTCTCGGAGCCCTTTTCTGGGATGACTCCACTGCTTCCTTCAGACTCTCAAAGGGAGCCTTCTCCAAGAGGCTGAGAGCTCGGAGAAGTCTGATCCCCTCGTTTTCGGGGGCGGAGAGTGAGACCGGCCACGAACCCTACCGCACCTGGTTCCAGGGCCTCCCGATGCCGGCCACGGTGCTCAGGTGCCGTCTCCTGGGCCTCCTGCCTCAGCAGCCGGGCTCGCTCCTGCAGGCGGGGCAGGGCCGCCCGCCTCACGGTCTCGGCCGGGGGCCCCCTTGGCCCAAACCACTTCCTCCAGGTTCCGTGGTTGTAACTCCCAAAAGCTGCCGCCAGGGGGCAGCAGTGTGCTGGAGGAAATTCTGGATTTAGGCCAGCCTCCCCTCCCCACCGCCTCGTACAGACCGGTTCTGAAATGGTCTGTCTTTATTATGCCATCAGAAAACAAATGTGCTGGTTAAATTACTCATTATCTCATTAACAAAATAAAGCACTATCTATGTTTACAGTCATAAAAAAGAAACAGCCTGGAAGGAGAGGAGATGGGGCGGGGCAGGCATCACATGGGCCCTGTGGGATTAGGGTGCCCAGACTTACCCGGAGCTGTTGGACCTTGAGCCCAGGTGCCAACGGGGTTGATGTTCTTAGGAAATACCACCTGGGGCAGCCAGTGGGGGGCTGTCCCCTAGCGTGGGGGAGGGGAGCCCGAGTCTTACCGGCCCCTTCAGGAAAACACCGGCCTCCAGCTCAGGAGGAACAGAGGCCGGCTGCCATTCGGGCCCTAACTGAGGCCTGTCAGCGACAGAAAAGGGGGCACCATCAGCTCTGCCCGACTCCTGGGACCCGGCCTGCGCCCAGGGGCTGGGCACCAGGACAAAGCCCAGTGGATGCTGAGGCCATTCTTATGCTGCTTGGAGCTAAAAATGGCTCCGTGGGAAAGACTGGCAGAGTCAGGAAGGGGGGCAGGGGTCAGGGATCAGGGGTCAGGAGGGCTGGCGGGCCCAGGGGCTAGAGAGAATCCAGAGGCCAGCGAGGGCAGGGGAGACCTGGAGCAAGGGAGAGAGAGGGCCTCGAGGACAGACAGGGACAGAGAGATGCACACAAGGTCACACAGAACCTGAGACACCCAGACTGACGAAGAGGTAGCAATTTGGGGACACAGAAGCACAGAAGAGGCCCCCAGAGAAGCGACAGTGGCACTGAGAGACATCCAGAGGAACTCGGCAACGGTGCCCGGCACATATGGGGCACGAAATAAATACCTGGTGCACTGAGTTGATGAAAACACACACATGTACATGTACACACGCACACGCACACAGCAGCCAGAGGCCCGGACTTGGCAGGCAGACGGTGAGGGACAGACAGGCCCTTTCGCACGGTGATCGGCAGTGCACGTGGGAGGAATGTTGGTCCCACAAGGCAGGTACGGAAACAAAGCGTGTGGCACCCCGGGGGCTCGGCCTGCCGGCAGAAGGGTCACCCAGTGGCCCCTGGCCAGACCCCAGGGGTCCAGGAGCTCAGCCGGCCCAGCCAGCACCAGGCAGGTCCTGCCACCAAGGCCACAGCGCCTCAGGGCGCCCAGGGAGTCGGGGAGGCCTCCCCCTCGTCAGTCTCTACGAGGGCACGGTTGTGCCCAAGTCCAGTGCCAACACAGTCCACGCCGCCCGCGGTGCCATGGGGTCGGGGCCGCGCCCTGAGGAGGCCCAGGCTCAGTCCGTGAGCACAACCAGCTCCCCATCACTCTTCTCCTCGCCCTCCGAGTCCTCGTCCTCGCTGTACCGGTACATCTCGCCGTCCGCCACCGAGTGCCTGTCGTCGGTGCCCTCTCCCTCCTCCCTGAGGCTGCAGGTGTTGACAATGACGGGCATGTTGGGGTCCAGGCTCTGGGGGACATAGTGATCCACCAGGGGCTGTGCCAGGGCCACACCTGCAGCCCGGGGGTACAGGGCGTCTGAGGAGCTCATCTGCACCTGGCCTGCCTGTGAGCTGAGAGAGGCGGGGGGTGGGGTCAGGGGCGCCCGGCACCTGCACCCCAACCCTGGGCTCCCCCGGCCCACCCCCCTTGGCTCTACAACGCACGCCCTGGCCCCTGTCTGCCTCCAATGGCCAAATGCACCATCAGCTACTGCAGCGCCAGGTAAAACTCTTGGGGGATCGCAAGTAACCCAACTTTGGGGAACTGTATTTCAGGCATCCACTGGGCTGCTTGCTTTGGGCAGGCAGCTTGCTGTGCAATGAATGTTTTCAGCACCTGAGTTTGTACTGGTCCCTCAGCAATGGGCTCTCCAGGCACACTCAGCCACACACTCGCACACACGGGGGTGACCCATCACCCCACACACAGGCAGCACCCCCATCACAGGCCAGCCACACATGAGCACCCAGCTCTCACGCGGCCGCTGGCGCCCAGGGTGGGTCTGCTCACGGGATCACGTAGCTCTGGCGAGCGTCCTGGCGCCGGGTCCGCATCAGGGCCTTGTACTCGCCTACCCGCAGCCGCTTGCCCTCCACGATGCAGGTGCGCTTGGGCCGCGGCTTGTACTTGTAGTCGGGGTACTTCTCCAGGTGCTGCCGGCTCAGCCGGGCCTGCTCCTCGTAGTAGGGCTGCTTCTCCTGGTTGCTCATGGACTTCCAACGGGAGCCTGTGCGGGAGAAAGGGCAGGGAGTCAGGGCTGGGCTCTGCAGGCCCCCAGTAGCCCTGGTCCCCACGTGGGGTCAAGATGGCATGTGTATACAAGGGGCAGCCCCAGTGTGGAGCCAAACGTTGCGGAAATGAAGTTAACCAGTGTGGGGCATCTGACTGTCAGGCAAGGACAGCACCACCCCAGGCCACCAACAACCCAGACAGGTCCCTGCTCAGGCAAAGGACCTGGGGTCAGGCCAGCTGGGGTGCCCTGAAGTGGGGGGGGGGGGCTCACATAGCAGGTGCCTGGCAGGCCCTGTTAGGCCTTCGATCTACAGCACAAAAACACAAAACCCTGCTGTCTCAGACAAGACAATAGCAAGGAGGGAGCCTCAGTCTTGACAACAACTGCTCTCTTCTAGAGCCATCTGTCCTGCCCTGAAACCCTCCCTGGCCTCCAAGAGACACATAATTTTTTAAAATCTTTCTACTAGGAGTCCAAGAACACCAATTTCTCCCATTTTCTGCCCCAGGCAGTTCCAGGGGTCTGGGCAGAAAAGGCTGGGATAGGGAGTGCAGAACACAGGTGCCTGCATCCTGAAGGGGTGCTACCAGAATCACCCCAAGAGTGAAGAGCCCAGAGGGCCCAGCGATCCATCCTTACCAAGTATCTTGCTGATGCTGGAGTTGTGCATGTCTGGGAAAGCTTGGAGGATCTTCCTCCGCTCGTCCTTGGCCCACACCATGAAGGCATTCATGGGCCTCTTGATGTGGCTGTGGTTTCGGGACTCGGGGAAGTGGCGGGAGCCTGGAGAACAGGAACAAGGTCAGCGGGGCAGTTTATCTGCAGCAGGCCAGAGTGACATCCCCTGTGTGGCCACCAGGAGGCGCCCAGGAGCTCCCATGGCTGCAGCCTTGGGCTGAGCCCAGAGCCGGAGCCCTCACCATCCAGGTCACAGCTCAGCACGGCTTCATCCAGAGGGTGCACACAGCTGTCCTCCAGCCGCTCCTTGGCTGGGGACGAGTCCAGGCTGATGAGGTCCTGGGGTTGACAGGGACAACTTGAACACCAGCCTCCTGCGTCCTGCTCTGCGCCCACCTCGCCCACCTTGCCCACCTCTGACGACTCCTCCCTTCCACCCCAGTGCCACTGCTCCTGCCCTCGGGGACAAGGGAGTATGCCCACACCTTGCGGAAGGGGGTGCTGGGGGAGCTCTCCAAGGCCCCACTGCGGCTGTGCAGCAGCTGCCGGGCATCCTGGATGGCTTTGGTGACAGCGTCCCCTTCACCCAGGAAGCCTGCAGGAAGGGGAAAGCGAGCGGGCGGACTCAGAGTTCACCCCGCGCTGGGCCCAAACCCCTCCAGGTTCACGCCGCGCCCCCTAGTGGTCAGCTGGGTTAACGCCACCCTCTCCAGCCCCTGCACACACAGGGACACCACACACACTGCTGCTGTCAGTGTCAGCGGACCGCACACGAGGCCAGCACCCCAAACCAGCAATGCAGGGCCCGGATGTGACGCTGGGCCAGCTGGGCGGGGAGAGGCACAGGGGAGAAGGCCATGCCCGAGGTCTGACCCCCCTCGGCGCTCTCCCGAAAGAGGCCACTGCGCAGGTGCAAAAGCTTACCCAGAGGCAGGCTGGGTGGGCTGCACGGCCGATCCCGTGTGGCGGCTCCGTGGCTGGGGGGCCGGGCTCCACAGGTGCCCATCTTCAGGCTGGGGGAGCTGGAGCTGTTGGGCAGCTCAGGAGCCTTGGGCTTGGCTGTGAGGTTCAGGGGCTGGGAGGGTTCCTGAGGAACAGGCAGACGTCAAAGGGCGGGTGCAGCGCGGAGAGGACTCAGAGCCCGTGAGGGACAAGCACACCCAGGCAAGGCTGCAGGGAGAGCCGGAGAGAGCAGGGGGCAGGAAGGCGGCCAGCGGGCCCAGGGCTGTACCTGCAGGGGGTGGTGGGCACCCATGGCCCCCGGCCTCTTCACCACGGGCGCAGGGGGGCTGTGCAGCAGCTGCAGCGGGTACTCCACTTCAGAAAAGGGGCAGGGGGAAAAGGCCTGCGTGAGCCTCCTCAGCCCCAAAACACTGCTGGGGACCCCTGTTCCCTGCTCCCGGTGGCACCATGATCTGCACCTTCATCCTGTGCCACCCCTCCCACCCCACTGTGCAGTTTACACGGGTGCAGCAAGGGAGGGAACACTGTGGACTCGTTCGACAGGCACTGGTGGCCCGTTCCTACTGTGTATAGGGCGCACACAAAGCCACCCAGTGGGAGGCGCCTCGTGTGCACGATCCCTCCGACAGTGTGCAGACATAATAGGTGCTCCCTACATTACAGATGAAGAAACCTCTGGGAGACCCATGGGTTGCCCATAGAGCTGTTAAACAGCAGCGGCAGGATTTGAACCCAGGTCCTCAAGACCACAGCTCCTTCCCCTCAACCTCTACTCTCTTCTAGCTCCTCAGCCCCACTCTCCCTCAGCCAGGCCGGGCACCAAGGAGGTGGGGCAGTTCAGGCGGAGAGATAAGCCTGTGTACAGATCACAGCACATGGCAGGTGGTGATCAGGACCACAGGTGGCCTGGCAGAGACCTTTGTTCCAGCCAGGTGACCACAGCAGGCTTCTCGGGAGCTGTGAGCTACAGCCTGGGGGGTGGGGGTGGGGCTCGCACGGGGAAGGTGGGCACCAAGGAACAGAGGCCAGCGTGGGAGCGCACACGCCACGCTGCAGGCCGAGGGCACCAGCTAAGGCTGTGGGTCAGGGCCGGGACCAGCAGGGCTGGCGTCACGGCTGTCACCTTCCTGGAGCAGTCCTGGGCAGCACGTCTACTCCCTACCCAAAGGCGACAACGCTCTCTGTCTGTTACCCAAACTCCTCACTGAGCTCGGCAGCCTCCACCCAGTGCTCTCTGCACCCCCCCCACCTGCAGCCAGAGAGCACACGAGCTGCTCAAGGCCAAGTACGTCCCACATGCTACGCAGGAAACCCCCAGCCCAGGCTCCATGGCAACCGCCCTCCCCAGCCACACCCCAGCCCCATCGTGTGCCCCCTCAACTCCCACCACCTAGCAGCTTCCACCTCAGAGTCCAGGCCTCCGCCCGCATCCTCCTCCTGGGCCGTCCGCCCCCACCCAAAGCCACCTCTCTGGGAAGCCTTCCCAGACTGCCCAGGCCTGTCCTGTCCCCAACTGCATTCCTGGCTGTCAGTTCCTCGGGCTCAGAGTTCACACTTTATCAGCCCACGGCTCGCCAGCCAGCAAGGACAGTGTGGCTCACACAGTCACTGCTGAACTTCAGTGCCGGCCGGGACGCACACAGGGACAAGGTCAGGGCAGGGAAGAGTGTGAAGGAGGAATCGAGGTGGCTGTAGAACTGGGAGATGCCTGGCCTGTGGTTACTACTGGAGATGCTAACGCTCTGGCCCGTAAGTGCTCCGAGGTAGGAGGTTGCATCTTCTGTCTGGAAAGCACTCTGAGGCTGAAAATGTCCCCTTTCCATTCTCCCACTGGATGGGTCCGATAAAGAAAGGCCACGAGGCACGTGAATAGTGAAGCCGATCGGGCTGTCCTGACCTCAGCACAAGCCAGCCTCAGTGGCAGCCCCGTCCCTCCATGCTCACCTGGTTTGCAAGGGATGGGCTGGATGGGCAGAGCCAGCTGGGAGTCAGGGGTGACAGGCAGAGGCTGGTGACTTGGGGGGAAGGCTGGGATCATGACATAAGGCATGTTGACCTGCTGAAGGCAAAGGACCTTGCCTGAGTGCCCCCAGATGTGGTCCACCCAGGACAGAGGGTGGAATCATCTGGCCCCAAGCCTCCCTGCCCTTGAGTCTCAGCCAGGGAGGGGGACACATTCGGCCACCCTTGCTCGCCCCTTATAAAGGGGACACAGACAAGGAAGGGCTGGAGCCGAAAGAAGGGCCCACCCTCAAGGTCAGGCTGAGTGATCAGCTCGGTCGCAGCCCTGGTCCCCGGCAGCGTCTGGGGCTGGTGTCACCCTCGTGCTTCCTGCTCTGGGGCTCCTAAGTGGGTCCCCTTGTTACCTGTATCTGCTGCTGAAGGAGGTTGATCTTATGCTGCTGCTGAATCAGCTGCTGCTGCTGTTTGGCGATCTGGGAGGGAAGGAGCAGGCAACGTGGCCACGGGCACCAGCCTGGCATCCCCCGCACCCAGCGCCTGCCCAGTCCTAGCCCGGCCCCCACCTGCTCCTGCTGCTGCCGGGCCAGCTCCATCTGCTGCTGCTGCTTCTCGAACAGCATGGCGGCCATGTTCTTCTGCTCTGAGTGGGCTGTCAAGAGCTGGTCCCGCAGGGTGGACAGCTGGTGGATCATGACCAGAAGCTGCAGCTCCTTCTCCGCCAGGCTCTCTTGGGTCCCTGCTCCCCAGTGGAACAGCCACCATGGAGTTCTGGTTAGTCCATCTGTCCATCCTTCGCCCTCCCATCTGACAGAGACTGGGATTCCTACGTCATCCCAAGACCCTGTCAGGCACATTACCAGCTTCTCTGCACTTTAGAGCGTTTTTTTGCAATACTGGGGTCTGAACCCAGGGCCTCGTGCATGCTAGGTAAGCATTGGGGCACTGAGATACTCCTCCAGCCTTCCTCCACTTTTTTGAGACAAGGTCTCACTAAGTTGCCCAGGCTGGCTTTGAACTTGCAATCCTCCTGCCTCAGCCTTCTGAGTAGCTGGGACTACAGGCACACGCCACCACACATGACTAGGGTGTTTTAAAAAAACAATCTATAAATGGGCACAGTATTAGGCACCTTATGGGATCTGTGTGAGGTTGAAGGAGCTAATGGACAGAGAGCTCCTGGTCCAGAATCTGCCGAGAACACACGTTAGCTCACTTTGTTTCCCTCCCCACCCATTTGGCTAAGGTTTGTGCAGCGACTGCTCAGGCCATCTGCATCAGAATCACTCAAGCGGCCTTTGAAAAATACAGGTGCCCAGGCCCCATCCCCTGGGGACCTCGGTGAGAAGGCGGGGATGGATCCTGGGCGTCTGCATTGGTTTAAAGCTCCCTCTGGGGTGGGATCAACCACCCCAGGAAAATGAGGGAACCCAGGCAGCTGCCCTGGAAGAACCTCTTTCGGTGAGGTCCCTGGAGCCGGAATTAATCGTCAGAAGTGAAAGCGAACTTCCTGCCCACGTTAGACTGGAAAAGGGGAATGAGGAGCCTGATGTCACAAGGGTCCCTCCACCAGACCCAAATCCACACCCGAGGGATTGGCGTCTCCCAGGCCTTTCCTAGGTGGGGATCGATGGGGCAGATCTGTTGCCTGGGGCCCCAGGCTCGGATGGTGATGACCACTAGGGCCAGGAAGCAGCCAAGTGGCACGGGACAAGTGGGAGGCCCAAGAACACCCTTCACTCCCAGGCTGCACAGCCAGGCCAGCAGCAAAGACCCTCACCTTTGACATCTTTGGTGTCCACAGAGTTTCTTCCCAGAAACCTCTCCTTCCAGTCGCTGGACAGTAGCTTCTCGATGGCCGGAACCACTGGAAGACACCACGGGCTGAGGGGCACCACCCTGTTCCCGCCCACCTGGGCCGCCTCTGCCTGGCACCCCTCTTACCCTCCTGGAGGTTGCGGTTGAAGTCCAGCTTCTCCTGGCTTCCAGAAGCTGCCTCGGAGGTGCCTGGTCTCTTCGGCTCTGGGCACCCGTTGCTCTCTGGAGAGGTACACTCCTGCAAGACACGCTGAGCTGTCACACAACCCCAGAGAACCCACCCAAGGGGACCCCAGGCTCTCCCCTGCCTTACGACTCACCCAGAAGGGGCCCCACCCCCACCCCTCAACCCTGCTGGCCCTTTACCCAATGCCACGTGAAGGGCACGGGAGACCAAGCACTTCAGGCCCGGCTTCCACCCACCACCACCCTCATCCCTGAATCTCTGGGAACCGCACTTCCCTCCTCTGAAAATGGAATGCTAATCCCTCCCACGTCACAGGAATGTCGCTGGGATCGAGGGCGAGGGCGTTAAAGCAAGTGAATGGGGTTTGCCACCAGTCAGGGGCCCCACGCCAGCTGCTAATTATTACTTCCAGGACACACCCACTGCCCCAGCTCTGCCCTCCCTACAAAGGCTGCTCCTTTTCCCACCAGAGTCCTCCCCATCCCTGAAGCCCTGCTCCTCCAGGAAGTCCTCCCTGACCACACACTTCCAAGATGGAGCCCTCCTGGGAACCCAAAACTCTCATTTTCACTCATCTGGTTTTTAACTAGATATCCCCGCTTTATTTCTCCTGCGTGGAATCAGAATTTTCATGTGCTACAAGAATTCTTAGTGACTACACTGATCATTTCTCCCATTTGTTTTTTTGGTACCAGGGATTGAACTTAGGTCCTTGAGCCTGCAGGGCAGGTGGCAGAACCACTGAGCTAAGTCCCTGGCCCCAGTTCCCCTACTTTTAAGGGTGAGGAATGATATGCCCTTTCAACAGTAAGGTAAAAAGGGGTGACAAGCGGATTCTCTCAAACCACATGAAGAAGCTGGTAGCCAACTTTTAAGCCAGACTCTGTGCATCCTGTGCCAACCAGCCCTGGCCAGCAGTCACCACCAGGCGGCGAGTCCCTGTCCCACTCCAGCAGGTGGCCCGGCAGCGCCTCTGCTCACCTAACCACTTCTGCCTGCATCTGCTGCCCAGCTGGGGCCACGCACCTGCCCTGCCCAGCGGTGAGGTGGGGTGCAGGGCTTGGGTGTGAGCTACACAGGGACGTGGGGCAGGGGCACAGACCCAGGAGCCCCTGGGAAAGTGCTGGGCACCTGAGCTGGAGCTTGGGGGTCAGCGGCATCTGGGGGGTCCCGGACTGGGTCTCCAGGCTGGGGCTCAGCCACAGCGGCTGAACCCTGGGAGTCCTCACGGCAAGGATCCTTCTTCTCCTCAGCCTTGATGGTGCAGTTCACCATGGTGCCAGCGCCATCCAGAGCCAGCCGGGCAGAGACGGGGCTCCTCATGGACATCCTGCAGGAGGAGGGGCAGAGCGGGGCAGGTAAGGCCCTGAGCGCCCCCAGGGAGGGACCCCTCCCGTAGCCACGTGACACCACGTGCACCCGACTACTTTCGGAACCCACAGCAAAGTTAGAGAAGGACTCTGCTGTCCCTGTGCTTGACGTCGTTTGTTCATTTTTTAAGTAGAAAGGTCTAGAGACAACGGGGCCCTAGGGCTGGGGATTTAGCTCAGTGGTTCTGGTCCCTTGCCTCACAAGCATAAGGACCGGAGGTCAATCCCCAGTACCAAAAAAAAAAAAAAAAAAAATCTCCAATGGGGCCCAACCTTCAGTAGTTCCAGCCTGCAGCAGCACTAGGACTGGCTGATGGGGGGTGGGGGGGTGTCTAAGGAGTAGAAGACCTCATGCGTGCGCCTATGTCTGTGTGTGCATGGGTACAGAACTAGCTACCAAAACGTAAAAACCCAGAGGTAGCACATTAAAATCTGGATCTGAACTTCTGGCACAATGACGAAAGTCAGCTGGAATTGAGTGGCTGGCGCTCCTTACACCCAGGCCAGTTTGCCTTCGTTGCTATCACTCCATCCAAAGGAAACCAAGTATTTATCAGCTACCTCAAGTAAGGCATTTATTCCCTCTTGGGGTACCAAGGATGGAAACCAAGGCCTCTTCATGCCAGGCAACCACTCTACCTCTGAGCTACACCCCGATTCCATTATTCTTATAACTGCGATGAGGTAAAAGTGAAACATTTCTTATTTTCAGGTATTTATTAAAAATGGGAGAAATTGGGCCAGGGATTTAGCTCAGTGGTTTCAGCTGCCTGCTGCGCAAGGACCCGAGTTCAATCCCCGGTGCCAAAAACAAAACAAAACAAAACAAAAATGGGAGAAATTAGCCAGGGTGAAGTGGTACACACCTGTAATCCCAACACCCGGGAGGCTGAGGCAGGAGGACTGTGAATTCAAGTCCTGCCTGGATAACTTAGTAAGACCCTGTCTTGAAAAATAAAAAAAGAGTTGGGGATATAGCTCAGTGCAAAGGTGCTGGGTTCAATACACAAACACACACGGAAAATAAATTATAGGCCATATTTTCTGTTATTTAGCTGGAATCTCTGGCTTAGGGTCCAGCCTAGAGGCACCTGCATTTGCAGTCCTGTCTCTGCAGCCCATAAACTGGCAGCCTCGCTGGAGATGCTGCCTCCCCTTCTGCCATTCCACTGCCTGGCACCTTGAGTGGGGTGAGCAATTGCAGAGCCTCAGACATGAGAGGATGCCAGGCTGGAGCAGCAGATGCCCACCCTCCCACAGGCCACTCTCCAGGCTCTGGCGGGAACACAAAGCAGGTTCCCACTTTGGACGGGCCCTGCCTTGGCCGATGGACCCTGTGTGTGGTGCTTAGCTTCCCTACACCTCAGTCTCCCGCCTGTGAAATGAGCAAGCAAGCCCCTGCCATGTGGGGCAGTCCTGAGGGTCAGTCAGTATTTACATGTGCTTGGAGCAGCTGGCGGCATAGAAAGCACAGGTTTGGCGTTTGCTAAAGCTTTGCAGTTGAGCTATTACAGTCGTCCCTTGGAATCTGTGGGGCACTGTTTCCAGGACCCGACCCAAACTCCTGCAGCACCAAACCACGGTACTCAAGTCCCCTTTACACAATGGCACAGTATTTGCCTATTACCTGTGAACATCTTCCATGTACTACAACTCCTCCCTGAATTACTCATGACCACTACGATATAAATGCCATGTAAACAGCTGTGCTCCATTGTTTGTTTAGGGAACAGACACTAAGGGGGGGGGGTCCCATTTGGTTGAATCTGGCTCCACGCAGTCAGGTCCGGCTATAGAAGGGCCAGCTTGCATGGATGGGGGCTGGTTTGAAGCAAAGTCATGGATCCTCATCACAAAACAATCTAGGGATCTGAACAACGCTCCAGATGAATCTGATACACACCAGCTAGAGAAGCATTGTCAGTAACAATTCCCAAGAACATATTTGCACGGGGACTGTGGTTGGACACAACCCCCAAAGCTGAACTGTAGAAAACGCTGCCCCAGTGGAACCATACTGGGAGGTGGGGCCTAATTAGAGGCAACTGGCTGTGAGAAGAGTTTGGCTGCTCTCCTTCCTCCTGGCCAGATGCCAGCCCCTTGACTTCCCAGCCTCCAGGATAGTGAGAAAAACCGCCCACTTAAAATGACCCTATCTGTGCTATTCTGTTATAGCAGCAAAAAACAGACTAAGACACATGGGAGTTCAATTTTTAGAAGATGTGCAGGAAAAGAAAATCAGATATATAGTAAAATATCCCTTAAACTGTAGGGGAAGCATGATATAGAAGCACCCACCTATCCTTGGGGAGATACGTTCAATAGTAGAGGCTGAGCCGTGGGTGGTATCAGACCCTGCAGAAATTAATGTTTTCTAGACACACAAATGTAAGACCTTTTCCATCTGAATTACGTACTTCTCATGCACTGTGGCTGTAACTTGCAATTTGAGTAGCAAGAGCACAACCAGCACATACTTTTTCTTTCTTCACAATTTCACAGATTAAAGATTCATTTTTATTGTAGCTGTTAGTAACTTGAGCCTACAATTTTTCTTTTTTCTTGCTGAGAACTTTTCAGCTAATGGAAGCACTTCAGGGCTTCTCTCTGGCCCGAGCCATTTATTAAAATAAGGATCACTTGAACACGAGCTCAGAGGTACCACAACTGCCACTCTGGGAAGTGCACAGCTGCTAAATGACTAAGGAGCAGGTAGGCTATACAACACGGATACACTGGACAAAGGGATTATTCACATTCAGACCGATTCCATCATGCTATTATAACAAAGCGGAATTTAAAAGTTATGAGCATTATTTATTCTGGTAACTGAAACCATGGAAAGTGAAACTTGGGACAACACCGGAGGGGAGCTACTGTATTTGTATAGGGCATCAATCTGGTATAGATTGTATCAATTCTGTAAAACGGTTTTTGTAATGTAACACTATAACTGAATCATGCACTGCTGCAGTGCCAAATACAATAAGAGCATAAAAGGGCATTATAATTGACTAAAATATAGATGTGTATTTGATTGGATTCCACCCTACAGGTCAGACAATGCCAAACTGTCCTGCCCACCCACTTTCAAATTGCAGGGTTCCCCGAGTACCCAGGACAAGGAGGGAAGAGGGGTCTACCTGACCCTACGAGGGTCAGCCCCATCTTCCTTAGATGAAGAGGAGACCCCAACCCAGCTTGCCCCGGGGTCCCCTCCCACCACCCGGGGGGCCTGGAGCGCCTCCAGGAAGCAGGCAGCTCAGCCCATCCGGGCACTGGGAGGGGCTGGAAGCCAGGCCCCGGCCCCGGGAGGCGGAGGCGGTGCCGAGTGGGGGTGGGGAGTGGGAGGGGGTATTATCCTGAAGCTGAGGGCAGCAATTACATAACAAACAAACCCCGGGCTCAAGCTGTGAATTAATCAAACCGCTGAAAATAAAACCTTCCTCTCAGGAACTTCAGACAAAAGAAATGAAAACAACCAGGCTGGCTGGAAAATAAAAGGCAGCAGCGCTGAAAGGGGGACAAAAGGAAACCAGACAATGGGGTGTTGGACAAAAGCAATAAAGCCAAAGGAAGTGTGACAGGCGCACAATGCGGGCCTGTGGGCTTCTGAGCCCCGTGGCTCCGGGCCACCTCGCCCCACACCCGCTGCGGGCGGGCCACCAGGTCGCCTCCTCCATCTAGACTTGGGTCTTAAGGGTTTTTCTCCTCCATTCTGCCCCAACTTTATGGCCTTCCAGCTCCTTCCTCAAAGCCTTTTCTCCCATTGCAGCCCAGGGACCCCAGCAGCAGCCGCAGCAGGGAGCTCAGCCAGGAGCAGGATGCAAAGGCTAAGGCCACCCGGCTGGAGATGGGGGGCGCATCTGTCCCCAGAGCCAGGAGGCTCTGTCCTCTGAGCATCAGCTAGGAGGCCAGTCCCAGAGGAAACGTGGGGCCGAGTGTCAAACACGCCCAGGGCTTCAGAGGCTCGGCACACAGGACAGAGGGCATGCCGGCTCATCCCTAACTGCTTATCGATTACAAATTTAAATTGTATTTTGCGTGGATTTGGTTAATTGGGAGGGGGTACTGGGGATTGAACCCAGGGTCCTATGGAGCTACACCTCCAGTTCTTTAAAAAAAAACTTTAAAAAAAAAATTGAGACAGGGTCTAAGTCACTAAGCGGCCCAAGCTGGGCTCAAACTTGAGATCTCCTGCCTCAGCCTCCCACAGAATGCTGGGATCACAGGTGCACACCACCATACCCAGCTTAGAGAAAATACACTGTTAAAATTGCTCCTAAAATGGATTAACTGTTTCCTTCTGTACTTTTTTCCAGTGCTGGGGATCAAACCCATGGGCCTGTACATGCCAGGCAACTCTGACCTGACGCTTTCCAGTGCAGCCCCAGATGTTAAATCGTGATATGGCTCCTGCTGTATTTCTGTTGAACAGCGTGGCACGAGGCCATCTCCGGCTGCCCTGGAGCGCAGTGGCCTTTTCTATCCATACTTCACCCCCTGGCATATGCAGCCGGGCACTGCTGGCATTATCCACGAGGGAGCTGCCTCCTGGGGCTCCCAGTGCCCCAGCACAGAGGAAAGGTTCCTGATGACCAAACTGCCTTGGAGGAGTGGGTAGCTTGCCAGGGGTTGGAGCCCCCCGGATAACTCTGCCGGATCCTGCTGGCCAGACCCAGCCTCTCACTCACGGGCTTCTGACCTACCCGCAGGTGCTGGGCCCATTTAAGGAGGGAAGAGGCACCACCCCCAGTCTCGTTCAGGGAACATGGTTTCTGAGCACCTCCTTGCCTCCCTCTCCTCTGAAGCACAGGCCTGCATAGAAGAGCAGTCAGTGCCTTCTCCCGGGCCGCCCAGAGGGATGAAGTCTCTCTAGGACAAGCACTGAGCCTGGAACTCCCCAAGGGGAACACAACCATCTATCTGAGAAGGGGTGCAAGGGAGGAGCCCTCACAGG